CATCTACTGAAGGACATCTAGGTTAGTTCCACAGTTTAGCTATTGTGAATTGTGCTGCAATAAACATTGAAGTGGCTGTGTCTCTATAGTATGCTGTTTTTAAGGCCTTTGGATATAGACCGAGGAAAGGGATAGCTGGGTCAAAACGTGATTCCATTCCCAATTTTCCAAGGAATCTCCATACTACTTTCCATATTGGCTGTACCAATTTGCAGTCCCACCAACAATGTGTGAGTGTGCCTTTTTCCCCACATCCTCGCCAACACTTATTGTTGTTTGTATTTTTTTAAAATATTTATTTTTTAGTTTTCGGCGGACACAACATCTTTGTATGTGGTGCTGAGGATCGAACCCAGGCCGCATGCATGCCAGGCGAGCGCACTACCGCTTGAGCCACATCCCCAGCCCTTGTTTGTATTCTTAATAGCTGCCATTCTGACTGGAGTGAGATGAAATCTTAGAGTAGTTTTGATTTGCATTTCTCTAATTGTTAGAGATGTTGAGCATTTTTTCATATATTTGTTGATTGTATGCCATCTTCTGAGAAGTGTCTGTTCAGTTCCTTAGCTCATTTATTGATTGGGTTATTTATTTATTTATTTATTTAACTTTAGCTTTCTGAGTTCTTTATATACCCTAGAGATTAGTGTTGGGGGCCCAGACCTTAAAGGTAGCCACAATGGCTGAAAATGGTGATAATGAAAAAATGGCTGTTCTGGAGCCAAAATCTGTCATCAAATCAAGGTAAAACTACCTAACAACAAATTTTAATGTAATAGTGGAAGTACTGAGCAAATCTAAGGCAGAACTTATAGAAATCAGTGAAGACGAAACTAAGATCAGAAGATGGCCAAGCAAACCTCTCCCAGAAGTGACCAATGAGTATAAAAATGGTGTAGAAAATAGATATTTTATATTAAGGCTTCCCAACTGATGCAACCCTTGTTGACATAAGAGTGGCTAGAAAATAAAGGTCAAGTACTGAATATTCAGATGACAAGAACATTGTACAAAGCATTTAAAGAATCAATATTTGCTGTGTAGCCATGCACAGTGGCGCACACCTGTAATCCCAGCAGCTCCAGAGACTGAGACAGGAGGATTGCAAGCTCAAAGCTAGACTCAGCAACAGGGAGGCACTGAGCAACTCAGTGAGACCCTGTTTCTAAATAAAATACAAAATACGGTTGGGGATGTGGCTCAGTGGTTGAATGTCCCCGAGTTCAATCCCCCATACCCCCATCCCGGCAATTTTTTTTTTTTGCTGTGTTTGATAGCATTGACTCTGCTAAGAAGTTTGTGGGGACCCCTGAACAAAAGTACAAAGACACAGATCTGCTAATATTTTTTAAGGAAGATTACTTTGCCAAAAATAAAAAAAAGGAAGAAAGTAAGCAATATAAAGTGGAAGCTAAGTTAAGAGATAAACAAGAGCAAGAAGAAAAACAAAAAGTTAGCAGAAGATGCTGAAATGAAAACTTTAGGAGATTGGATGTTTGTTGAAATTTTTGGGTGACTTAGATGATCAGACCTGTAGAAAAGATCTGCACATCCTTTTTCAAATCATGGTGAAATAAAATGGATAGAATTTGTCAGAGGAGCAAAAGAGGGAATTATTCTCTTAAAAGAAAAAGCCAAGGAAGCACTGGATAAAGCCAAAGACGCACACAATGTTAAGTTACAATTAAGGAACAAAGAAGTGACTTGGGAAGTACTAGGAGAGGTGGGAAAAGCACCTTTGAAAAAAATCATATAAGGCCAACAAGAATCCCTAAAAAAATGGAAGTCAGAAGGTCACAGATTTAAATGAAAAAAGGTCGCAGATTTAAAGGGTAATAAAGCTGCCCAGCCTGGGTCTAAAGGAAAAGTACAGTTTCAGGGCAAGAAAACAAAATTTGATAGTGATCATGATCATGATGAAAATGGTGCTGCAGGAACAGTGAAAAGAGCAAGAAACAAAGAAGCAACAGAAAATAGTGCCAGAGACCAGTAGTTTATTGAATACATTAAAAAAAAAAAAACCCACAACTCATTGTAGTTAGGTTTTAAGCTGCTTTTTGTCTTTGGAGGGTTTTAAAAAGAAAACCAAATTAGGTCCACTTCAATGTCTACCTGTAAAAAAGGAAAAAAATTTTTGTTGTTTAACTTGTCTCTTTTTCCACTATCAAAATGAGGGTTATTGTTGTTGTTTTTAATATATAGTTCTGTTTGTGTTCAGAGGATTCAAATATCAAAAGGAAGATTCTTCCACTAAATTGCCTTTGTAATATGAAAATGATCTAGTACAAACTAATAAAATATATACTATATAAAAAAGAAAAGAAAAACTTAATAGTATGATTTCTATGTAGTTACCCACCACAGGTTTTATTCATGCTGGTTATGTACATGATTGTTCTATACCACAAGGAATGTGCTCAGCATAGTGATTAGAAAATGGGGAAATATTTTTCCTTCAAAAGTACAGTTTTTATATGAGAAATTTCCCTTCCTTTTGCATCCAGAGTGGTCGCTGTGGTAAGTTGGTCATTCCTTCACTGAAAAGTGTGAGTATATTCTGTCAGCCCCTTGATCTGATCTTGTAAAAGTTTAGACCAACTTGTGGAACTTCAAAGGTAGGTCATAAGAAGTCTAAAAATGGGGCTGGAGATGTAGCTCAGTTAGTGAGTGTCTGCCGCACATGCACAAGACCCTTGGTTCAATCAGCACCACACACACAAAAAGTCTAGACTCATTCATCTGGGTCTCTCAGAACTTTTGCTGAGGCAGAAGATTAGCTGCAAGTAATAAATTTGCCTAATATGAGATGACTTCTTCCACTTTTCCCACATTCTTTTTTTTTTTTTTTTTTGAGTATTCAGGATGGAATCCAGGACCTCAGAACATGCTAGGTAAGCTCCCCTTGTCCATTTCTTTCCTTACCACATTCCTTATCTTTAATCTTTAGGTGAGAATCAAAGCAGAGTGACCTTGGTTGTAAAGTAAGAGTGTCATAAAACATCTGAAGAAATCCATCTCCATAGTGGACATGCAACCTATCCCGTGTATTTTCCTTGCTTGTAGGTACAGTGCAGCTCTCTTCTGTCCTGGCCTGTTGCTATTAGGTACATGTAAGTAATAAAACGCTCCAAACCTCTCTCTTGAGTCCTCCAAGTTCTTTCTTTGGGATCAATAAACAGCATGTTTGAGGCGTTTGCAGCCCTGGGTATACACATGAGCACTCAGGCACCTAACCACATCACTAGCCCTAAGACTTTATCTTGTGAGAAAATCTAAACTAATTGTCAGGAGGTTGTGCAAAGAGCTGCCTGATCAGCCTTTAGGTATGCCAGACAAGTACTTCCTCCAGTGATTTTAGCCTGAGACTCACAGGGGACAGATGAATGTCAGTGGTGGGAATGCAAGGCTAAGGGAATAGTGTTATAAACTGAACCTACTGTGTTGACCTCCACACACTTTCTTCTCAAAGGAGCAATTTACCTGCAACCCTGCTGACTTAAGTGTACAGGATGTTACATTCCTCAGTAAACTACCTGTTATCTGCAGGAGAAATATAGGCCCAAAATAGTGTTGATAAGAGGAACACAAGTTATCCTGCAGAGGTGGACTTTTGTGGCCCTTACCTAGACCAGATCTTGGAACTCAGAGAGATAAGGATAATTCCCCCAACCCTAAAACTCCAAGAACAGATTCCAATTAGAACCAGTCAGCATGGGCCAAAGTGATTTAGAGTGGTCATGGCAGTGGGGGCTTGAAAGTCTGATGTTGTCCTGCTGTCAATCAAAAAGTCAAGAGGTAAACCTGGGAGGGACTCTCTGGAAATTTCCCTGGTACCCCCAATAAAACTGTAAGGCAGGGTTTGGGGATTTAGCTCATTAGCAGAGTGCTTGTCTAGCACATGCAAGGCCCTGAGTTTAGCTCTCAGCCCTGAAATGAAACAAACAAACAAAAAAAAAAAACTAGAGGGCAGAAGAGGCACTCTGTACTTCTCCATTCTGAGACAACACATTCTTTCCCTTGAGAGTGTTCCCTTTCCCCTTTCCTATACCTTCCAATAAACTCATGCCTGTTACTCTAAGCAACATGTTTGAAATCTGGGTTTGAAAGTGGCGGGGAGGGGTGGGGGGAAGAGGTGTTTCATGTTGTCTGTTTACCAGAAGGCCCTGACCTGTCACAAGACATCATCTAACCACACCTGAATAGAAAAGAGTTGAGCCTGCCTCCAGGCCTTTGAGAGATAATGTATCATTGTAGGAAGCCACTGAATTTCAGAATGGTTTGTGATACAGTAATAGATAATTAGAATAGCAGCATAAATGTACTCAAAGCACACCAGGCATCTGGCTGGGTGATGCCTCTCTATTTGGGAACTTTAAATGCTAATAACCTTCTATGATAAGAAGTGAAGAAAACTCACATTTATTTTTCTAACATTAAAATGGCATTAAATACACATTCAAATGTGCCCTATTTTGGCTATATGCATAGTAGTTTGTCTTGATGCTAACTTCATTTTGGAATTACTTAGCTCATTGTTTTATTAATGTAAATGTAATCAATTTCCATCCTGCTACCACTACTTTACATAACATTGAAGATGCCAGATTTCAATAATGTTTAGGATAGAGAGATGGAGAAGAGTACACAAAGTCATTAAAGAGGGTATTTATTACCTAAATAGGATGTTTCAACAAGGCTTTAAGTGGTGAAGTTAAGTTGTCATGAAAAAATGTTGTACCGTCTGTGGTAAAATTGATCATGTTAACATAACCCTAAAAGGGAAGAAGCTACGTTTAACTTTCATAGGGAAGAAGCTACGTTTAACTTTTATTGGTAAGAACTCTGGCTAGTTAGCTCAGATCATTAACTAGCAGACTAAACACAAAATCTATTACAGTTATTAGGGAAAAAACTCAAGGAATATTCCTGATTTACAATAAGATCAGTGACATAATCCTTAGATCGATAAGACACTTTACCAAGAGCAGAAAAAAAAAAGCTGAAATTTTATACAAGTCTTTATTTACAACTTGTTTAACAACTGTACACTTTTTGCAGCCTTGAAAACATTTTTTGTACTGAATGGGAAAATATAGTTTGACCAAATCTTAACTTTATTCTCCATATACATATACATATATTATATGCATATATATAAACACATACATATAATTAATACCATAACAAGTTGGCAGTTGTATAATTAATATGAGTGATACCAAAAGGAAATATACGATTTCAAAAACACTAAAATCCATCTTCTGATGGTTTCTTTGACTTTGTTTTGTTTTAGTTAAAATTTCTTACTGAAGCTTTCTAACAAGTCATTCACCTCAGAAAAACATTGAGAAAATCCACCAATTTCAACACATAGGAAGTTGTTGGTAAACCTGGTAAATAGGTGGAAATGCTTGGACATCATTATGTACAATTACAAGGTTATTCAATCTGTATTATACTTTCATTTGTGGGATGAGAAATTTAGATTTCTATGTAGGCATTGTTTTTGGATTATAATGACAATGAATAAAATTGTGAAATTGTAAATTCAATAGTTAACCAAAATAAGAATTTACCTAGCAATACTCTTTTTGCAAAGGCTAAAATGCAAGGTGGAAGCTACAATATTAAATATGAAACTAACAATTCATAGAACAATCAAAAATACTTAACACATGAGTATAAGGCTTTAGAGCTGGCAATGTAATCAGTACAACTCCAACTCCAATTTACTAAGTTGTTTTCTAGCTCATCTGAAAAATTTTAAAAAATACAACTGGGGGGAAAAACCTCTTTTTATTCCCAAAGTTTTAGTATTTTTATATATTCAATTTACTAATCAAAATAAGGCAAAATATAAATATGTTTGAGTTTTACCATTCATAGATAAACAAAAATTCAGTTTGGTGGACAACTGTCAAACATGATAACTGCAAAACAAGATAAATCTAGAAATTATTTTCTAGAGTTCAAAGCATTATGAATTATACAGAACCTGTAAACAGCAGTGACATTTTAGTGCATTTGAATCATAAGTAAATAAGGCTATTAAAAAATAAGACTACTATTAAAAAAATTTAAAAGGTCCCAAATCATTTTTTGGCATTTGTGTACAGTCATTTCCTGTATCTATACTACAATGTTATTCCATATTTCAAGCATATTGAAAATTTCCCTTAACTAACATGAGTCTTTGTAGAACACATCCTGAGTCAGGCCACCAAGAAAATAAAACAAACACACCATTTAATCATCTGTATGTGAACTACAGAAAGAATTTTATCTTGCTTGGAATCTGACATTATGGGATCAATTATTTTGCCTCATTACAAAACTTTAAAAAGAATGAGGAAAGCATCTCAAAACTTCCTAACAGGATTTTTTTTTTTTTAAAAAATATTTATTTAGTTATTTTTTAGGTGGACACGATATCTTTACATGGTGCTAAGAATCAAACCCAGTGCCCCATGCATGCTAGGTGAGCGCGCTACTACTTGAGCCACATCCCAAGCCCCCTAACAGGATATTAACTAAACACCAAGCCCACTCAAAAAAAAATATGATTGGGAGAATGCTTACCTAGCATGCTCTTGAGGCCTGGGTTTATTCCCAGCACCTTTAAAAAAAAATTTAACAAATCTCTTATTTTCATTTAAAAAATTCAAAGCTATGTCAGAACAGATACTTTTAGCTACATTAAGCACTTTAGTAACAGGCCAAGTAAACTAATAAATATTTAAAAAGTGTTTTAATTAGCTAAATTACATCCTGTAACAGTAAATGTTTACTTCACAAAGAATACTTAATTTGATTCATAATACCAGTTAATAAGAACAGGAAGCTAAGAAGAAAAAAACAATTATTTTAATCTCAATGTACCTTTGAGTGGGAAGAGTTAAATGGGAATTTAAGGAGATGGTTAGAGGGGCAGAAACAAACTGTTGATCTATATAGATTTTAAAATAACACAAGGAGAATATAATGAAGTTTATCAAATTTTCCTTGAATATAAAGCATTCATATCAGTTTCTGCTTGAAGGACAACTATGCATCAGTTTACAAAGGAAGGTGAAAAAACCTGAAGATATTAAGAAATGATTCATGAAATGATTTAATTATTCATTTGGAAAAATAAAGTGCTCAGAATATGTTTTTGAAAAATAATATATTGAAAATAGCTTAAAATAATGGGGTATTGATTTTTCAAGACTGTTAGAAAACATGTATCTCATTTAAAAACCAGACAAAACAAAACTGAATGTTCTTATGAGCAAATCTCCCTATTCTTTGGCAGTAATCATGTATCAATATTTACGTAATAAATATTTCAGTACTTTTGGACTATGATTTGGATACTAATATATTTATGTTCCAAATAGAAAAGGTCCTAAAAGAGTTGGCTCCTAAAAGAAACCCTCAATAGACTAACCTGAAAACTTTGCCAAATTTGAACTTGAGAAAATAGCCAAGTTAAAAAAAACAAGTTACAGCCGAACATCCTTAGATTTTTAGCATGTGCTTTTTCCCATTACCTCTCCCCTACTATTTTTCAGATTCTCTGAACTGACAGTTCCTAAAAAGTGGCTTCCTTTCTCCTGCCTTTGGGTATCTGAAATGATGCAAAAACTATTAAATTTATGGAGAGAAAGTAGATTTGTATTAGGAGACAGTTCCCCCACTCCAAAAAAAAGTGGGGGGAAAAAGGGGGGAAGATGTATATATATATTTTTTGTTGGGGGGGGAGTACTAGGGATTTAACCTAGGGCGCTTTATCACTGAGCTACATTTCTAGTCCTTTGTATTTTTTGTTTTGAGATGGGGTTTCATTAGGCTGCTGAGGCTGGCCTTGAACTTGTGATCCTCTTGTCTCAGCTCCCAAACTGCTGGGAGTACTGTACCCCGCAAGTAAGTCTTCTGATTAACCAGAAGACTATTTAGTTTTATTAATATAACTCCAGAAAACAAAGTTTCAAGTGTGTTTGCATTTAAGATGATTTGATTTTAGGCTATTATAAAAGAGTATTTTTAATATGACATATAAAAAGTAATCCATGCCAGTAACCCAACCCAGCTGCAAACATATTTCTAGACTTAGAACTTCAGATTCCTAAGATATTAACAGAAATGTCACAGAAAAGTAGAAGGGAAGAGGGCAAATAATTTTTATCTAATATTAGTAAAGTGCTGTAAAGTATAAATAATACATAAATGATCAGAATAATAGTAAATAATATTAAGACACTTGTCTCTAACACTGACATACATAAAATAAACACAATATAGAATGCATATACAGTAATGACTGTCCATAGGTTGACAAACACATCAAAAACAAACATGGTTTTCATTAATTTTACAACACATCTGCTAAACTAATTTCTTTTGTTAATTCAGAGCTCTCTCAAGTGATAAAGCCTGTTCATAAGTTTCCTGTATGTCTACACAAAAGCTTCAGCATGCTTTGGTAGTATTCTTTCTTTCTCACTTTGAGTTTGTTCTCATGATATTTAATTTTTTTTTTAAGCTCCAAGTAGATGTAATACAGGATTTGATTGCCCCATGTGCCTAAAACTTTGAGGCTGTGGACTTTATTCTCAGACCTTAAACACCTGATTTTAAACATGGGGGTTTGTATCAGATATATAAAGGCTCATTTTGGATGTTTTCAAAAATGTCTACTTTGGCCTTTATTTTAATTAAGCATCATCTTTTGTGGGACTACTATGTCTAATTTAAGGGGAACATAACATTAAACCTCTGGCTTGTAAACTAGAAAAAAAATGTCAATGGCAGATCTAGATAACTGTTGGGAAAGTGATCATAATTTTCAGTCACCACAGATCTTTTTCTCATCTCATGAAATTATACTATTTTTTAAAAACAATCTAAAAGAGCTATCTTAGATTTAGTAATGGCTTAATGGTCTCAAAATGAGAATAAATGTTTCCCCCTCCATGAATAATAAAAATATATGCCTTGTTAATACTTGATGAAGGGAAGGACGATCAGAAATCAAATTAATTTTTGTTTACACTTTTATCAAATGAATACATAATAAAGACAGATTTTACGTAAACTATTACTGCAGGAACATTTGTTAAGATAGTGTAAATTTTTACTGTATTAGTACTTCTATCTGCCTAGATGTTTGTTATTAGTTGGGCCATTTTTTATCCCAATATCCATTCTACTTTCTAGAATGAATTTCCTTAAAAATCTTGTTACTTCTGTTTTATCTTTATTATCACATACATACCTACATGCAAACTTAACTTCACATAACATTAGAAAATATGATAAAACACAACAGAAAAATACTGAAGAGACAGCAAGTAATTCCTGATATCTATGTGTGTGTGACGTATCTATCTTAGGAAGCATTTTATGGACTCCCCACAATTTCTAAAACTCAGATACTTATCATAATTAGGTTCATGCCTCTTGTTCCTCAAAATAATGTCCCTTCTCTATTTATTCAGTGCAATGGGGGAAAATCCAAGGATATTCATGTTCAAAGACAACATTAAATATAGATTTTATGAGTTTTTCTATTCATAAAGACAATACATGTGAACTGGATTAATGAAAGGTGTTTTTTAAAAAAATATTTATTTTCTAGTTGTAGGTGGACACAATATCTTTATTTCATTTTTATGTAGTGTTGAGGATCGAACCCAGGGCCTTATGCATGCTAGGTCAGCACTCTACCACTGAGCCACAACCCCAGCCCTAATGAAAGGTTTTTGAAGAATAATTAGTATGTAGTCCAAAATAAGGAGAAAATTAAAAAAAAGAAAAAAAAAGGGTGGGGAGATTCCATCAAAACAGAAGATCAATGCAGTAGAGGAAGGAGATTGAGGGGGAGAGAGGAAGGATGAGAGAAGGGAAGAACAGTGGAGTGAATCTGACTTATCTTTTCTATTACATATATGAATATACACAGTGCATCTCACCTTTATGTACATCCACAAGGCACTAATTAAAAAAAAAAAATAAAAAACCACAAGTAAATAACAGAAGGATCAGCAGAGTAGAGGGAAGGGAATGAGGAGGGAAAAAGGGAGAAAAAGCAGAAGTGCTGAAGACTGAATTAGAGCAAATTATATTCCATGCTTTTTTAATCATGCCAAAAATGAATCCTAATGTTATGAACAACTAAAAAGAACTAATAAAAAAGAACAATCAGTATTTACTTGCAAGAACATAATCAATGATTTATAAGAAATGGAAGCCATCATATTTGTGCTGTCCTTCATTTTATAAAAAAGGATGCTACATAGTAATACTTTTATACTTTGGGGGAATAAAGAGGGGTAGAAATTAGCTGTGTCAGTACCAAATTATTTTGTTCTCTATGCTTCTGAGAACTAAAGAGTATTTGTTGAAAACTTCAGAACATTATTATTACAAAATAGGGCAATAAAACATCTTCAAATTTTTCAAAAGGGAACATATGCCAATTACTTAAATACTCATAGAAAGTAAAAAATCAGGTGACAGATACATTGAGAATAGCCTAATATAAAAAATTTGATGACATAGATATTCAAATCAGGGCTGAGGTTGTGGCTCAGTGGCAGAATGTTTGCCTGCCATGTTTGATGCCCTGGGTTCTATCCTCAGCACCACAGGTAAATAAAATAAAGGTCCATTGGCAAGTGCAAAAATATGTATTTTAAAAAAAGATACTCAAGTTATCATAAAGAATAAACTCTGAAACCTCTTTCTAAATGTAATGAAATTGGACTGGCCAAGTATTAAAATAACCTGCCATTTTAACAGGACTATAGGAAAAGAGATCATCTGTATTTTTATTTTTAATTTTTGTGGTGCTGAGGATTGACGTAGGCAAGCTATCTACCCCAGATTACAACCCCATCTTTTTAAATTTTGGGACAGAATCTTGCTAAATTGTCCAGGTAGGCCCTGAATTTGTGATCCTCTTGCCTTACCTCCTGTGTAGCTGGTATTACAGGCCTGAGCCACCATGCCTGGCAGAGATTTTCTTCACTGCATATTGAATGGAAAACTCTCTTAACTTTAATTTTTATTTTTAAAAAATATTTGTTTTTTAGTTGTAGTTGGACACAATATCTTTATTTTATTTATTTATTTTTATGTGGTGCTGAGGATCAAACCCAGGGCCTCGCACATGCTAGGAGAGCGCTCTACTGTTGAGCCACAATCCCAGCCCCTTCTTTTAACTTTTAAAAAGGAAAAAATTTAAAAATGATAAAATAATTTTCAAAGATTGTCTGATATTCCATTATATTTTGTTCAGTACATTCTTTCACTTTAGGATATCACAGAAATTTCACTGCTAAGAAGTACAAGGTTTGGGCTGGGATTGTGGCTCAGTGGCATAGTGCTCGCCTAGCACATGTGAGGCCCCGGGTTTGATCCTCAGCACCACATAAAAATAAATAAAATAAAGATATTGTGTCCAACTACAACTAAAAAATATTAGAAAAAAAAGCACAAGGTTTGATGACCTTTTGAGACAAAAAAAAAATTCCCTTTATATGCAAGGATAAAAAGTCAAAATAGGATAGAGTACAAATGAATGCTAAAGCATTTGCTTAACATGCACAAGGCCCTGGGTTCAACTCTCAGCACCACCAACAAACAAAAACTCAAAAATATTCTTCCATAGTTTAATGAATAGACAACAAAAGACAGTTGATGTTAATGTTGATACACCCTCAGCAAAAAGCAATATGCTAGGAATTTTCCTCTCACTTTGCTCAAAGATGTTCTTGCCCACATGGCTGTAAACTAGCAGGGTTTCCACCAGCTGTGACCAATCTTACATTTTCCAACTGGATGTCACTGTAACATTCCTGGAATATGAGATCTGGACAATTAAAGATGAAATGTAGAGAGTTCAGAGAATTTTTAGAAATTTAGGTTTTTGTTTTAAAGTCATTCTCATTGTTTACTTAGTTAACAAGACTAAACCAAATTGTCACTGAAAAAAATGTGAGTAAAGTGGCTCATACATAAAATGTATCTTTTTTCAAATTTAACTCATCTTTCAACTTAACAATCTCTCACTACTGATCTATTTGCACAGCATGGATTTTCATTTCTTTGTGAGAATGAAATATATAGATATTTATAACTGAATAACACTTAGCTTAATTTTGTACAATTAAACTTTAGTTATATTAACCAAACAATAAAATTTCAAGAAAATAAAAGACAACATTATTATAATTTAAACATCTCATTAAGCCAATTTTGTCAGGCTATGATATCTAATAGAAATAATTCAATCTTGATAAATTTTGGAATTTGGGTCTTTAATTTAGGGACTTCTTTTCTGGTTATTATCAAGTAGTTAGACAAATGGTAAAAAGATAAGATCTAGTTTTTGAAAATTCTTTTAAAATATGTGCAACTGTACTATTTACTCTCATTTCAGATGTGATCAAAGTATTACATTTACTGGATTTTTTTCCTATTATAAACTTCTCAAACACATACTATGGAGCATAAATGCTAATATTCTTTATTTATTGACTTTCTGTTTTTTTAGAAGGAGCATAGAAAATAGACCTTTTAAGAATTCAGATGCTATGGTGACAGCTCAGACTGACCTAATACAGTATCCCAGTGCTTCCTGCACTGCTGATGCCAGGAGGACCTCTACTATGCACAAACATGGGGGCTTCACAAAGCTACTGGATACAAGAAGCTTGTGAAAATAAAGCCCAGAATTACTCATACCTAGATCAAGCTGCTAATGTCTCTCTTTCATTTTTGTACCAGGGACTGAACCCAGGAGTGCTCAACCACTGGGCCATATCCCCAATCCTTTTCTTTTTTATTTGAGACAGGGTCTCACTAAGTTGCTGAGGCTGGCTTTGAATTCATGATCCTCCTCCCTCAGCATCCTGAGTCACTGGGATTACAACTGTGTGCCATTGTGCCCTCCTACTGTCTCTTAACATGTAGAAACACCATGCATCAACATGCACCCCCTGAGAAATTGATAATGACTTGAGAAATAGAAACGCCAGATCCTGTCCAAAACTGGACAAGAAATATTGTTACAGTTAATATTTATTATTAGCTTTCTGAAACCTAAAGTACATTCAGATACTATTTCTTATAAAAGACTGTTATAACAGATGCTGAGGAAAATCAGAAGTAAAATTAAGGTTTGATGCCCTTCCAACCCCTTTAGAGAAAAATATCTGAGTAGGTGGGTGGGTAGGAAACCAGAGCTCTCACCTCACAGATAAAATTCACTTAATGAGTAGTCTCATTTACATCTGCTTTGTTATGCAAATAGCCCAATAATTTTAATTACCAACATTAGTGTTTATGTCCTATTTGTTTTTAATTTGTTTATTACAGAAATAATATACATTAAAAGTTGATAAACTTATAAAAGCAATTTTAACATATCTATAAGGGCTCCAAGTCAGTCTGTTTACTAGACCTAATTTGTTTTTAAAGGTGTTTGAGCTGGGTGGGGTGGTACATGCCTGTAAAGTCCAGTGACATGGGAGGCTGAGGCAGGAGGGTCACAAGTTTAAGGTGAGTCTCAGAAACTCAGCAAGGCCCTAAGCAACTTAGTGAGACTGTCTCAGAATAAAAAACAAAAGAGCTGGAGATGTAGCTTAGTGGCAGGAGTCTCCAGAGTTCAATACTCAACACCACCCTCCCTCAAAAAAAAAAAAAAAAAAAAAAAGTTGAATTTTTATGTTATTTGTGAAATAAAGGTAGGGTTAAAAAACCATCTTAAGTAGTTTTTAATCTTCTGTTGTCAAAATCTGATACATTAGCAGCTGCACACACCTGTAGTATCAGCCACTTTAGAGGACGAGGCAGAAGGATTACTTGAGCCCAGGGGTTAGAGGCCCAGCACGGTAACATAGCAAGACCCTGTCTTTTAAAAAAACAAACAAACAAGGGCTTGATCCATTAACCAGGCTGTTTAGACTGAAATCCCTCAATGCATTCTATTCACATGGCTCTCTCTATTATTACTGTTCTTGCTGCTTTATGGTCTTCCTAGGTAGTAGCACTCAACTATGTTCAGACTTAGGAACATAATGTAAAAAACAACAACGAAAAGCCACTTCTGCACAATGCACAGTGTTGTTTCTGTATATGTCCTAATGTCTTTCTTCAAGAATAATTTCTGAACTAGGTCCTCTTTCTTTTAAAAGAGGAACAGTTAAACAACTAAAGACATGAATATAGTTTCTGAAGTCCTAACAAACTTGATTGAATGTTTCTTATTTGTACTTGATACACAGAATTAAATGAAACCTGAACTTCCAAATACAGAGTATATGAAATAATATCCTCCTATTAGGTGACCTGTCTAAAAACAAACAAAAAAACCCTGATTTAATTTGAGAAATTTTTGCTTTTAAAAAATGTGCTATGGTGCAAAAAAAAAAAAGGCTGGAGGGGAAGTCAAATACAATTTGGGACCAAATACTTATACAAGTTAATGTGGAAAAAGTTAAACAGAAGGCATTTCATTTTCAAATGAATGCTATCTTGCATTTATATAGCACCTTACAGAGATAAAAGTGCTTTACAATGATTATTTGACAGTCATTCATCAAGGTAAAAAAATGTGGTTTATAATGCAAGCACTTTGAGGCAACCAAATATCCAAGAAAACCTATTCAGTAACAAATTCCTGGACTAGTAGTTAGATTTAAGAAAAAATGTAAAGAGACCTGTGATAATATTACATACAAGAAGTCACTTACTGATCTTAATGAATGGTATTTAAGATGTTAAGTATTAGAAATTATTGAGAAACATAAGAGTTTATATAAAGGAAGAAGTAACACAAACGAGGCACAAGTCAACAAACTGCCCAGAAGGTAAGGCTACGTATTACTTGTAAGTATATGAAAAATAAATCTTTTAGATATGGAGAGCAATTGAGAGTATAAAGTCAAGCAATGGTTAGAATCTGATCCTAAAATATTTCAAAGCAAGAAAAAAAATAATATACTGCTGAATTTCTTTTCTTCTGTTAATCTCTCCCAAAATAACCTCACCAATGCATTCATTTCTGCCAGCAAACAAGATAGCAGGAAATAATGAAATTTTACATATTTAAAAATTGTCTCCAAATCTTTGAACAAATTCAATTTCCTATAAAACAATGTGAAAACTAATTTTTCTCTTTTAATTCTGCCAGGTGCCTCAAGTAAGATCTGATTAGCACCTATGCCAATGTATAAGTCTTTGCAAAAAGTGCACTTGCCAACTATTTTGTGTAGTAAATATGCAAGTTATTTGAAGTGCATTTGGAAAACAATTGAAAACACAGATTAATACATCATAAAAAGATTAATTCCCTTTAAACAAAGACATTCTTATAAAGCATGGTAACACATAGGCACAATAAAGAATATAAATTGTATATCAATTATTGGAAGAAAATCTAATTCATACAAAGCCTACACCATTGGGGAAGAGGACATTTTCATACAAAGAAAAGAATTACACTATTATACAACACTTTTAATTGGACATTTATAAATTTTTGGCACATTAAAAGGAACTTAAAAGACTACAAAATAAAGGACAAAGAAACTAAAACAAAGATCTAAGAGAGGAAAAGTCCTCCAATGACATACACTAAGTATTGACCTAGAAGGAAAACAAAAAGTAAGCTGGCTGAATTTCCTGAAATGTCGTTATATGTAACAGAAGTATGCTTTCAATGCAGGTTGCTTTTTATTTCTAATGATAAGACTTTTCTACCTTGCTGTGGCTGGTTGAACATGGCCTGGATAAGATCTTCTTGTGCTGGTTGCTTGTCTTTGCCTAGCTAGAAAAGACTGCCCTGAACCTGTACTAGCTAGTCTATCTTCAGCCGCCTTTTTGTGCAGAGTCATTCCCTATAACATAAAAAAAAAACCAACATAATAATCAATGAAAAAATATTGGAATATACTCTCACATACACAAAAAATTTCATCATGCAGAATTTACTACATTGCAATATAAAGAATTAGGAATATTAATTTTACTCATAGATTAAAAATCTCACAGAGGCATTTTAGTTCTGACAATTAAGTAGAAATCTTCTTTTGGAAAAATTAAGGCTTAATTTTCTGAATTTATAATTACCAAAACAACAGAGAAGACAAATTTTTGGAATACATTCCCCATATTCAATCACACTTCCCTTTCAAATTAAAGTGATTTTCCAAGAAAAAAAAATACAATTGATTAGAAGCAGTTGATTCACATCAGTTATGGAAATCACACAGCTTTTATAGAAAGGAAAAACATAGATGCACTTATGTCTTGAGATGGAAAGGCACACTAGGCATTATACATACCACCAAGCTGTTTTTCTTCACTTCAAAGCAGATGTGTATTCCCAAAACAAATTAAGAAAAGTTCCTGACAGCCAAAATAGAGGGCTCAACCAAGAGTAAGGGAGTCTCTCTTGAAGACAGAAGTATCACCTACTACCTTAGAGGAGAGAGAGAAGGCACAATCGCCTGGCTCAAAGCACCTTAAAAAGGAGGGAGGAGACCTCCAGAATGCTCCCATAATGAGGAATAATAACAATGATGATAATAGTACTACTTTACTAATGGCAGATCTGCATTAATAAAAATAGGAAAAAAGTAGTGTTGGTATAATTTTTATAAACTGACTATAATATGGACGTTTCACATGGGCCTGCAAATGTGAAAAACTTGGGATCTCTTCCTCCATTTTGCATCTGCCTTCTTTGCTTTGAATAAGTCCTCTTGGATTTCAGAAATGACAGGCATGATTAATAAACACCTTGTGATGAATCAAACTATCCCCCCAGATAACAGCAACTTTCTTATTGCCACAAATAAGGTCCCACCTGACCACTCCTGAGGTAATAATCAATCAGATCACCACTTCACCAAGACTACTTGTGGACTATGCATACTATTGGTCCTCTTGGTCGATATAGTTTAAAAGTTCAAGTCAGTACCCACCAAAGACAGAACTGGAAATATTTCCCTTATCTTCCTGGGATTAAAGTTCCTTTCCTATTTTTCACCATTCTTTTTCCATTTGGTTAGGACCTCCAGAGTCAGGCCTCTGGCATAGGACTCTAATAACAAAATGAAGAACCCCAGCCAAAAAACCTTAAGAACAAAGAGCTGTTGGTTAATCTTACCAATGATTAGATATAGGAAAACTGATAGGAATAAGTAGTTTGACAACAAGGAAGAAATAACAATGCACAGAAGACAGAAGACTAGAAGATAAGTTTTCCTATTACTAGTTTAGCTTCTAAGAAAAATGCTGATTGTGGCTTTGCATTTTAAATATAATTTTAATCTATGATATATACCCAAACATACAGCACATTTTCCCAGTGAAAGAGACACACACACACACACACACACACACACATTCTCTCTCTCTCTCCACATTTTTAAACTCAACTTGAAATCAAAGCATTTAAAAATTTGAATAAAATTGACAAGATCTATTGACAATCTTTGATTAATTTTGGCTACATATGCTTAGTTACACTTTATTTAAAATACTCTAAAATTTTCACTTTCACATTTCAAGCAATTTATTCAAATTCTTCACACATATTGTAGACCTTAGTATCCATCACAAAGTTATTGAGTTACTTAATACCAGCACTCACCATCTTCATTTCCATTTAAGTTGCCTGAGATGCAAGACTTTCTGAATGTAAGTATGATGTTGTTACTGGTTATTATATCTGAACATAACTTTGTTAACTCTATTTGGAGTTCTCTTTTATTCTCTGAAGAGTTTAAAAAAACCTAGGCCTATTCTTTAGTGCCATGTCACAGATTAAATAAATCTGGGTCAATAAGAAACAATATGTGGAGTTGCAAAAATCAATTATGATTATGAAATTACTAATGAGAATTGAGGTGCAGAGCTACAAAATTGAGAATACTAACTAAGTTTCAGAGAACATAAAGAGACAGAACAGTGAAAGTTAGGATTAATTCCCAGAGAATCTGCTTATTGTTTTGTTTTTTGTGATATTGAGGATTGGACACAGGGCCTTACACAAGCAGTCTACCACTGAGCTATATTTCTAAACCTTTTGTTTTTACTGTTATTATTTTGGTACCAGGGATTGAACCCAGGGGTACTTTACCAATGGGCTACATTCCCAGTTCTTTTTATTTTGAGACAGGGTCCTGCTAAATTGTTAAAAGTCTTGCTGAATTGCTAAGGCTAGCCTTGAATTTGAGATCCTCCTGCCTTAGCTTCCTAGGGTGCTGAATTACAGGCATGTGCCATTATGCTTAGCTCTAGCCCTTTTAATTTAATTTAATTTTGAGATAGGGTTCCCAACCTGACCTTGAACTTGGGATCCTCTTGTCTCAGCCTCCCAAATAGCTGAGATTATAGGTGTGAGCCACTACCTAGCTTTTTTGTTGTTGTTATTTTTTGGTACTGGGGCCACTCAACCACTGAGGCACATCCTCAGCCCTTCTAGCTTCTTTTTAAAAATTTACATTTTGAGGAATCTATATTTGTTAATAATGATATTCTAAATCCAAAATGATTTTTTTGTATTCTTTTTTTTTGTTGTTGTTCTGGGAATTTAGCCCAGGGTACTTTACCACTGAGCTACATTCCCAGCTTTTTCAAAAAATTTTATCTTTTTAAAAATTTGAGACAGGGTCTCGGTAAGTGCAGAGGGCCTTGCTAAGTTGCTGAGGCTGGCCTTGAACTTGTGATCTTCCTGTCTCAAGTCTCCTCAGTTGCTGATTTCTTCTTTTAAAAAGAAAAGGAAGACAAAAATACTTGGGGGAAAAAATGTAGGAAAAAGTGCTGAATTTTGTAAAATCCACAGCTATTCATATCTAGATCAGATGATGGTAAGTATTTCTTTTCCTCTGCAATATAGTTAAAGGTATGTATGTGTATGTGGTGATGTAATATTCAGTTTCAAAACTTTTAGTGGTTCAGAGTCTGGCACTGCAGTGAACACTCTCTAAGCCCTTTGAGAAAAGCTATTCTTAATGTAAGCATCATCCTGCAAAGGTACCAAAATAGCACAAAACAAGAATTAGTGCATCTGTGTTTAGATATTATTAATATTCCTTTTCCTATAATAAGTGCTTTGGATGAACAGAAATTAAACTGACATTTATCTTTCTATTTCCTAGACAAAATTATGTTTTCAAAATGTTCTAACCCAGTTTTTGGTGGTTACCATATCTGCTTTTCAATGCTAAGGTCAGTAATGATGTTGTTAGTGTGTGTTAGCATCGCAATTACTTTCAGATTATTTTGGTAGAATTACTTCTATGGTATAAGCTTGTGAAAAATATTACATATTCATGAAACTCTTGAGTTATGTTCTGAGATGCTATTTTCTTACCATATTGTACCAGGCACTGACAATACATTTCTCCTCCATCTCTCTTTGACTCTTCGTTTTCTCGTATTCTTTCTGAAGCACAAGCATAGGTAAACATGTAAAGATATAAAATAATTCAATATAAATAGAATACTTACAATTAATTGTCTAAATCCACAGACACAATTGCACACTTCCAGAAAATAATTTTAAAAATCAGCTCTTTTTTTATAAATACTTTTTTTTTAGTTGTAGGTGGACACAATACCTTAATTTTGTTTATTTATATGTGGTGCTGAGGACAGAACCCAGGGCCCCACATGTGCTAGGCAAGAGCTCTACTGATGAGTCACAACCCCAGCCCCACTCCCCAAAAATCAGCTTTTTATTGCACAGTACAGGACTACCTCCAATGAGTGAAATAGTCGGTCTCTTTCCTGCAGTTGATTTTTAAGAGCTTGTATTTCTGGTGCTGCTCCTTGATTCTGTTTAGGATCTAAAGTACGGATAACCTGCAAAATGTATTAAAAGAAAAATGTAAAAGTTTTAAGTGACTGTAACATCTAAAAAAGCAACTATTAAAAAAAAATCAAAATGAATTAAATACTCAATGTACATATCTTTAGATTAAGGATATCATCCTACATGATCACAATAGTATTATCATCTAAGAAAATTAACAATTCTATAAGACTGTTACTGTTGATCACAATACACATTTCCATACTGTATCCAAAATGTCCCTTAAAAGTGACTCATCTGCTCCCAATCCAGGATCCAAAGATTATTGCACCGCACCTGAAGTTCTGCAGGGTTTTAAAATCAGAACAGCCTCTCACATTCCACTGCATGTTTTTGTCTTTCATGACACTGACTTTTATCCCCAATTCTAGATTTACCCAATGGTAATGTTATTTAGCTTGTTTTGATAACCACTTTCCTCTATGCTGGAGGTCTAGAAGATTGCTTAGGTTCTAGTTAAACATTATGGACAATGATACACTATCAGGATGCACCAAAGATTGGATGTAGCACCAAGTGTTCTTTTTATTTAAAATACAAAAATACATAAAATATATATATTTTAGTTGTGGATGAACACAATACCTTTTATTTATTTTTATGTGGTGCTGAGGATCGAACCCAGTACCTTACACACCAAACCACAACCCCAGCCTACCATGTGTTCTTAGTTTTGAAAATTTTTTAAGATAGTGACTGTTATTTCTACATAAGGCACATTTCTTCTTGATAATTAGTAATTAATCTGTGGAATGAAATATTTTGATCATTACTTCTTGGTCAGGCTCTTTGATAAAATATTTTGTTCTGATAACTCTATGCGACCAGTCAGCATACTTTACTATATTTGAAGATTTCAGAGAATCATGATCAAAAAGTACTTACACTTTTGGCTTTCTCTAAATATTTTTTATATCGTTCTTCCATTTGCTTCATTTCCTCTTCTTTCTTCCGTAATGCTTCTTGTAATTCTTCAATTTTTAAGGCTGCAGATGAGATAGTGGGAAAAAAGTTTAGATTATAACAACTTTAAAAATATTTTAATGGATAAATTAATAACTAGTAACTTTGAGGAACTGTTTAGTCTATGCTTATACATGATTTTCTTTAAAAAAAATTCATACACATATCATATATAGATGTTTGTGTGCGTATACACATATAAAAATAAATCTCAGAAAGATTTTATTTATTTATTTTTTAGTTGTAGTTGGACAATACCTTTATTTTATTTATTTATTTTTATGTGGTGCTTAGGATTGAACCCAGGGCCTTGTATGTGCTAGGCGAGGGCTCTACTGCTGAGCCACAACCCTAGCCATGCTTTTATTTTTTATTAGCACACTATAGTTGTGAGGTTCATTTTGACCAAATCACCCATGCTTAGAATTTCCTCTACACTCCTGATCTTTCAGTCATTACTTTACTTTTTATTAGTGCTTTCTACATATTATTAAAGTTGAAATTCCTTGTGGTATATTTATATATGCATATAAATAATTCTGTTAAATTCATTTCGTATTTCCTCCCTTTTCCTATCCCTTCTCCTTCCCCTTTGATCTCCTTCTTCTACTCAACTGATTTTCCCTATGTCTTTATGACATTTGATCCGGTCACCCCCCCATCCCCATCTTCTTTCCCTCATTTTATTCTAGCTTCCATATTCTTCTTTATGGCTGAGTAAAACTCCATTATGTATATATGCCACATTTTATTAATCCATTAATCTATTGATAGGCATCTGGGCTGATTCCATAATTTGGCTGTTGTGAATTGTACTGCTATACATGTACATATATTGTATATATTATACTGCTGTATGTGGCTATAGCACTATGATAAGCTGATTTTATCTTTTTAAAAATTTTTTAATATTTATTTTTTAGTTGTACACAATACCTTTATTTTTATGTGGTGCTGAGGATCGAACCCAGGGCCTCACACATGCTAGGCAAGCATTCTACCGCTAAGCCACTCCCCCAACCCCATGATTTTATGTCTTTTGAATAAACATCAAGGAGTGGGATAGCCGTGTCATATGGTGGTTCCATTCCTAGTTTCAAAAAGCTTTTCTTGTAAATAAACAAGAAGTCCAGTATGGTAGTGCATAAATCAAAAAGTGCCCATTGATGGACGAATGAATAAACAAAAGTTGGTATATTCATACTATGTAATAATAGCCTAATTCTGTTACAAGCTACAACATGAAGACAACATAATATGAAATAAGCCAGACATGAAAGAATAAATATGATGATTTTACTTTTTTTAAAAAGCAAAGAACCAAATGCTCAATGTTTTCTGATTTAAGGATGCTGATTCACAATGTGGTTTGTGGGGGGAGGGAATGGAAGAATTAGATGAACTAATATGGCAAAGAGGAGGGAGGGAAAGGGAGGGGACATGGGGTAGGAAAGATGATGGAATGAGATGGACATCATTACTCTAGGTACATGTATGAAGACACAAATGCAGTGACTCTACTTTGTATACAACCACTGATATGAAAAATTGTGCTCTATATGTGTAATATGAATTGTAATGCATTCTGCTATCATATGTAACAAATTAAAATTTAAAAAGATCAAAAAAAGAAAAGAAAAAGTAAATGTCCTCTCACCTCCATAAAAAAGAATAAAGACAAGCTATCTATATGTAAATATATCAATGAAAGCACAAGTTTGGCTAACTTACATGCAACTGCACTCAATAAAAATTTTCAACTTTACCTAATATTCATTAGAATACTTAGTTAAGGAAAAGTTCAAAAGTAGTTGGGGGTGGGAATGATAGTAGAATGAATCAAACATTATTACCCTATGTGCATACAGATTACATGACCTGTGTTACATCATGTACAACCAGACAAATGAGAAGCTATACTCCATTTATGTATGATGTGTCAAAATGCATTCTAACATCATTAATAACTACTTAGAATAAATATATATATCATAAAGAAAAAAGTGTAATTAGTAATTTAGGAAGTAAAGTTGACATAATATTTCTATAAATAGGGGAAATTATTTAATTGCAAGAATAGGTAATACAGCCTATTTATAAAAGAAACAAGTTATAAAAACTCAGTATCACTGGGGTAGTATATGGGTGAAGTTAATTAGAAAAAACTCACAGCTATTGTTAAATCTTGGCTCAAGATCTTCAATAATGGCTCTCTTCTTTTGCAATTCATTATTAGCTTCATGAAGCTTCTCTCTGCAACAAAATATGTGACACTGTATAAACTATTACTGTTTCTGTGTTTATTTGCTTTAAAGATTTATATTCTTTATACTTGTAATATACTTGCATTGCTCACAAGTGCTAGGAAACAAAGATGAAAAGATTAAATCAACATGAATTAATATCTTACAACTCAGTAAAAAGTAAAACAAAAAATTCCTTTTTTCATTTAAAATAATCATTTGTTTTACAAAAATGTGTATAAGAGGATAAAGAGCTTTATTTTTCTAGGAATACGATATTGAAAAAATTAACTTAAATTTGCAGTGATTTTGCAATGAAAAATCTTATTATAAAAAAAGTGAATTTCTAAAAATAAGGATTAACAGAAAGAATGCTACACACAATAGAAAAGAATGAAATCATATGAATAGATCTCACAGAACAATAATAAACAAAGGACGTCAAAGTGTCTAAGGTTAATACTGCATCATGTCATTTTTGTGAAATTCAGAGGTGTCAAAACTAATGAAAGGGCTGGGTACAGTAGCACATGCCTGTAATCCCAGAAACTTGGAAGGCTGAGGCAGGAATATTTTAAATCTGAGGACAGCCTGGGCAACTCACAGAGACCCTGTCTCAAAATAAAATATAAAGGCCTGGGATGTAGTTCAGTGGTAAAAGCCCTGGGTTTAATCCCAGAACTACAAAACAAACAAACCAACAAACAAAACAAACCAAACCAAACCAAACCAAACCAAACCAAAAACCTAAAGAAGGTGATAAAGATCAGCATTATGGCTAGTTTGTTAATGTAACCAATCAACAGAGAGAGAGAATGCAGTAAATTCTTAGGTGGTTGGAAGCATTCTATATATTGATAAGAATTATCCTCACCTGTATATAAACACTTTTCAAACTGTACACTTAGGATCTTAGTATATGTATATTTCACTATATATAGGTTATATTCTAGTACAAAAGAATTAAAGCAAGTTTTTTACCTAGTATTTGTATATATTTGTAGACCACGTGTAATTCTCCCTTTATAGTATTTAGTGTGGCACTATGTAATATGAATAGGAAAAAAAAGGCTGCAAAAATTGGAAGACACAGAAAATCACTGATAAAAACTGTGTATTTTGTTATGACTATTTCTGATATTTTCCACACACAATACTTTAATAAAGCTTTTCTTTTTCAATGAACAGCTTTTTGAAGCTACATCATATATAATAAAAATATGCACCGTTTAAAGAATTAAAAAACTAAAGCTAAGCTCAGTGAACTGTTATCAGGTTAACAACCCCAAATCATCCAAAACCCTTAGAAGTCATGTGCACTTTATCTCCTTTCCAGAGGTAACCAAAGTCCAGAATTGTAATCACTTTCATTATTTTCATTATGGTTTTATTGCCTTTGTGATAGTCCTACGCAACATATTGCTTATTTTGGTCAATTTTTTACTTTATACATTAATCGTATATTGTTCTGAATTTTTAGACCTTTTACTGAGATTTTACTGAGTTGATGTCAGCCCCAGTTTACACCTTTTTACTGCTCTAACAGTATTCTATTGTTTGAATATATCTCATTTTATAATTTTCCAATTGGTGGATATTTGTATTGTTTCTACTTTTCTGTGAATACAAGTAATATTTATTCTTCCATGATTTTCATCTACATGTCTCCTGATACACATGGACAACATCATATCTAGGAATGTATGTATATATAGAATATACATGTATATGTAGAATGTTATGTATATAGTGGAACTGATGTCAAAGAGTAAGTACACGTTCAAGTTTACCAAGTGACTAATGAGCACTCCTACAGCAGTGAATGAGAATTATCATTGCTTAGTATCTTTAGCAATACTATATCTAATCTAAAAATTTTCACTAATTTGATTTGGTGTTTAAAATGGTCTCTACTGTAGTTTTTAATTGTACAACATGGACTATCTTTTGACACACACAGAGGCCTTGTGGTGCGTTGAACTGTTTTACCCAAAAAGATAAGCTGAAGTTCTAATGCCTACTACTGTGAATGTTACATTATTTGGAAACTGGCTTTTGGTAGACTTAATTAGTTAAGGAGAGGGTCATATTGAATGAGAGTAGGCCCTAAATTGAATCCTCAGTGTCCTTATAGGGGGATTATGTAAAGACAAACATACCGTAATCCCTCCTCCTCTGTGGTTTTGCTTTCTGTGATTTCAGTTTCCTACGGTCAACTGTAGTATGAAAGTATTAAATGGAAAATTTATGTTTTAAACTACATGTTGTACTGAGTAGTGGTCCTGCTATGTCCTGCCTGGCAAGTGAATTGTCACTTTGTCCAGTGTATCCACACTGTATATGATATCCAGCTATTAGTCACTTGGTAACCATCTTGATTATTAGATCCACTGAAACTGCAACAGTATAATGATATAATTGTTCTATTTTATTATTCAATATTGTTGTTAACTTCTTATTGGGCTTAATTTACTAATTAAACTTATCATAGGTATATATATATTTTAAAAAATAATATATACATGTATATATTTAAAAAATAATACCTCACTAGAGGTCTTGGAGGGTATTCCCCTCAGGATGAGGGAATTACAGAGACAAACTACAGAGAAAAGAGTGTCCTATGCGGAGAGAAATTAAAGTGATATATCCACAACCTAAGGAGCACCAAGGATAGCTATGAGTAGCTAGAAGACAGGCAAGGAAGAGATTCCCCCCTTAGAACCTCTCGAAGGAACCAATCTGCTGACAACCCTGACTTCCTATGTGTAGTCTCTGTAAACTGTGAGAAATAAATTTTTGTTGTTTTAATCCATTCAGTTTGTACTAATTTTTTATGGCAGCCATTTTTACTAATACATTCTTTCTTTTTTTTTCTTCTAATACATCCTTTCTGATGAAGTTTTTTTACTTCGTAAATGAATGAATGCAGAACAATGATTAGAGACTAGTTTTATGAACTGATTAGGTATTCCAGTTTTAGCCATAAAGGAAGAGGAATTTTAAAAAAAATCTAGTACTAAATTTTCATTATAGGTAATCTCACAAAGGCTGAGAAGTAACATTTTTTTGTTCTTCTAGTCATTATAAATCTGCCTATTCTTAGACTTTCTAACAAATCTCAGTTGCTAAGAGTATCCTACACTAAAACAAACCAAAATTGGGGTAACATGAGCTAAATTTCCAGACAACAGACTTTCTTTCCAATCATAGTAGAAAAGTATCTCTGTCATTCTGGATATCCAGTTTAGCATAGTGAAACATTGTAATACTCCAATAGGCTACCAATTCATGGTCACCCTATATTCAATGTTTGTAAGGAGTTTTGTTAGAAAGGATTAAAGTTGTTTCTGGGTATAAGAAATATTATGAAATATCCCTAACATGGCCAATCTCAGATAAATCTGGATGAAGATTTCTTCTGTATGAGAAAACAAAATGTTAATATTTTAACATTTATTCTTCTTTTAGATTAAAAAGTCCTACTTAGAAGCCAAGTGCTGTAGTGCACATCTATAATACCAGTGACTTGGGAGGCTCAGGCAGAAGGACTGCAAGTTCTAGGCCAGCTTCAAAAAAGTAAAAAGGGGGAGGGCCTGGGGATATAGCTCAGTATTACCACTCAAGTACTATCTATGGTACTTGAGAGCGGGTAGGGAGGAGACCTACTTAGATATAATGTCAAGTTTTAGACTTCAAAAAATTTACTTAAAAAGAAATATTTGGCTGGTCATACTTCAGAAGTAAAAACTGCAGCCTTTGGCCTGAACTCAGCTGGCCGCCTCTCTTTATGTATGAAGTTTTATTGGAGCACAGTCACAACCACTAGTTAAGTATTGTCCATGGCTGCTTTCAAGTTATAAACACATAGCTGAGTGGCTATGACAAGAGACCAGGACTTACACAGCCTAAGGTAATTGCTATCTTGCCATTCACAGAAAAGTGTTCTGACCCTTGATTTAGTGTCTCATACTCCAAATTATGATTGTAAATATCATAATGAAACTATAAAAGCCTTAAGTCTCATAGGTGAAAACAGTTCTAATGCAGTCACTATTTTGACTTGAGGATCTGGGTGGAGATAAACTTGTAAACACAACTAACGTGTTAAAAGAATTTTCTGTATCTTCAAGATCACTTGTGCTATTGTCTAGAACTTCTGCATCCCCCAAAACGAAGTACTTTTGTTCCACAATATAATGAATTGCAATAGCATTTATACTTACAGATGTTCTTCAAGCTTCTTTTTTAGAAGAACTGACTGAAAATGAAAATAAAAATTAGTGTAGTACTTTAACAAATTATTTTTAAAAAATTAACAGTATTAACTAACTTTGAGTGAACCCTCAGTAATTTCTTTGACCAAGAGAGCTCAAAACATAATATGCCACAGTTTAATTCTGTTTAATAAAGAGAGAAAAGCAATATGTGGTAACAGTAAGTATAAACACCCAGAAACTGTATCTGAATCCCCTATCTGCAGTCAAGTAAATAACTACTAATATTCCTGACTGACTCAATATACAGGTAGGACTTTAATAATAAGATCTTTCCCAATAACTTTTTATCTGTTATATTGTTTCCCTTGTACCACAATGAAGTCTCTGATCAATTCCCTTACTTTCTGACTTGTGAATATGCAGAGGCTGCATATAATTTATGCATTGGTATGAGAAGTATAAAGGATGATAGTATGTACAGATTTAAATATGTTGGAGAATTCAGCTTTTGTATTTTTTTTTTTAAAGGTCTCTCTCTTCTCTTTAAAAAAAAAAAAAAAAAAAAAGTCGCCTGAAAAGCTAGAGATAAAAATTGACCTAAAAATAAACAACGAAAAATCACTAAGTTTCATAATTAAACACTAATAAGGTTATATATTAATAATGAATTTTATAAAACATTTCAACATAAATGATTATATAATTAATTCAGCCAAATCCAATTAATACAGGCTTATTAAACAAGTTATTCAAATTGATCAACAGTAGCAATGAGGAAAGAACAATCCCTTACACTAAGTTCTTCAATTTTCAGTTGCATTATTTAATAATGGTCACCATAATTGTTTATTCAAGTCCATTTTAATACAACTTAGGAACATTTTAAATGCACTTCTTTTCTCAGTATGTCTCGTATCACTGCATCCCTCAAACACACAGACAACAATCCTATTAGCATTTTGATTTTTACTTGTTCTCTCTAGTAAAGAGTAATAAAAATTAAATTCTTTTAAAAAACCTCAACTTTAAATTTTGTAATTATGTTTTGATTAGACTCTAGCAAAACTAATTTGAACTGAGATAACAGATAATAAAATAATAGGTGGTCAATACACCAGGCACTGCACTAAAGTGTGTCACATACAACTATCTTATGTAAACCTCACAACATTATAATATTAGCCCCATCTTAAAGTTGAAGAAAATGAGGCTGAAGAATATTTAGAAGATTTCAATTAACAGATCCAAAATTAAAATCCAGGTCTATAAGACCCCCAAATCCATGCATCTCCTTTCCTTTTATGTCTTCTATGCAAAGTACCTTTCCAAATTGAAGACTGTTACTATCCAAATGTATGGCAGGAGGAGGCCAGACTGCATTAGGATGCTGGTGTCAAAATAATTTATATAAATGAACTGATTATAATAATGGCCATAGCAGGAATGATGGGGGGGAAATAAAGGTAGATTTCTCTATGATTTGACTTTTAAGATCTGGATATCCTGTAAGTATCTTAACTATAAAGGATATAAACATAAAAGGCAAGTAATGTTGGTATATCCATTTTGCATAAAATTGCCTTTATTTAAAATTTTAACATCAACTATGATGTTGAATAACAGTTATAAATCTAAAAACTGCTCAATATATAGAAATGAACAGGAAGCCATACTTACAATAGCCTTGAGCAGAAACCATGCCAAGAGACAGAGAGGACATATTAGTATGAAGCAAACACAGCAGCCAATAGAAGGAACGATTTAGTAATTCATGAACAGAAGTAAAAGATATGAATTTTTTTTCAGAAATGTACATTTTTCTTTCTTCTATGTTCTCCTCATCCTGTCTTGTTCTCTGGAGTTTTATATACTGTGGCTAGCTCAAATTATCCATATGACTGGATATAACAATGCTTTTCTGCTTCCATGCTAAAAACAAATGACATAAAAATAATAATAAAAATATGCAAACCATCCTACTCTGACTTAAGGTCACATGAAAGAACTGTGTTTGTGATAACAGAAACAGGCGGAAACTATGCTGTTGTTCCTCAGAGGGGACCAATTCCATCTGGCAGGTTGCTCTATGTGATACACATTCCTGAGATGCAACACTGTGAGTTAGTGAAGAGAAATATAAGGCAAACATCAAGTGTACAGGGGCAAAGTATCACATACTCTTTATTTCTCCAAGCCATTTGAAGGCAGAGTTTTAAAACAGAAATAGTTTTCCAGTTGAATCTTTTCTACACACAGAAGAGAGCTTAGAGGAAATTTTTGCTTAATTTAAAGCAAGACATCTCATTAGGCAGTCAAATCAATCAATCAATCAATTTATGCAAATAGTATTTGGTAGGGCTGGCATTTCAATTCTGAAATATGTTCTCTTAAAGTAATGGCCCACAGCATATTTAATTAGATTTGATTATCACAGTGATACCTAACCAGGCTATGCCAAGTTATTTTTAAACAATAAACTCCCTTACTTATGGTTTACAATGGTCATCATCAGAACACTAAAGTTTAGCTGATACTGATAGTTCACCAAATTTACTTTGTTTATGACAGGCCCTTCTTCTCCCTACCAAAACAAAAATATAGAAAAGTCTCCTTTAAGTTTTAGAGACCAGAAAAAAATTTACATTTATCCCAGTTTAAGAGACCTAGAGATGTCAATGAATAGAAAATGTTACAACCTGTGGTTCATTTCAAAGATTTCTTAATTAGGCTCAATACTGTTTTAGTACACTAATGATTTGCAATTTGTGATCTAGCATTCTGGATAAAAACATATCTCTTTTAAAAGCATGACATTGGGCTGGGGTTAGGGCTCAGTGGCATAGTGCTGGGTTCAATCCCACACACACCCCACTTCAGTAAGTATGACATTTCAAACTAGTTCCATTTTGATAAAGCTATAATTTAAACACTAGTGACAATGAAAGAAGTTGGAAATCAATTTGGGAAACAAAGATGACTACACCAAGACAATAGTTGAGGAATAAACTAAAATCACTAATTAGAAAGAAGGGCATGTGTTGTCAGTCTAAACTAAGTGTATATAGAGAAACTGATTAAGTCCCTCTGGAGCATTCAATACTTAGTATTCTCAGATTTTAAGTATTTACTTAACTCCCTCTCTTTGATTCCTTTTGTTTTAATACCCTCTTATGTTAATAAGGGTGAGTGGCTGAATCTATACTTTTGAATTGATCCCCCAAAATGACTGTATCAATGGAAACAATCAAGTATACATTCAAGACTAGAAATTACAGCAAATAACACTGGTAACAGGAAAAAAATGAAACAAAACAGCTGGCTGAAGCAAAGACCAATTAAATAAATAAAATTTAGTTTTCCTCTTAACACTGTTTTTTTAATACGTTACAAGCCTTAGCTCAATTGCATACTTCTCATTAAATGGAAAAGACTTGCCAATTATAATCTATTCAGTGTTTCTTTCTCTCTTTTTTCTTTTCTTTGGTATTGGGGATTAAACCCAGGGGCACTTTACCACTGAACTACATCCCCTGCACTTTTTATTTTTAATTTTGAGACAGGGTCTTGCTAAGTTGCTAAGTCTGGCTTTGAACTTGCAATCCTCCTGTCTTAGCCTCCTGGGTGACTAGAATTACAGGCATATGCTACTACACCCAGCTATAGCTCTGCTTTTTCTAGAGAATAATTAACTACTCTGTGTTACTGAAGCACTGTGATATACAGTTAGCATGAGGAGGTGAAGAAAGACATCCTTTTTGGCTCAACACATATTCAACAGGAAATGTGTCAATTATGTAGGCAGAGAGATTCAATATGCAGAATGCTAAAGGAATATTTAAAGTGGGATCAGTGGTGCACACCTGTAATCCCAGCTCCTCTGGAATCTGAAGCAGGAGGATAGGATTGCAAGTTCATCACAGGCAACAGGGTACTATCCTATCTTAAAAGAGGTAGGAGGGATTCACAAATTCAGGGAAAATGGACTTCTAGGGATGGCATTATTTTCTTCCATATCTAATTTACATTAAAATTTTTACTTGAAAAAAAAAAAATATATATATATATATATATTGACAAGAGGGAAAAACCCTATTCTTGACATCTGAATGCTGAATTGAGCACATTTAAAACAAAGTCTCAATTAATTCCTTATTTGTTAACTAGAAATAAACTAATTCTAAGCAGAGTAAATCTGAAACAGATAATTAAGTACTATCTAGTCTTTTTCATAAGGAAAGTTAGTAAAAAGAGTAACAGATTCTTTTCCATAACCAATATACTGCAAAATTATTTTGAGAGAGAACATAAGGTATACAACTTTTCTCAACTTTGTGAAACTTTTGGACTATGGCTGGTATATATTAAAACTTACATCTTCTGCTTTTGAGCCTTGATCTTGTAAAGATTTCTGCAGTTCTTCAACTTGTGACTGTACTTCTAGAAGTCTTTGATTCACAAGCCTACAAATCAAACGTACATTAATTTTCTAAGTATAGATTTATTAATGCTTCTGTTCCTTTGGTTGTTATATTGGTTATACAGAAAGTATTATTAGCAAACTAAAACAAATATTATGGTAGTAGTACATAGTAGTTTAGTTGCAGTCTCATGTCATTAGCAGAGCTTACTTTTCACATTCTTTTTTCTATTGCTTGAATTTTTTTCTTTTGGGCAAAACATATAACCTATTTATATTAAGTTGAATAAAAATACTAGCAAAACAATTACCCAGAAGTTAATATAGATAAATTTTAAAAAACTAAAAGAAGAAAAAGAAGAGTATTGGAAGGGTATATTAAATTTATTACAATCCATGGTGCCTCCAGTACCATAGCAGTGAAGTGACTTGTCTCAGGTATATAGCTGGTTATCACAGTGCCAGTTGTCTGAATGCCTGAGGCCTGTTCTCTTGGTTTAAGGATGTCACAGTCTTATCAGAACAGGAGCTCCAGTAGTCAGGACAGCTGAAGCTTATGCTGCTGTTGCTTTCTTTTTTAAAGCTCTTTAAGGATTTTCATTTTGAGTTCCCTGGGAAGTCTAGAAGGTGGCCATTCTGGAAGTTCCTCCCTGGGAAGTCTAGAAGGTGGCCATTCTGGAAGTTCTCACTCAGTTTATATCACCTTGGGCATATAACCTGGCTTTCCCGAGCCTGTTCCTTATCTACAAAGTTTGATAAGAACTTACTACCTCACAGTGTTTCCGAGGTTCTTAAATTTCTAGGATGATTTCTAACACAGTATTTTTGGTAGACACTTTTTTTTGAAGCTGAAGTGCTAATGTATATTTATTTATCTGAAATTCACTTCGGTATGCTTATAAAGTACCAGGTACTGTTATAAGCACTAACATGAAAATATCTCCTCACTCAAGGAATGTACAGTGTGGTAGAGATAAAAAGGTAAACAAAGGGCTGGGATTGTGGCTCAGCGGTAGAGTACTTGACTAGCATGTACAAGGCCCTGGGTTTGATCCTCAGCACCACATAAAAATAAATAAATAAAGATACTGTGTCCAGCTACAACTAAAAAATTTAAAAAAAGGTAAACAAATAAAATACAATGAAATAAATACTTCAAAATGGTGTATAGAAATATACAAAAGAAACGATGACTATTTAAAAAGAATTCCATGGAGTAATTAAGGTATGTTTGATATAAATTAAGATTAGAACAATAAATAAAATGCCCAAGTGATTAAGGGTGGGAAGGGGATTTGAGACAGTAAGTCCAACAAAAGCATCAAAAAATGAACCTGGCACAGTGGTGTACACCTGTAATCCCAGCTACTCAAAAGGCCGAGGCAGGAGTTCCACAAGTTTGAGGTCTGCCTGGACAACTTAGCAAGACTCTTAAGACCTTTCTCAAAATAAAAAATATAAAAACAAAAAACAAAAAATCAGGGTACAGTGTTCAGAAATGGTAGAACTAAAAAATAAGTTTGTAGAGGAAGAATGAAACTAGAGGAGAAAAAGAGTATATCAGATACAATCTGCTCCTTTGGCATTTGTATAAAATGCCAAGTATATGAAACTTATAATGAACAAAGCTAAAATCTGGCTGAAATTGAAATAACCCAAACAAATTTTCATAATGCTGATTCCAGGGCTTCATAAATTATCTAGTTCAATGTGATGCATGCTTCAGTAGACAAGTTTGGTTCCCTAGGTCTTGGGTGACACTGAAGGATTTCAAGAAGGGGAAAATATAATCAGATAGCATTTAAAAAGATCACATTGGTTTTAGAGTAGAGATGTTATTTAAAAGGTCAAAGATAGGCCTGAAAACTAGGAGAAGATTATTATAATTATTAGTACTAAATATGCCTATTACTACTAAATATGCCTGAAATCCAAGGGAAGAGAAGAGGAAATATTTGGAGAAATGGCAAAAGAATACAGGAATCAAAAATAACACTTAGGATTTTGAAATTTACCGAGAAAGGAAAGACAGAAAGAACAATTTGAAAAAAGAAATATAAAGCATCTGATTTTGTATTTGTTGAAAATGTGCCTAGGAAAGTCTGTCAAACAGTAATATACCTGAACCTTAAGTATAGAGAAAAGTTCCAAGTTGAGCATGCACACTTGAGAGCCATCTGAGGTTAACTAAAATCATAAATGGCAATGTCTAGAAAGCATGTGAAATATAGTAGTAATGAGGAGAAAAGATGTCCAATGGCAGATCGGCCAAGGGATGGGGGAAAAACAACTTTATTGTGAAGAAAAAAAAGTTTGGAGGAGAAGGAAATAAGCATCACTGAATATAGAGATGAGAAAAGATAATGTCTTGAATATTCCTACTGGATTAGTCATTTAAAAATGATTAGTTATTTTAGTAAAAAATAATATAGTGAAATGGGAGTAGAAGCCAGATTGTCTCAAATTAAGGATAAAAGAGAGCAGTGAATTTTTAGAATCAAAACAGTCAGAAACTTTGTTAAAATTATTTTCATCAAGAGGTTTTAAGAAATCAAATTATCTGAAAATCTAAATTCAACACAAGTTCATAAATACATGACCAATACACTGTAATTCTGTTCAATCTTTTCAGAAAGCATTTGGGAAAAATGTTTCAAACTATAAGATGATTTCAACTTTCATCTTAGCCGCTTTTGAGATTATTTCATTAATTAACATTGTAAGCCTACTAGGTAGAGATCATTGTAAATGTCATAAAGTATAATTAGTCTGTACCAACATGTTCCTTGGGGGATTTGAAAACAATGTAAATGCCCAGCAATGAGATGCACAAGTACATATAACTGTTAACATATGAAGCATGTGAGCAAACAAATATATATGAAAAAGATTATCTGTTAAAAAAAAAGAATTATAATGCCTACTTCACTCATGGAGTTGTCTAGAGGATGAATTGAGATAACATATGCAGTATGTTAGACACAGTACTGGCACAAAGCAGATATTCTATAAATGTGAATTGTTTCTACCTTCTCTTTCTTCCTTCAGGAATTTAATTAACATTTTAATTGAAGTCTAACTACTGAATACAAAGATATCAAGGTAGTATGGAAGACAGGCTGAGCTTCAAAATTTTCTCTGAGAAGTAGGGAAACATGATCATGGGTACGTTGAGAAAGTTCTCTGAGCAATTTTGTTATGGCTCCACTCTCAATCTTTTATCACTCTTCTAATATTGTTTCATCAATAACAGAACTACAGATTTAAAAAAAAAAAAAGTGACTCACTGGAAAGGACTTTGGAGGCCTACTACAAACATGGCCTACTAATAGCTGACATATGGGGTGGCTAACCAATTATATTTAAGGTTAAAAGACTCGGTGGGGACTCTAGTCTAAGCCACTGGGTGGCCAAGGCACACATGGCCACTCTCAATAGTTTTTCAAACATAGCCCTATGAATGATGCAGAGTGGCTGAGGGCTGGGTCCCCAGGACACTGTGTATGGGGTCTGCTCCGCTTTTGTGCATAAGTTCAGAGAAACATGAATGGATAAGACCAGAAAATGGTACTGAAACAGTGGGAATCAGCGATTTTGCACTGGGAAGGCAGCTCTGGGAAATGTTTACTGTAGTCTGCTTGAAGTTGGGACAAAAATTGATAAAACAAGATGAGTTTGGTGTTTTGGAAATAGTGAAAACTGCCAGTGAACTCTGTTCTCCTCTATCAGAAATAACTGAAATTAATGAGCCATGTGCAGAAAATCCAGGGCTTATAAACAAACCTTGTTATGAAGATGGTTGGCTGATAAAGATGACACTGAGTGACCGTTCAGAACTAGATACTAGCGAGTGAATAAGAATATGAGAAATATGTAAAATCTATTGAGGAGTAAATGGCACATTTAAATAAACTAGCGTGAAATAACAAGTAAACAAGACACAATGGGACTAACCTTAGGTTCCTGTTGCCAATCTATTACAAGATCAAGGTAGAGATAAGGTAAATATTTATAAACTCAGGAAGAACAAATTTAGGTTGATTTACAGAGGAGGAAAGGAAGACAGGAAAGAGAGTAAATGTTCTACAAAAACAGTAGAAGATAAAGTGGCAAGAAGGTGGGTATAGGTTAGGTACAAGGACTGCAAAGCCAGGAAGCCAGAGTCTGAGCCCAAGTTCCCTCTTCTGTAAAACTTACGTTAAAATAAGAAAGAACATGTCTAAAACACTTAGCCCAATGTTTGGAAAAAAGAGTTGCTTAATAAATATTAGTTGTTATAATCACAGATCACTGGTGATCATAATCTAAAGGTAGGTTGTCATCAGTTTTGTAATTTAAGAAACAAACATAACACTAAGTTGTAAACAGCAGCAAGCTGTTTTCTATAATCCCTCCTACACCTACTGCATTTTCTACTTTTTCTAATACTTTTTAAAAAACACTCATTTTCTATGTTCCTAAGAATTGATGTAAAAATGCTTTCCTTCCATTTGTATTTAATGTTAGGTGTTCTTATAATCACTCTGGCATTTATGCCAATGTATACTGTTTGCTGATTCTGCTTTGGTAGATTTAACTTTTAAAGCTATAGGAAGAAGGGTAGGATATATAAAACTGTCATAACAATTATGACTTGCAAGATTGACTCTCACTTACAAAAGGCCAAAGCAATCAGGCATAATAAAGAATCTGCAATATCAGGCAAACTATGAAATTATATAAATTATATAATAAAATTGAAAAGTCTCCCTAAAGACAGAATATTACATCAGTAAGAAAAAGGAAAATATTATGTTTATTATTTAAGAAACATTTCCCAAAAGAATCTAAAGACAGTTACAACAAAAATATAAAAGTAACCTTTGTTAAAGGAAACTGCTCATTTTAATGTAACCAAAAACTTACAAGTTCTCAGAAAAGTGATTTTCTTGTTAAATTTACAGATTCTAAATTCTCAAAATAACTGAACTGCTCATAAGAGAAATGACTTTCTTTAAGTGTCACAATAAATACCAGATTATAAAAAATAATGCTTTGTCAATTCAACTCCATGCCAATGGATCCTCTGAAACCATCAGCCCATGAAAACAATAAACTTTATTACCGATTATGAAATAAGAATTGAAATTGTTGCAAAAGGCTAAACTAAATGATTAGTTTTCTTTCTTTTTTACTTTTAACTAGTGATTAGAAAGGGTAAATGGTAGAGCTTTAGTATCATTTTGCTTGAAAAAAAAATCAAGAAGATAATGCTAACAGAAAGATATACAATACTTTCTGGCAAGTCTAAGTGGAGAAATAAAGTATTTTTCAAAGGCAATATAGTAGCATTTGACTCTTTTTCAAATTACAATTCCAAATTCTCTTTGTTTAAGGGAATCAAAAATAAGGCAAATAGGGAGTGCCTATGGCTGGATGCTGCCACCTATATATACTCTACCTGTTCTCTGTCTCCAGTTCATTCTTGCGTAGATTTGCGTCATCTAAAAGGCTCTGCAATAAGGCAATTTTTTCATTGTCTGAACCCTCTTGATTAATTTTTAGCATTCTATTCTCATGCTGAAGACGAATAAGTTTCTCCCTGAATGAACAAAACGAAAACTGATTACCTGGTACATTAATACAATATAGGTATAAAAAATCTACTCATGTATAGTTACAGACTCAATACACATAAGTGAAAAAGTACCTGCAATGAATGTAGCTTCTTTCTAACTGTTAAGGCATTCCATTTCAGGTTTTAAATTATTTTCTTTTAATTAATTTATTCTTTTTTATTTATATATAACAGCAGAATGCATTACAATTCTTACTATACATATAGAGTACAATTTTTCATATCTCTGGTTGTATACAAAGCATATTCACACCCATTTGTGTCTTCATACGTGTTCTTTGGATGATAATGATCATCACATTCCACCATCATTTCTTAAATTCTTTATACAAGGAATAATCTGAAGATAATAATCTCTGCATATCATGATTTATAATGAAGGCATTTTAAAATCCTGTTTCCCTTCTGATTTAAATATTTAAGCTGTGAATAAATTTATGTTTTCTTGTTCTTTGGTTCTCATAAGAAAACATGACCTCTAAAGCCAAGCTCTTACATTACCAATCATTTGGAGGACTGTTTTCAAGAAATTCAGCACACCCAATCCTAGAGATATGTAAAAGTGTAGTCTTCTAACAAGGTGAATTATTAGAGTCAGATTACTAGATTACATTGCTTTGCATTCATTCTTGTGCCAAGCCAAAGCTTACATAGAGGAATGTTAAAAGCAACAGTCACACTGAACTGGTAACCACATTTATTACAGAGCTAATATAATTAAATATTTATTCATATGAAAATGTTCTTTAAATATATAATTCATTTCTTCTTTATACAGGGTCTTCTTTAGACGGGCCCATGAAGAGAGTGCTTTCAGATACCAAATCCTATAAAAAGCTGTGCTTCTAATGAAAAACAAATCAAAATGAGAAACATACATATTAAAACCAGCTCTTATTTTGTAAACACCATAAATCTTCTCAAGTATTTTTACTTTTGCTACCCAAAAGATGAATCAAACTTGCAACTCAATAGTTCGCTGTTTTTAAGTCCTTTGGGTACACAGCCACATCAATGTTTAAAGCAGCACAGTTCACAATAGCTAAACTGTGGAACCAACCAAGATGCCCTTATATACACAATGGAATATTACTCATCAATAAAAGAGAATAAAATCATGGCATTTGCAGGTAAATGGATGGAGTTAGAGAAGATAATGCTAAGTGAAGTTAGCCAATCCCAAAAAACGAAATGCCAAATGTATTCTTTGATATAAGAAGGCTGATTCATAGTGGCATAGGGAGTGGGAGCATGGGAGGAATAGATGTACTCTAGATAGGGAAGAGGGGTTGGAGGGGAGGGAAGCGGATATGGGGTTATAAATGATGGTGGAATGTGATGATCATTATTATCCAAAGTACATGTATGAAGACACAAACTGGTGTGAATATACTTTGTATACTACCAGAGATGTGAAAAATTGTGCTCTATATGTGTAATAAGAATTGTAATGCATTCCGCTGTCATATATAAATAAAAAAAAAAACTTGCAACTCAATTCAAGAAATCATATAGAATGTGAAATATTTTGTATATGGACAGCAATAACTTTGTATTTTTCAATTACAAAGTACACACCTTCATTGTAGGGAATAAAAGATAAAAGAAAATATAACTCTCTTTAACTCTCTGATGCAAAAGAACTATTATTTAAATATAGCTTTCTATGTGTGTATACATACAGTACACATTGCTTAAAAAATGGTATCACACAACACACATTGCACTCATAGCTGCTATTTACAGTTAAAAGTTCATAATCTTTATTATTAACTACACTTTAATAAATTTTTATTTTTTTGTTTTTATGTGGTGCTGAGGAATGAACCCAGGGCCTCACATGTGCTAGAAGAGCGCTCTACCGCTGAGCCACCATCCCAGCCCCACTTTAATAAATTTTAAGTGACATACTGTTAAAATATATAAGTGAATCAGTTATTTCATAAAAGTCCGATTATGGGCATATTATCAATTGAGTTTTAACATTTTAATAGGATATACCTTTGTGTACAAAAAATTTCCTTAGGATTAATTCTCAGAAGTGTTATTTTTCAGTTAAAAGATAAGCACACTCTTAGATGAGACATTTTGTTAATTTGCTTAAAAAAAATTATTCTACTTTAATCTTTTCCCCTACTTTGAGTATTCCAATTTCTCACTCAACATCAATAAAAAGTACGAAATAATATCCCACTGTCTATGACTTAAGTTGCAAACTTTTCATCACTGCTAATCATTTCATTTTTTTTGACAGTTCTTCTGGACATACAGCATATTCTAATTTGTATCTAGTAATATGCAAAAAAAAAAAAAACCTTGTCAAATCTTTATAATTATTCTTTTCTTAGAGAGCCACTGTAAAAAATTTTGAGGGGACATAGACTTTTATAAATGTTTTTAAATAATAAGTATTCATCCATTCAACTAATTTTATTGGTTCAATTATAATGTAACATATTAGGAAGTAATAAAGATATCTCCAGACATGATGTTGAATTATACTTCTTTTGTTTGTACTTCTTAAATTAAAAAATCATTTATTCAATGAGTACTTACTTCAACTTTTACAGTTTATAAAACTTTTACACAACCATTATTCCACTTAATAATTCCAAAGATTTTTTTTCTTTTTTCTTTTTTTTTCAGTACTAGGAATTGAACATAGGGGCCCTCCACCATTTAGGTATACCCCCAGCCCTTTTTTACTTTGAGGAAGCATCTCAATAAGTTGCCCAGGCTAGTCTCAAATTAGCCATCATCCTGCTTCAACCTCCTAAGTAGCTGGGATTACAGTTGTATGCCACACACCTACCCCTGAAGCATCAAGGTCAGCGTCCATTTTAAAAAGGAGCAAATAGGCCCAGAAAAGGTAAAAGCATTTTCCTTCTGGAAACTGAAGACTTCCCCCAAACCCATTTCTCATTCATATATATATGCTAAGTTAAATGGAATTTTAAAAAATGCTTTGGCTAAATAAGAAGGATTATTACTGAGGGAAGAGTATTTAGAGATAGGGAGATGTTTCCTCCTCTCTATAGCACTGTATCTTTCCCAGACCATTCCAAGTGGTTAGTAGATAAAACCTTAAAATTATTTTGCAGGCTGATAGCTAAGCATAACCTTTGTCTTTGGCCAAATATTTTCATTGCTAAATGTTTGTTGAGGGTATTAGTTTACTTTGTGTGAAAGATTGTCCTACTGAAATGAGAAGATCAGTTATCTGTTAGGCCAGTTGAAGAAAGCTTCTAACATGCTGAAAACATAAAAATTTAATACTGAATTCAAGTTCAAAGTATTAGTAATAAAAAAGAACTGGTTCTCTTTACACTTTAAAGGAATCATTTTTCTCCACAAATATTATGCAGTGTGACTGTGAACATCATAATCTCCTTACCTGATTTCAGGAGTAATAATCTCTGCTGCGAGGCTATCTGAAGATTCTTGACTGCCCAGAGGCATTAATCCTATAAACACAGATGCAAATACAAGGTTAACAGAAAGCACAACTACATCCTTTAGTTAAGTAATACAAACTTTAGAGGAAACTCTATCTTGAGCATTAATTTTAACAGATAAAATCACCATTTTCTCAAGTACAAGATCTCACTGTAGTAGTCTTACAGTATTTTACTATTTTAAGTATACAACTATGTAGCATTAAGTATATTCACAATATATAGTCAATACCACTGCCTATTTTCAAAACTTTTGTATCACTCAAATCAGAAATTCTATAGACATTAGGCAATAACTCTCCATTCCTTCCTTTCCTGGTCCCTGGTAACCTCCATTCTACTTTCTGTCTCAGTAATTTGCCCAGTCTAAATACCCCATATAAGTAGAATCATACAATATTTGTCTTTTTGTGTTTGGCTTACTTAAAACAATGTTTTAAAGATTCATTCATATTTTGGCATGTATCAGAATTTCCTTCCTTTTGTGGCCAAATAATATTCCTATGTATACAAATGCATTTTGTTTATCCATTTATCCATCAACAGACACTAGCCTTGCTTTCACCTTTTGATGACTGTGAATGCTGCTGCTATGAAAATTTGTGCACAAGCATCTGGTTAGTCCACCATTTTCAATTCTTTTGGGTATACACTTAGGAATGGAACTGCTAAATCATACAGTAATTTTATGTTTAACTTTCTCAAGAGCCAACAAACTGGTTTCTACAGCACTGATCATTCCTACCAGCAATGTATAAGAGTTCCAATTCTCCGTATCTTCATCAGCACTTTTTTCTTTTCTTTTCTTTTTTTTTTTTTAGGGTGAGTAAGAGTATTAGCTACCTTAACTGGTATTAAGTGGTTGTGGTTTTGTTTTGTATGAGGTGTTGGGGATCAAACCCAAGTCTTCACACATGCCAAGTAAGTGCTACTCAAGGCCTGGCATATACATGCTAGGCAGGTATATGAAATATAACCTTAACCTATTTTTTGCTTTGAGACAGAGTCTCCTAAATTGCTCTAGCCACTCCTGAACTTGTAATCCCATTGCCTCAATCTCCCAAGTAGATGGGATTACAGGCCTGTACCACCATGCCTGGCTGTGTTTTGTGTTTATTGCTATTGATTTATAGAATCTTTGTATATCCTAAATATTAATTCCTTACCAAATAGATGATTTGCAAATATTTTCTCCTATTTTATGGTTAATTTCAGTTGCTTAATGGTGTCCTTTGATGAAGAAAAGTTTTCAATTTTGACAAAAGTCCTATGCTTTTCTTTTGTTGCCTATGCTTTTGCTATTATTAATTCCAGAGAATCACTGCCAAATTCAATGTCATCAAGATATTCCTCTAAACATTTAATTTTCTCTTAAAATTCTTTTCTCTCCACCCTTTATCTAATTGCCCAAGTTAGGAATTCTAGTACTTTATTAAATAGAATTGATGATAGTGGGCATCTTTGTCTTATTCCTGATCTTGGAGGAAAAGCTTTAGTTTTTGCCATTGAATATGATGTTAGCTACAGGTTTTGTTTTATTATTTTTTTAAGTTGTAGTTGAACACAATATCTTTGTTTTATTTATTTATTTTTATGTGGTGCTGAGGGTTGAACCCAGCACCTCACATGTGCTAGGCGAGCGCTCTACTGCAGAGTCCCAGCCCCAGCTACAGGTTTTTCATATTTTTAAATATCATATTGAGGAAATTTTCTTCTCTTCCTAGTTATACTGAGATTTTAACATTATAAGTGGATGTTGGGTTCTGTAAAATGCTTTTTCTGAGCCAGGTATGGTAGCATATGCCTATAATCTCAGCTGAGAATATACTCAGGAGGCGAAGCAAGTGGATTGCAATTTCAAGGCCAATCTGGGCAACTGAGCAAGACTTTATCTCATGATGAAATAAAAGAACTGGGAGTGCACCTCAGTGATAGAGTGCTTGCCTAACATGTGCAAGGCCCTGGGTAAATCCCATTACCATAAGTATATACACACATAAAGGCCTTTTCTGCATCTACTTACATGATGGTGAACAGTTGTTTTTCCCTTCATTTTGTTAATGTGGTAAATTACTTTGATTGCTATGTCTTTTGAGGGGGGGTGAGGACTGGGAATTGAACTGGGTAGCAACTCAATTACTGAGCCACATCCCCAGCCTTATTTTGTATTTTATTTAGAGACAGGGTCTCAGTGAGTTGCTTAGCACCTTGCTGTTGCTAAGGCTGGCTTTGAACTTGTGATCCTCCTGTTAATGTTAGGATCAGCTTGTCAATTTTTACAAAAAAGTCCACTGGAGATTATTTTATTGGGATTGCACTGAATCCTTGGATCAATGTAAGGAAAGCTGTAATCTTAACTGTATTGAATCTTTTAATATCTGAATATGAGAGACCTCTTCATTTATTTAGACCTTATTTTAATTTATGTAGCAATGCTTTATAGTTTTCAGTGTACAAGTCCTGCATTTCTTTCTTAAACTTATTCCTAAGCATTTTATTTCATTTTTTTTCTCTTCTTTTTGTGGATTGGACCAAGAAGCATTCTGCCTCTGAGCTACACCTTCAGCCCTTATTCAAATTTTATTTTAATACAAATTTTATTTTGTGATCTTCCTGCTTCAGCCATCTGAGTTGCAGGAACTGCTGGGGTTATAGGCATACACCACTGTGCTTGGCACTTTTTTCCTTTTTCTCTTTTGCAGTTCTGGAAAATTGAACCCAGGGCCTCACATATGCTAGGCAAGTACTGTACCACTGAGTTATACCTCTAGCCCTGAATGTCATTTCTTTTTCATATCACTCTAATTTTACTTTCAGAATATTCACTGGTAGTATACAGAAATACACTGATCTCATTTCTTTCTTTCTTTCTTTTTTTTTTTGGTACCAGGGATTGAATCCAGGAGCACTTAACCATTTGAGCCACATCCCTAGCCCTTAAAAAATATATATATATATATATATTTTGAGGCAGGGCCTTGCTAAGTTGCTGAGGCTGGCTTTCAACTTGCAATCCTCTTGCCTCCCAAGCCACTGGGATTCCACACCAGATTTACATTTTTCAAAATTTTCCATCTTAGATGTTTTCTATTTCATTCTTTTGCCATACTACACTTGCTAGAAACTCTCACACCACACTGAATGGAAGTGATGAGAGTGAACATCCTGGCATTAATTCGAGGGGAAAAAATTCAGTCTCTCATCATTAAGTATGTGGTATATGAGGTTAGCTGTAGGTTTTTCATGGGTACCCTTTAGTAGGCTGAGTAACTTTCATTCTATTTTTAGTTTGCTGAGAGACTATCAAGAATGCTGTCCCCTACTTGTTTTTTAATATTTATTTTTTAGTTGTAGTTGTACACAATATTTTTATTTATTTATTTTTATGTGGTGCTGAGGATCGAACCCAGGGCCCCCACACTTGATAGGCGAGCGCTGTACCGCTGAGCCACAACCCCAGCCCTGTCCCCTTCTTTTTTAACTTACTGATGGAACATACACATCTCTTCATGTCAGGCAAGTACAAGATTTGCCTTATTATTATTATTATTATTTTTTTCTGTACCAGGGATTGAATTCAGGGGCACTTAACCCTTAGCCACATCCCCAGCACTGTTTTTGTATTTTATTTAAAGACAGTGTCTCATTGAGTTGCTTAGCACCTTGTTAAATTGCTGAGGCTGGCTTTGAACTCAGGATCCTCCTGCCTCAGCCTCCCAAACCGCTGAGACTACAGGCATGCACCACCATGCCCAGATTCTTTATTCTTTTTAATGGCTCTACAGTACACGGCCAAATGAGAATGCCATTTCTACATTGCTGAATTTTTAGGTTGTTTTTAAAGTTCACTATGAGAAACAATGCCTTAAGCCATATTAAGGTAATTTTCTAGAGTAAAATCGTTAGGTCAAAGGGTGTGTACATAAAGAAGGTAAAAATATACAGGTTGTTAGGTAGCAAACAGAAACATGAGAGTTTACATGAGATAGTCTACCTTTTCTTGATGATACAGGAGCTGAGAATAAAAAGGTTAAAGTTCAGGTTAGAGTCAAAATTTTAGAAAAACTCAAGCAGAGTTGATTAGAGACAAGTGAAAAAACTGCCAGGCAGGCAATGAAGATCCAATTATATAAAAAATGATGAATTTTTGGTGAAGATAATTAAGAAAGATATATTTTTCTTTAGTTGACTTTGGCAATTTGCAATGTGTGTGGGGAGGGGCTTTAGGCTGCCTAAATTAAGGTTTGACAAGCTTGGACTAAAACAAGGTAAGAAGAAAAGAAAGCAGTGATGAGAAAATGGTCAAAATAGTTGATAGGCAGGCTGAATAAGTTGGAAAATGAGGCCAGGTGAGAGAGCTAGTTAAGTGAGACTATAGGAAGCTGAATGCAGTGGAGTATGCCTGTAATCCCAGTGGCTCAGGAGGCTGAGGCACTAACCAACTCAGTGGTGAAGTGCCCCTGAGTTCAATCCCTGGTAAGCCCCCTTCCCTCCAAAAAAGAGAGACTATAGGAGCAGATTAGAAGGTAAAGGAATAAATAAGCAGGTTTTTAGAAGAAAAAGGAATTAAGAAAAAGAGTAGTCATGGGAAAAGAAATATTCCAGTTTTATCTAACTAACAAGCGGGACTGGTTATTAGTGTGGGAGTGAACAAACCAAAGCTATTCAAATCATCAATCTTTCACAGTCCTCCACTGTCATGCAAGAGCAGTAGAAGAGTGAGCTGAGTGTTGATTCTCTCAAGTGAGGAAGAATAGATTTTGGAGATGTTCCTTAATGGATTAAAATCCATTCCACTTTTCTCAGCAGAGGGAAAACAAACAAACAAATAAAAAACACTGACTCAGAATGTTTGATATACTTTTAAAGAAGACATGAGGAGTTTTTCAGAATGAATTTCCAGGTTAACAAAGATGACTTCCATATTATGTACAACCACAAGAATGGGATCCTAATTGGAATGAGTTGTACTCCATGTATGTATAATATGTCAAAATACACTCTACAGTCATATATATTTAAAAACAACAACAAAGAAGCCCATCTGGAAACACTACATACTAGGTGATTCCAACTCTATGCTACTGAATAAAACAAACCCATGGAGATAGTAAAAAAAGATCAGTAAGATGAGTGGTTGCCCAGGGTTAGTGGGGACTGAATAGGGTGAGGGCAGACATGGAATTTCAGGGCAGCGGAAATACGCTGCATGATACCATAATGGTAGATACATGTCAATATATTTATTCAGACCCATATGAATTAACCCTAATGTTAGTATGAACTCCCAGTGATAAAAAATATACATTCATCATTGAAACAAATGTACTCTGGTGGGGGACATTGTTAATGAGGGAGGCCATGCATGTTTGTGGGCATAGGGTCTATGGGAAAACTGTGTCTTCAATTTTACTGTGATCCTAAAAGTACTCTAAAAATAAAGTCTATTTTAAAGGTATAAAAAAGAGAAATGATTTGACCTAATAAAAACTCAAATGCCAGCAAATTTCTCTAAAAGTTGGCAAGTAAATCTGGTCCCATAACTATAGCCTATTTTCCATAATCTGGGTAAGAGTTTAAAAATTCGTATCAATTTTATTGCCTCGAACCAATTTTTCATTTTTATCTTAAAGTGAACCTAATGTTTTTGGTAATCATCAGAAATAAATCATCTTGTTTGGATTAACAAGATGTTTACCTTGAGTGGTGAGCTGTCCTTCCTGAGCCTGCACACAACGAAGCTCTTCAATAGTTTCCTTCAGAGAATCCCTTTCTGTTCTTAATCTCTGGAAGGATATATAAACAAGGAAGGTCAGCTTCAAGCTTTATGAATTTATTCATCAGTGGTCTTTGCCTTACCTAATAAAATGATAAACAACAGTGAACCTGGACATGCTTTACATTTTGGTCTTTTATGGAAAGATCATAAAGAAAAAGATTAAAACAATTTTTTTTCATTTAATAATACTGAATGTCCACTATTGCAAGGCAATATGCAACACACAAACATAAGAAACAGAGCTATCTACTCCATCCTTAAGTAAAAGGAATTAATTTCTTAACATCCTTTTCATTAAACACAAAAGATCAAAGAATAAAAACTAAGTATTCATAAACCTTGAAAAGCAAAAATATCTTTAAAATATTCAAAACATGCTGAAAAATAAATGTCTTATAAATTAATCACATAGAAAGCAGAAAAACTACACAAATTTACAGAAAGAGCAAAACACTTTAAAAGAGGCAATAGTGGTAGAAAAGATAAATAAATATTAAAAAATTAGAATGGAAGTAAAATAATTCATATTTTATTTTAGATCTATTTCCAAAACAAATGGAATCTTTTTTGAATTTTTTGTAATTTAAAAATAAATAGAATCTCTAATTTTTAAATTCGTGAACAGAAGGAATTAATGTAGTTAAAACACGAATTAAATATAATCGTCTAAATTTATCAGTGGTCAAAATCAAAATGCCTAATATACATACTTACATCCTTTTCCTTTTGAAGACTATCAACTTTTTCTTTTAGCCGCTTATATTCAAAGTCTAATTTATCTGCTTTCTTTGATTCTTCAGATAATCTATTTTGCAGTTCTACTACCTGATACAGAAAGATACCATTAATTTTTATTATTTGAAACATTAGGAATTATCATTATGGGGGCTAAAGGTGTAGCTTACTGGTAAAGCATATGCTTAGCATGTGTGAGATCCTGGGTTTGATCTCCAGAACCCAATCCCCTCCCCACAAAAAAGAAACAACCATTTTCTTCTTCTCCAAGTCTATGAAAACCCCCTCCCCCCATCAATACTCAAATGAATGCATATAACCCAGCAGCTGAACACAATGGAGAAAAACAGAAATGAAAATCTGCCTAGACACTGAATTCCCAAATCAGAATCATCTAGAGTAACAGTGCTGAAAATTATAAAAGAATCCTCCGGAATTTTCATTTCCAGCAATATAGCTAACTGGATAGTCTAAAATCCTTTTTGAATTGAGGAAAAAACAACAACAAAGAAAAAGAAAGAGAGAAAGAAATGCTGGGGTAGGTATCCAATCACATAGCTAAGATAAAGTGAGAAGTTCATGCAGAAGTTGCCAGTACCAGTTTAATAGGAGTTAAGTGGTTATTAAACTGCTTTGGGCTCTAAAAGGTAGTAAGGTAGTAAAAAGATGGATTAGGACAAAAATTCTTCAGCTGGCAAGATAATCAAGTACTTGGGTTTTAAAAGAGTATGATTTATAAATCTACAATCATAGCCAGTTAATAGATGAATTATGCTTGAATTTTTATTCTTAGCCTTATCTGGGAAAATGTAAAGTAAGCAATTAAAGTGATAGATGAGGGAGTCCCACTACAGGTAAATGGCATTTTATTCAGTAAAATAATAGGTGGAAAGTTTCCAAATCTTAGCAACGATGTGGCCATCGGTACTGAAGACATTTAGAACTCCAAATAAACATGACCAGAAAAGAACCTTTCCAAGATGAACTATCAATAGGTTGGAACAAAGAAAGAATATTAAAAGTTGTAAGAGAAGCACCAAGTCACCTATTAATGCAAGCCCATGAGAATAATAGCAGATTTCTCAGCAGAAATTCTAAGGGTCAGGAAGACATGGAATAATGTATTTCAAGCCCTAAAGAAAACAAAATTACTACATCCAGAAAAGATATCCTTCAAAATCTAAGAAGAAAAAGGACTTTTTAAGATAAGAATTCAAGACTGCTAAATCAGCATTACAGAAGATACTCAAAGGAATCCTACACCCAGATGAGAAATCAAGATAAACAACCAAAAGAGCATGGAAAAGAATAAGTAGATGGGCTGGGGTTGTGGCTTAGTGGTAGAGCTCTTGCCTAGCATGTGTGAGGCACTGGTTTGATCCCTGGCACCACATTAAAAAAAAAAAAATGAAGAAAAGGAAAAAAAAAAAAAAAACAAGGGAGAGAATTAAATTACAGCAGATGGGGTAGAGAGAGAAGATGGGAGGGGAGGGGAGGGGGGATAGTAGAGGATAGGAAAGGTAGCAGAATACAACAGTTACTAATATGGCATTATGTAAAAATGTGGATGTGTAACCGATGTGATTCTGCAATCTGTATTTGGGGAAAAATGGGAGTTCATAACCCACCTTGAATTTAATGTATGAAATATGTCAAGAGCTTTGTAATGTTTTGAACAACCAATAAAAAAAAATGAAAACAAACAAAAATAAAGGTATTGTATTCATCTACAACTGAAATTATACACACACACACACACATATGAATAAGTGGATAAGCAAATGAGAAGTGGGATAGAATCAAACATGATTATTTCAGTAAACCATCAAACCCCTAAGACAAATAAAAGAGAAAGAAATGAACAAAGATGATTTAAAACATATAAAACAATAATATCAAAACAACAGGAACTGGTAATTTGCCTTGCAATAACAACCCCGAATGTAAATGATCTAATTTCTCCAATGCAAAGATGCAGACTAGCTGAATGGATTAAAAAGCAAGACCCAACTCTTTGAAACTGACAAAGGCACATACAGGCTGAAGGTAAAAAGATGGAGAGTGATAATCCAAATGAAATCCAAAAGCAAGCACGGCTATCCCTGCATCTGACAACAAAGACCAAAATTGGTCAAAAGAACCCCAAAGATCACAATATGCTGATAAGGGTACAATCAATCAAGAGAAATATAATGATTGTAAATATATATGCACTGAACTTCGCAGCATCCAATTTTATTTAAAACAAACAAACAAACAAACAAAACCACTACAAGACACAAAGGGATAGAAAGGTCCCATAATAGTGGGTGACTTCAATACCCTAGTCTTACCAATGGATAGATTATCTAGGCAAAAAATGAGAAAAGAAACATTGGAGTTAAATTACCCTATAGATCATATGAACTTAATAGCCATCTACAGACTATTCCATCTAACAGCTACAGAATATACATACTTTTCATCAGCACATAGAGCATTTTTCAAAATAGATAACATTCTAGGCCATAAAGCAAATCCTAATATACACATACATTCACACAAATAAAATTATTTCTTATATCTTTATCAGACCACAACAGAATGAAATAGAAATTAACATCAAGAAAAACTTAGGAATTATACAAAAATATGCATATTGAACAATGTATTTTTTATAGTAAACTGGGAGAAATTTAAAAATTCCTAGAATCAAATGATAATGGAAACACAGCCTACAAGAACATATGGGACGGGCTGGGGTTGTGCTCAGTGGTAGAGAGCGCGCCTCGCACATGTGAGAACCTGGGTTCAATCCTCAGCACCACATAAAAATAAATAAACAAAATAAAGATACTGTGTCCATGTATAAGTAAAAAATATTTTTTAAAAAGAACACATGGGATACAGTAAATGTGAGGGAAGTTTATAGCAACACATGCTTAAATTAGAAAAATAGACCTCAGATATAACCTAATGATGACTTAGAAAAACAAGAAAAAACAACAACACCCAATATTGGTAGAAGGAAAGATATAATAAGAACCAGTAGAAATAAATGAAATAGACACTAAAGAAAAATCCGAAGAATAAATGAAGCAAAGAATTGATTAGATAAACAATTCTGACCAACCCTTAACCAAGCTAACCAAAAAAGAGAAGAACCAAACAAAATTAGAGACGAAAAAAGTGGGATATTACAAGAAGTACACTAAAATTGATAGGATCATTAGGGAGTATTTTGAAAACTTGTATTGCCAATAAATTAGAAAATCCAGAAGAGGGGTTGGGGTTATGGCTCAGTGGCAGAGTGCTTGCCTCATACATGTGAGGCACTGGGTTCAATCTTCAGCATCACATAAAAATAAACAAATAAAGATATTGCGTCCAGGTGTAATTAAAATTTTTTTAAAAAATCTAGAAGAAACAATTTACAGATATATTTGACTTATCAAACTTGAACAAGAGAATTTTTAAAAAAATCTAAATAGATCAGTAACAAGAAAACTGTTTGCAGAAGATAATAACTGTATACCTAGAAAACCCTAAAGAATTCACCAAGAGTCTCTTAGAACTGATAAATTCAGCAAAGAAGCAGGATACAAAATCAACACAGAAGAGTCGGATAGCTTTCCCAGACACCAATACTGAATTCTTTGAGAAATTAAAACAAAGAAATCAGGAAAACAATCCTATTTACAATTGTTTTAAGTAAAGTAAAATACCTATGAATAAACCTAACCATGGAGGTGAAGACCTCCTACAAGGAAAAAATTATAAAACACTGAAGAAATAAATTGAAGAACACATCATAAAATGGAAAGACCTCTCCATTCATGGACTGGGAAAATTAATATTGGTAAAATGGCCATACTATGGGACGTGACTGACAGATTCAATGCAATACCCATCAAATTACCAATACATTCTTCACAGAACTAGAAAAAACAATTCTAAAATTCACATGGAAGCACAAAAGACCCCAAACACACTAGCCAATCCTAAAAAAAAGAACAATGTTCATAAAATCACCATACTGATTTCCAAATATAATATAGAGCTATTGTAACAAAAACATCATGGAAATGGCATAAAATTACACATGTAGACCAATGGAATAGATGCAAGACACGCATCTACAGTCATCTGATTTTTGGCAAAGGGGCAAAAAACACATGTTAGAGAAAAGAGAGCCTCTTTAACAAATGGTGAGGTCAAAAGTGAACCACTACCTGCTGATGGTTGAAAACTAGATTTTGAAATTGTTCAAAAACTGATTCAAATGGATCAAAGACCTTATGTAAGACTTGAAATGTTAAAATTGTTAGAAGAAAACATAGGTAAAACACTTGAAATCAGTATTATAGGCAATGACTTTCTGAATAGGATTCTAATAGCTGAGGAAATAGTAGTAAGAATTAACAAATGGAATTATATCAAATGAAAAAACTTCTGCATAGCAAAAGAAAGAATCAACAGAGTAAAGCAACTGCCTATAGAAAGGAAGAAAATCATTGCCAACTGTTCATCCAACACAGGATTAATATCCAGAACATAGAAGGAACTAAAAAAAAATTTAACACAAAATAAGATGTACAACTGGTTGAAAAATACATGAAATATTCAATGTCTTTAGTCATCAGGAAAATGCAAATCAATGGGCTGGGATTGTGGCTCAAGTGGCAGAGTGCTTGCTTAGCACCTCTGAGGCACTGGGTTCGATCCTCAGCACCACATAAAAATAAAATATATATGTGTACATATATATGTACATACACACATATACAGAAAATGCAAATCAAAACTACATTGAGGACTGGGGATGTGGTTCAGTGGCAGAGCACTTGCCTGGCACGGGTAAGGCACTGGGTTTAATCCTCAGAACCACATAAAATAAATAAAATAAAGGTATTGTGTCCATCTACAACTAAAAAAACAAAACTACATTGAGATACTATCTCACTCTAGACAGAATGGTTATTATCAAGGAAACAACAACAACAAAACCCAACAACAAATACGAGTAAGGATGTGGGGAAAAGGAATTCTTATATGCTATTGGTGGGAATGTAAATTAGTAATAAACACTATAAAAATTTCACAAAAACTAAAAATAGAAGGACCATATAACATTCCCAGCATCTATATCACTCCCAGGTAAATACCCAGAAGAACAAAAGTCAGCATACAATAGAGATATCTCCATACTTATGTTGTCATGGCACTATTAACAATAGCCAAATTTATGGAATCAGTCTGGATGCTCAATACATGAATGAATAAAACAAATGTGGTAAATACACACAATGGAATATTATTCAGCCATAGAGAAAATGAAATCATGTCATTTGTAGGAAAATAGATGGAATTGGAGATCAACGAGTTAAGTGAAACAAGCCAGACTCAAAGATAAGTATTCCATGTTTTTTTCATATGTGGAATCTAGGGGGTAAAAAGATGACATGAACATAGAAAGGGGACTATTGAAGGAGGAAGGAACTAGAAGAATGGAGGAAAAGAGAGTAATGGGAAAGGTATATACAATCAAAGTATATTATATACACATATGAAAATATGACAATTAAACCCATTATTTAGCCACCTGCAGTGACACACACCTATAATCCCACTGACCTAAGGCAGGAGGGCTATAAGTCTTGAGACCAGCCTCAGCAACTTAGCAAGACCCTGTCTCAAAAAAAAAAAAAAAAAAGAAAGAGCAGGGATGTAGCTAGGTGCAAAAATGCCCCTACGTTAAGTCTCCAGTTCCAAAAAGAGAAAGAAATCCATTATTTTGTATAGTTAAAATGTGCCAATAAGTATAATTAAAAAATAATATTCTGGACATAATAAAAAATATGAAATGGTTTCCCACTATTATTTTTACACAAAGTTGTATTAAAGGCCAGGTGTGCTGATACTGGAGGGAAAAGAAGGTATGGAATATAAAGAAACAAAATTACTTTCATTTGTTCACTATATCACCTTTAAAGAGATATTATCATAAGTAATATGAGAATTTTGCAATGCTACAGAATCAACCAATAAAATCTATTTATTGTGTACAACCAGAAATATGAAAAATTGTGCTCTATATGGGTAATATGAGTTATAATGCATTCTGCTGTCATATAACAAATTAAAATTTTAAAAAATGAAAAAGAAATCTATTTAATTAGTATAAATCATCAACAAATGGAAAATGGTATCTTCCATCAAATAACTACATTTATACAAACAACCAAAACCACAAATACCTATGAGTAAAATATGTGCATGATCTTTAAAAGAGCTTAAATTGAAAGACACTGAAGACCTAAATAAATGCAAATCGAGATATATTCATACATAGGAATACTTCTTGTCACAAAGATGTCAATTCTTTCCAAACAATCAACTGACTCAATGGAATTTCAACTCCAAGGGTTTTGATTTTAGAGGGGGAAAAAAAAAAAAAAAAACAACGGGTCCAAGAACAGACAGTTTTGAAAAAGGACAGGTAAGAGAGCCTTCTCTACCAAAAGCAAAATTACTAAAAATCTACAGAAAATATGACAGTGTAGTAGAAGCATGGAAATAAACAAGGACACCAATAGAATAGAGTGCCCAGAAATAAACCCATATATAAAATGAAAACTTTAAATATATAAGGTAGAACTGTAGGTCACTGGGGAAGAAGAATGGACCATTACATATCCACACAGACAAAAATATTAAATGGATTTCTCTCACATCCTAGGAAAGAATAAATTCCAGATGGATTATAAATCTAAATATGCAAAACAAATTTTAAATCTTTGTAATGAAGAGATTAGACTTTCATCTTTATGTAGAAAATAATGTGTTAAGATAAAAAGTACAAATCATAAAGAAAAAGATATTTAAAGTTCATTACATTAAAATTAGGACTCAAAAAATATTGGCAGGTCAGACATCTATAGGAAATGAACAATGAAACTAAAGAAATGAAAAATTAAGGGCTGGGGATGTGGCTCAAGTGGTAGTGTGCTTGCCTGGAATGCGTGAGGCACTGGGTTCGATCCTCAGCACCACATAAAAAATAAAATAAAGATATTGTGTCCACCTAAAACTAAAAAAATAAATATTAAAAAAAATTAACATAAAGAACATATAAAAGGTTTTATAAATTACAGGAGGACTGCAAGTTTGAAGCCAACCTCAGCAACTTTGTGAAACCCTTTCTTAAAATAAAAAATAAAAAGACCTAAAGTTGAGGCTCAGTGGCAAAGTATCTCTGGATTGAATCCCTAGTACCAGGGGGAAAAAGTTAAATGAGTAAGAAAAAGAATTAAATATAAAATGGGTAAAAGATAAAAATAGGAAATTCCAAAAGAAATATGGTCAGTTCATATATTTGTCATCTGCATAATGCTAAGTAAAATCACAAGGAGACACTATTTTATATTCACCAATTGGCAAAATTTAAATTTGACAATACTATGTGTTGGTGATGTGGGGGAGCAAAGGAATCCATATAAACATTTTGTTGGTAATATAATCACTTCAAAGAATAGACTAGAACATCTATTACATTGACAATGCTCTAAGAAATTCCATAAAGCTGGGCATGGTGGCACATGCCTATAGTCCCAGCTACTAGGGAGGCTGAGGCAGAAAGATCCCGGGTTTGAGGGCAGTCCTAGTAACTTAACAAGGCCCAAAGCAACTTAGCAAGACCCTGTCTCAAAAAATAAAAAGGAATAGGGATGCGGCTCAGTAGTTATGTGGCCCTAGGTTCAATCCCTGGTACCAAAAAAAAAAAAAAAAAAAAAGACAGAGAGAGAGAGAGAGAGAGAATTGATAAAGCTCTGTAACCTCCACCATGTGCACAGGACATGATCAGCATGATTAATAGGGGCATTTCTGTGTGTGTATGTGTGTGTGTGTGTGTGCATGTTTGTGTGTATGTGCATGTGTGTATAAAAGTGGAAACATCTCATATGTCCTTCAAAAGTAAAGTAGATAAATTTTGGAAGAGTCACTCAATGGAATAATATACAGCATTAACAATGAATAGTAAGTATAAAGCAATGCCTATCAACATGAATGAATCCCATAAATATACTGAGGAAAAAAAAAAGTCAAATAAAGAAGAGTATTTCTTTTTTTTTTACTTTGAAGCCAGGGGTACTCTACCACTGAGTTACATCCCCAGCCCTTTCAATTTTATACCCTGAGATAAGGTCTTGTTGAGTTGCCAAGGCTGGCCTTGAACTTGTGATCCTCCTGTTTCAGACTCCCTAGTAGGTGAGACTGTAGGTGTGCCATGATGCCCTGACAGAAGAGTGTTTTCACTGAATCATTTATGTAGTTTTGGAACATGTAAAAATGTAATAAATTTTGAGGAATAAACAGATATGTCGCAAATGTATAAAAAGATGCGTGGAACAAAAACCATATAGCAATACAGAAGTTACCTATAACAAGGGAGAAAGTGTTGTATTTTTAAGCATGTATTTACTGTATTATACCTGTATTATACTTTTGCTGTTGTGGGTTTTTTTTTTTTTTTGGTAGGGATTGAACCCACAGGTGCTTAACCACTGAGATACATCCTCAGCCCTTTTATATTTTATTTTGAGACAGGGCTTTGCTACGTTGCTGAGGTTGGCTTTGAACTTGCAAACCTCCTGCCTCAGACTCCAGAGCCTCTGGGATTAGAGGCATGTGCCACCACACCCACCTTTAGACAGGGTCTCAACTGTGTTATCTATCTAGGCTGGCCTCAAGTGATCCTCCTGCATCAGCCTTCTTTCTTAGTAGCGGGATTACAGAAGCATACCATCACACCTAGCCCTGTTGTGTATTTCTCAAGTATTCCATATTAAATTTTAAAAATTAAAAAAAGTGGGGGAGAGTTGCTTTAGAGACCAATCAAAATCCTCTGGATAAGAATTATATTTAGCTGGGCATGGTGGTGCACACTTTTAATGCAACAGCTCAGGAGGCTGAGACATGAGAATTGCAAGTTCAAAGGTAGACTCAGCAACAGTGAGGCGATAAGCAACTCAGTGAGACCCTGTCTCTAAGAAAATCACAAAATAGGGCTGGGGATGTTGCTCAGTAGCCGAGTGCCCCTGAGTTCAATCCCTGGTACCCCCCCAAAAGAATTATATTTAAAGTTCTTTAAATATAAAAAAATATAATAAAGGAAAGATTAAAAACTGTAAAAACAAAAGTTAGTGGTTTTGATAAACTATATGTCCTAGTAGACAGCTTGCTTAAAACCATCATGAGGAAAGTTGTTTCTGTTCTTTTACCTGTCTCTTATACATCTCAAGTTGACTTCGTGCTGCATTGGCCTTTCTTAACTCTTCCTCTAGACTGACAGTGTTCTGCATATACATGGTATTCTTCTCTTCTAAGAGTTTAACCTGCCGCCTCAAATCACCAAGGTCTTCCAGCTTCTTTTTATAAGATTCCACTTGACCTTCTAGTTTAGATACTTTATCAGAAGAATGTCTAGAATAAGATAGAAATTAAAAATCAGAAATATACACACGGCTGCTAAGATCTTTAGACAATGTTAAACCAAGAAAGATTACTAGGCATTATCAGGCAACAACACATTCTAATGAAATTATGATACCAAAAGTGATTTGAGAATAATTTTTTGCTCAGATTTTGTAAAAATGTCCAAAATGACAGAAAAATATATTGTTTAGAATGTTATACAATTCAAGGAAAGCAGCAGGGGACAGCCAGCAAAATCACATTTAGTACAAAAGTAAAGTAAGTTGTTAGGCATGAGTCATGAGTGATCATAGGAACAGAGGTTTTAGTGGAAAAAATAGTAGACAGACAGTGGCAAATTGTAGAAACTAAAAGGAAAATGTAATTTGTGTGTATATGTGTGTATGTGGTGCTGGAGACTGAACACAATGTCTCATGCATATTAAGCTGAGTGCTACAATACTGAACTATAACCCCAGCTGAGAATATAAATTTTTCTTACATAATTTTAGTTTTAGAAGGAAGGAAGGAATAATAAATATTTCTTTTTCTTTCTTTTTAAAATTAAAGAGACCTAAATGTAAAAAAAAAAAAAAAATGTGCGTGTGTGTTTGTGAAGAAGCGAGATTCAAGATGCAAAGAAAAATGATAATTGATATAACACAGACCCTACATTAGCATGGAAGGTTTGAGACTGACATACTGAAAAATGAATTAGTGCTGGACAGGAGGAAGAGTAGAGGTCTACACTCTACAAGCAACAGAAAAATGATGAAACTCAGAAAATTTAGAGGTACTGGAGACAAAGAGCATGGGAGAGTTCAACAGTTCATAATCTCTTTTTTCTGGGCAGTAGGAGACAAGGTCATTTACTGAGATTAAGGCATGGAGGGGGCAGGTGAAAGAGTTATAAAAACAACAAACAACTATGAGAGAAATGGGATACTGGTTAATAGTGAAATGGTGGACCAGGAGTAAGAAACTTTTCCCCAAAATACTGCAGATATAATAAGTGAAGAGTAAAGACCATTAATTTGTAGTTAGACAAAACTATCTATGTAATTTTCTCTGTTCATTCTCAGTATTCAAAGAACTGAAGCAGAAAACAGAAATGACTGGAATGATTCAACAGATAACTGGAGATTATGCAAGAAACAGAATGGTAGACTACTGAGGTGGCAGGTGGTGACGTATCAATAAGAAAATAATTGAAGTGAACGTGAAAATGTCCATGAAGGAAATGAAGCCCTGCAACATGTGCCAGCATCCAAGAAAAAAAAAAAAAAAGATCAAGTGCCTGGAGGGCTCAGAATTAAAGAATATGGGTAATAAGAAAAAAAATGTTTCTGAGCTAGACAAGTGTGAAATGATGGTCAGATTAACTTCTATTTAACAGGCAGGAGGACTGATTTGCCAGATAGCATTTCAAGAGATAAGCTCATTTAACTCTTCATATAAAACTGAGGTAAGTATGTATATTAATTCCATTTTATAGCTGAGAAAATATAGAGGTTAAATAAGTGGCAGCTGTAGAATATGAACCCAGGTAGTATGACTCTTAAAACACACTGAGGTGTGCTAAGAGATTCAAGAGTTTTTTTTTAAAAAGAGAGAGAGAGAGAGAGAGAGAGAGAGAGAGAGAGAGAGACAGAACTGATGGGTCTGAAATTATACAATGAAGGAAAGATTGTTTACCTAAGAACATCTATTTCATCTTTTAGAGACTGAGCTTCGTCTGCCAAAGTAGTTAATTCATCATTCTGTTGCCGAAGTTCAGAGATTTCCTTTTCTAACTCTTCACAGCGTATTCGATAATCATCTTTGGCTGCTTCTAGTCTGTAACCAGAGTAAAATAGATCAAGAAAGCACTATTTACTGTCTCATAATTCTCTTTGGAACAATAAAAGAAGATAAAACATAAGAATAAACTCTTCAACATGTCTGTGATTTTTGTGGCCAAAAGCTGTATTCCTAAATTGTATCTATTATTAAAGTTGATTCCAGTGTTCCACACTTGAAAAAGTGACAACTTGTGACCATTCCTCCATTGTCAGAAAGCTAGACATCAAAGAATGCTTCCCCCAAATACTGGGTCTTAGGCATACTAGGCAACCACTCTACTGCTGAGTCACACCCCCACCTCTAAGGTTTTATTTTCTAATTATGAAATTAATATATATTTCTTTCTGAAATTTGCAAAATACAGAAAAGCAAAGAAAATTAATACCATGTATTAATCCAAATAACTATTGTTTAACATTTTGGGAGCGCATCTTTCATTCTCATGTTAAAAAAAAATCATTAATACTATTTCTACTTGTAATTAACTAGACTTGTTTACTTAACATATATCCTTTCTTTGATTTAACTTTTTTTAATATTTATTTTTTTAGTTGTAGTTGGACACAGTACCTTTATTTTACTTATTTATCTTTATGTGGTGCTGAGAATTGAACCCAAGCTAGGTGAGCACTCTACTGCTAAGCCACAACCCCAACCCCTTTCTTTGATTTATAATACTCTTCTCTCTCCTATTGCAAGTATTTTATGCTATTAGTGACTTTTAATTTTATTTATATAAGTATTTTAAAAATACGTACATAAGTCCTAATTTTTATGCATTTCAACTGATTGGAACTTCAGTTTTTACTTTTAGTGTATAAACTTTCTTTATTTTAACTCTACATTTTCTGTGAGTACTTCTGTAATGGCACTTCCTCCTCCACAGAAAATCTTAATTAAGCTTCTCCAGAAATCTTCACCATAATTAATCTTAGTCTATAAGTAGAAGAGTCTCTACAAGAGTAGTTAAACTTCCTAGTTCCTGTTGCACTATCTATGTGCCCACTGGCCTGGAAGAGATCAATGCACATTTACCAGTTTTTCACAAATATTTATGAAATATCTAGTATAAGCAAAAAAATAAAATAAAAATTAAAAAATTTTATATATATGTTTGTAGAAGTGTGTTTGCAAATGCAAAGTGTGATAAGAAAGATCCTTTAACAAGGCCTCTGGCCTTGAGCCAGAGCTTCACAGAGATGTTTACATTTCAAAGAGAAGTAGTTACTAATTGGGATCCATGGTAACAGGTGGCAGTGGGAGGGAAGAAGGAGGAAAATAAACTCTCCCCTTCTCAGGCACTGTCCTTGAAGGGTTAACTTGCCCAGAACAGTGAAAGAAAAAGCTGTTTTTGTGTGAACTTCTGCAGACTGTGAACTTCTGAGCCCCTTCCCTTACACAATAGGTATAAAGTTCTGAAACGGCCTGGACTAAGGGTTCAGGGGATTAATTGATTTCCCTCTTAACCGGGCTGCAGCAAAAGAAACCTGCTTCCTGTTTCCTATTTGGTGCCCTTCCTGTCTGTCCCCTATTACATTTTCAATGGTTTCATTTCTAACATTAAAGTTTTTAATTCATTTTGCGTATGATGCAATGCTGGAATCTAACTTCTGCCAAAATACCTATGCCAAGCCATAAACAAACAATCTAAACTTTCCTTATTGATTAGAAAATGTTATCATATCACACATTTTATATATTTAGATCTTCATTTGTGTTACTTGTGTATGTTTACCATACCATTAGTTAGCTAAGAAAGTGGGACAAATATATCTGACTTTACAAGGATATTTAACAACAACAACAAAAATCCTTGAGAAATATAGTACTGATCAAATATTTGAGTTTTTAAGGCACTTCAAAATATATTATTATGAATATGTATTCTGGATCAACAAAACTTTAAACATGACTTCCTTAATAATGAAAATGTAATTTCCCTAAACTATAACTGGAAAATTAGCCACAATTTAGAAACAAAAGGATAAAGTTATATTTTATTATTCATGGATTTTTGTCTTAGGAGGTCAAGATAAAGGGTTCTCAAACATTTTGGTTTCAGGATCCCTTCATATTCTTACAATTACTGAAAACCCTAAAGAACCTTTAGTTAGGGACTAGGGCTATAGCTCAGTGGTAGAGCACTTGCCTAGCATTTGTAAGGCTCTGGGTTCGATCCTTACTCAGTACCACATAAAAATAAATAAATAAAATAAAGGTATTGTGTCCATCTATAACTAAAAATATTTTTAAAAAGAACCTTTAATTATGTAGGTTTTATCTGTTGCTATTTGTCATATCAATAATTAAAACATTTAAGTCTATTTACTTAGTTTGACTGAAAATAACAGTAATAAGCCCATTATGTTAATACAAACATATTGTTTATGGAAAAAATTACATTTTTATGAAACAAAAAAAAATGAAGGTTAACACTATTTACATAACTGAAATATCTGGTTTTACAGAAGAAAGTTGGGTTCTAATAACCGTTTCTACATTCATCTGTTGTGATGTTTTTCAATGAAGTACATGAGGAAAATCCAGGCTTGCACAAGTATGTAGTCAGAAAAGAGAGAGCCTTATGCACTCTAAAACAGTCTCAAAGAAACTTCAGGGTCCTCAGATCCCATTTGGAATTGCTGGTAAAGGCAATAGGGAATGGATTGTTTCAAAGGTTTCCAAGAGGACTAAGGAAAGCTTTTTATTGTCTTCTGTTAGAGAAAAAAAGAAGAAGAAAATTCAGAAACATCTCATTTAGAAATAATGAAGGACAGTAAGTATATTACTAAATTAAGCTACTTGGAAAGTAAAAACCAAATTAATTTCCACCAGGTGCGGTGGTGCATGCCTGTAATCCCAGAGGCTCATGAGGCTGAGGCCCTAAGTAACTCAGCAAACCCCTGTCTCAAAAAAAAAAAAAAAAAAAAAAAAAAAAAAATATATATATATATATATATATATATATATATATATATATAAAGGGCTGGGGATGTGGCTCAGTGGTTAAGTACCCTTGGGTTCAAACTCTGATACCAAAAAAAAAAAAAAGTATAATTTTCTGTTTTAGCAATGGAAATCTATAGCCAGTTAAGAAATAGGTCATAATATATTTTTTAGTAAACCATGACAAAATATTTTCATAATGCTGCTAAGACCTTCAATTTTGTGCTTTTATTTCATCTTAAAGCATATCAAAATTTCCTGATTCTCTTTTCCCTTTCCCTTTTGGCCTTTTACTTCTCTAGAAGATGTGTTTAAAAGATGGTTCCTTTAAATTGTACCTATTGTTTTAAATCAGCTTGTCTTTTAAAATAGACTTATCTCTTAAATCATGCTCTAGTTCTTTGTATTATCTCTTTAAATTGTATGCCTGTGTATATTGTGTCTCTTTAAAGTTTCCTTCTGTATCCTTTTACCAAATCTGGCTCTTTACAAAAATGAATTTACTTTGAAATTCCTATCAGGTAATCTGTGGTTCACTCTGCCCAGTTATCAGTTGTTTTTTTTAAAAGGAATTTTAGTTTTGAATGAATTTAATCTTTCTGATGATTGCTCCAACTCACCTTGCCTATTTTTTTCTTCTCTTTTTTGAGAAGGGGGTCTCATTAGGTTGCCCATGCTGGTCTAATGACTGTCCTGCCTCAGTCTCTCTATTATCTAGGACTACAGGAGTATGCCAACTCACCTGGTTCCCAACTCATCTCATATCCCTTCACTAGCATTCTTCCTGTCTTCCTCTAATTTGTTCGTGGTCTGCCTTTGCTTACTACAACACTATAGTCGGGGTGGGACAGATGTGTGGAATGCAGGGCTGGTGTTTGGTTTCTTTCTTTTTTTCACTGTTATTTTGCAGGTGGAGCATTCTGTCATGAAGAAATATTAAATATTTGATACAATTCATCCTAGATGTGAAGTTATGTCACATAACTTGTATGGAAAGATCTGAGGAAGTTATTTATTACACACCTTTGTCTCAGTCTGCAGTTAACCAGAAGTCCTAATACTATATTCCTAACCGTTAAGTGACAGTTACAAAATTTTTTAAAATTCAAGTTTAATGGGTGGTCTTTTACCTGAATGTTTCTTCTTGTAGCTGTTCTAATTGAGTTTGGAGTTGCAAATGCCTTCTTCCTGCTGGACTGTTGGGATCTTCTATGGAATCAGATTGATTGAGTCTTTCCATTAATATCTGATTCTCTGCCAATAAACTACTTTTCTCCTCTTGCAATGCTGCAACCTGTTGAAATACAGAAGACAGCAATTATTTCCTTCAATTACACTGCGTCAGTTCAGTCTCCTGTGAATTACTATTATGAATCAAACCCTACTTTAAAGAATACAGTTAATTTCCATTTAAAACATTTGCATTATTTTGGAATATTTTTCACATAGAACAATATGTACAAGTAGATAAGAATTAATTTTTTATTTCTTATTTATTTATTATTTTGAGATATGGGTCTGACTACACTACCCAGGCACCTCAACTTTCTGGGCTCAAGCAATGCTCCTGCCTCAGCCTTCTAAGTAGCTTGGCTTACAGCTACGCACCACCACATCTGGCTTTATTTTGTATTTGAAAAGATATTCAACAAAGATAGAGGGCAAACACAGAAAGATAATCATCATGAGTCACCAAAGAAATGAAAATTCACACTAAAATGTTATTACTAAAGTGGCTAAAATTTAAAAGACTGTACCAAGTATTGGTGAAGGTAAGAATAAAAGGTATCACTGATGAGACTATAAAATATTTCAAACACTTTGGAAAACAGGTCAGCAGTCTCAAAAAAACTACACATGTAACTACCATGTAACTTATCTAGCCATTCCACTCCTAGGCATTTACTCAAAGAGAAGTAAAAGCATATGCCCACACAATAACTTAAAAAGTTTTTTTAAAATTTTTTTTTAGTTGTTGATAGACCTTTTTTTTAAAAAATTTATCTACATGTGGTGCTGAGAATCGAACTCAGTGCCTCACACAAGCAAGGCAAGTACTCTACTGCTGAGACACAGCCCCAGTCCTTAAAAAGATTTTGCCAGTTTCACTTGTAATAGAGAAACACTGGAAATAACCCGAACATTTATCAATAAGTAAATTGATAAATACATTAGAGTATATCCACTGTACAGGTAACTTTTGGGCAATAAAAGTTCCCATTGATAATGATAACATGAAATACTGAAAACAAACAAACAAACAACAACAACAACAAAAACCAGACCAAAAGAGAACATAACATAGGAACATGTGTGATTCCTATTAATATAATTCTAGAAGATATTAGCTAATCTGTAGTTTCAGAATGCAGACCTGGGAACTGAAGGGGATTTATAGTCATAAAAAGCTGGGAATAGTGGTGCACATCTAAATCCCAGCAACCTGGAACCTGAAAGCAGGAGGATCTCAAGTTTGAAGTCAGCCTCAGCAATTTAGGAAGGCCCTAAGCAAATTAGACCCTATCTCAAAAAATTTTTAAAAGGGCTAGGAATGTAGTTCAGTAGTAAAGTGTCAGTGGGTATAATCCCCAGTAATAAACATAAGTTTCCTGATGTTTTTACTTTTTTCTTTCTTCCACCTATTTTGTTCTGTTTTTTTAAAAAGTATACATGTGTGGTGCTGGAAATTGAACCCAGGGTCTTGCACACACAGGTACTCTACCACTGAGCTATATTCCAGTCCTACTACAATCCCCCATTTTCTTTTGTAAATTTTGACAGGTACATTTATTTATTTATCCATTTTCTCTTTAACTTGTTCCAGTTGGGCTATTGGCTACTGTTCATCAGGATCACTGACCCCCAAGTCACTAAGTCAACATTTGACACAATTGGTTATCCTTCTTGAAGCACTTATATCATTTGGCTTCATTCTTTTGGATTCTATTCTTCTCAATTTCCCTAACAGTGCCTAGAGCTTATCTTTTCTAAATATAGTGATGGCTTCAGGTTTCATGGCTATAAGCCCCATCTATTTTCTGACAACTGACATATTTCTATTTCTAGTCTAGAACCCTGAACTGGAATCATTTCTATTCGTATGTCTACTAGCAATCTCCAATTAAAATTTTACAAATAGAACTTTTAAAAATCATTTTTTAATATTTATTTTTATAGTTGTAGTTGGACACAATAACTTTATTTTATTTATTTATATGTGGTGCTGAGGATCGAACCCAGGGACTTGAACGTGTGAGGCAAGCACTCTACAGCTCAGCCATAACCCTAGCCCCTAAAAATCTTTTTTATATTAATACATAATAATTGTATATTTTCATGGACTACAGGGTGATGTTTTGATATATGAATGTATAATGAACAACTAGGATAATTACATGTACCATCTTAAACATTTATCATTGCTCTATATTGGAAATATTCAAAATTTTTTCTTCTAGCTGTTTTGAAATATACAACGAATTATTGTTGACCATAGTCAACCTATTATGCTACAGAACACTAGAACTTAAACCTCCTATATAAGTGTATATTTTGTATCATTAAACAACTTTTCTCTATCCTCTCCTCCCTTCCGGGCCTCTGGGATTGATTATTTTAGCTTTCACATGCAATCATGTGGTACTTGTCTTTCTATACTTGGCTCATTTTGCTTAATATAATGATTTTCTGACAAAAAGGATTTTATCCTTTTTATGGCCGACTAGTATTCCATTGTGTATATGTACTACATTTTCATTATCTAGTCATCAGTTGATGGATACTTATAAGGTTTCTATTTCTTGGCTATTTGTAACTAGTGAAGCTCATTTCATTTCCTTTGAACATACACCCTGTAGTGGGATTGCTGGATCATGTGGCAGTTCTACTTTTTATCTTTGGTCTTTTGTTTTGTGGATACCTAGGGATTGAACCCAAGTGTAGTTATCACTGAGCCACACCCATAGCCCTTTTTATTTTGAGACAGGGTCTCGCTAATTTGCTTAGGGGCTTGCTGATTTGCTAAGGTTGGCTTTGAACTCACAATCATTCTGCTTAAGCCTTCTGAGTTGCTGAGATTCCAGTTGTGTGCCAGCCACCATACCTGGCTATCATTTGTCTTTTTGATAACAGTCTTTCTTACTGTGATCTTGATTAGCACTTATCTGATAATTAGTGATGTTGAGTATTTTTGTATAAATTGTGGATCATTTGTTATTTTTTTTTTTAGAAATATCTATTAGGATCATTTGCCCATTTTGTAATCAGATTATTATTATTGTTGCTGTTGTTGGATTGAATTCCTTATTCCTTTTTTTTTTAATATTTATTTTTTAGTTTTCGGTAGACACAAGATCTTTATTTTATGTGGTGCTGAGGATCGAACCCAGCGCCCCGCACATGCCAGTCGAGCGCGCTACCGCTTGAGCCACATCCCCAGCCCCTCCTTATTCCTCTTAATGCCTTATTGGATGAATAGTTTGTAAATATTTTCTCTCAATCCATAGGTTGATTTTTCACTCTGATTGTTTTCTTTACTGTGCAGAAGCTTTTCAGTTCCATATAGTCCTGTTTGTCTAATTTTGCTTTTGTTGCTTGTGCTTTTGAGGTCTTATTCAAAATAATCTTTGCCCAAATGGAATGTGTGTGTGGGATATGGGGATTGAACCCAGCACCTCACTGCATGCTAGGCAAGTGTTCTATTACTGAGCTACATCCCTAGCTCTATTTTAAAAAATTTATTTTGAGACATGGTGTAAGTTGCCCAGACTGTCCTCAAACTTAAATCCTCCTTCAGCCACCTGTGTAACTGGGATTACAGGTGTGACACCATGCCTGGCTCCTAAATGGAATTCTTGATTAATACCCACCATCACCTAGTTTGCCAGTAGTCTTTCTCGTTTTACTAAATGGTAACTCCCTCCTTCCAATTGCTCAGCTATCATCCTTAACATCTTTCTCACACTCAAATCCAATCTATCAGCAAATTTAACATTTGCTCTACCTCAAAAAATCTATTGTGGTCACCTCTCAGCATCTCTAACATACAGATCAAAGTTAATATAATTTTTTGCCTTATTGCAGTGGCCTCTTAGTTGGTCTCTGAGTCAACTAAGAGTAAAACACAACTCAATCCCATGACTATTTTGCTCAAAATCCTTCAATGGCTGGCTACCCATGTCACTTTTTATAAAGAAATATATTAAGGCCTCTCTGGACTAACTGACTTTTCCTATTTTCTCCCTTCTTCTGTTATCATTTTCATCTTACTATCTCCCTCTCTCTCTCTTTTTTTTTGGTGGTGCTGGGGATCGAACCCAGGGCCTTGTGCATGCAAGGCAAGCACTCTACCAACTGATCTATATCCCCAGCCCTTCCTATCTCTTTAATATACTACTTCACTCCTATCTCAGATCCTTTGCCTTTTCCATGGCCCTTACCTTGTATTCCCCCTGGAAATATGGTAGGCTTGCTCCCCTAATCTCTTTGGGATTTTACTAACTCATCACTCTCTTAAGGTGGGCCTGGGTTGACCCAATTAAAAATTAAATTTTCTGGACTCTGTATTCCTTATTTTACATTCCCTGCTTTATTCTACTCCAGAATGCTTATCACCACATAATTTACTGTATTTGGGGTGGGGGGGATTACTGGAGATTGAACTCAGGGGCACTCAACCACTGAGCCACATCCCCAACCCTATTTTGTACTTTATTTAGAGGCAGTGTCTTACTGAGTTGCTTAGCACCTCACCCTTGCTGAGGCTAGCTTTGAACTCACAATTCTCCTGTTTCAGCCTCCAGAGCTGCTGGGATTATGGGCACACGCCACCATGCCCAGATAACTTAGTGTATTTTTATCTTGTTTATCAGCTATCTTAGAATAGAAGCACCTTGAGGAGGGATGTTTCATCTGTTTCTATTCTCCCATCTTTATTTTATCTAAAGCAACTAGAACAGTACAAGAAATGTAGCGGGTGCTTGGCAAATGTTGTTGGTTAAATGAAAGAATATGAAATGTCAGTTCTATAATTTGTCTAATTTCTAAAACCACATTAGTCTTTCTAGGATCTACTCTATATTCCTGATCTATTTCATTCATTTCTACTATTTCTATTTTCATAGTTAAAATAAATATTGAAGGCTGTATGTTTTTTAAACATATTTTTTGCTATTGCATTCCAACTTTAACTGCATGGTGATCAGAGACCATAATACATATCACAGATTCTTTCAATTTTTCTGAGAATTGACATACCATCTGGGATGTGGTAAATTTATGTGAAGGCTGAGTGTTGAACAAAAAAACCTTAATATTAGAATTATCAGACCAACTATGGGGCTGGGAATATAGGTCAGCGATAGAGTGTTACCAAACATGTGTGAGGCCCTCAGTTTGATCCAATACTGCAAAAGTAAACAAATAATAAACTACAACAAGCTAATGCTGCTAAAACATTTTAATTTAGTATCTATGGCAGAAATCCTTATATATGTACAGAAAAAAAAAAGTGACTAATTTAAAAAAACGTAAACATGATTTATTTAAGAAAAAACATGACAAAGGAGCTTATAATGAAACTCACAGTTTCCTGCTGAATTTTCTCATTCCCCAGAGACTAATTTTCACTATTCCCAAGTTTCTGCTTTGGATTTTGCTTATCTCTCTAAATATATGAATGTATCAGTATTTCTTGATCTATCAATTTTAGATACCATTTATGCTAGATTATATCAATTTGTGGAGTGGGTAACATGATGCAAGAAGTTTAACCCTTTTACATTTCTAGTTAGAGCCTCACATCAGTCTTCTGCCACATCTGGTCTATTTGGTGTTCTGTTGTTATAGAAGCTCCTCACAAATATTTTTGACCACTTCATTTTTTGCTCTTTTTATCCATTTAGCACTTTTCAACTGTCTTTTGACTTTCAGATGTTGATGAACAATGTGTTTCAGAGCTGGCTACACTCAAGGTGACTATTAAATATCTAAGATCTTGCAAACTAGCTGTTAAACCATCAGAAACTTGAATTCAGAAATTGGCAAACACTATAAATCCAGGCTTTAAAAATCTCCCCAACCCCCCTGAAAGCCAATTTACTAGCACACCATGAAGACTCATGGATGCTGATATCACTACTCTTTCTTCCTCAGAGGTTCGTATCATTTTAATTCACTTGTAAATATTATAAATTTAATGGGGTTGCAAAAAAGAAAGAAAATGAACATGTTTGTTGAGTCTATTATCCTTAACCAGAAACATGTTTATTTTTTTCCCTTTTTCATTTAATTACAGTTGTATTATATTCAAACTGTACTACACAGCAGTACACAAAACATTTGGTGGTACACAGAACAGACCACCTACCTGCATATCTAATTCATGGCATCTTTGAGCAATTTCTTCCTTTGCTGACAAAGCTTCATTTAATTCTTCTGTAGTTTTCTTCAACTGGTTAGAAACAAAGATATGATAACTATTTCAATATAAGATGGAAACAATAATTATTTTATGCAACATAGAATTAAAACGTTCTTCTCTTTTATTTCTTGGGGAAAAGTACAAGGGGAAATCAAAAACCATCTTTTAAGACTCAAAAGAAGGTACTTCTAGCTTTGAATTTCTTTTAGTCCTAAGTCTTATCTTTTCTATTCTCTGAACTTGGCTCTTTCTCCATGTCAAGTTTTCTTTCACATTTTCTCCTGTCTGGACTATTTGGTTCTTGGTAATGTTGGTTCTTTCAAGAGCTGAGAAGTTTTACCTTGATAAAACATCTCATAGAGGAATGGAAGTTTCAACTGTTAAAATAGTTTTAACGCAAGCTTTTCCATCATATTAAACTTTTATGTTAATTTGTACTGCACCCTTTTTTTAACAAAGTATTTTTATTATTCTAATTCTCAAACATTTCCAAGTTGTATCCCATTATTATTACAAATTATAAATTAGCAAAGTATTGAAAATTTTCCTTAAGGTAAGATTTTCTCTCTATTTCATGTGACCAAACTAAGGGGAAAAGAAAAAAATCATAACTAGAAAACAGGAATTACAATAAGTTAAAGAAAATAGTTTTCAGTGGGTTATGCAATAATACTTTAATTAAAATTACAAACAGGACAGTAGAATGAGAAAAACATTATAATACCATATATGTATGATTACACTACTGGTGTGACTTTGTACAGCCAGAGGAATGAGAAGTTGTGCTCTATTCGTGTACAATGTGTCAAAATGCATTGTACTGTTATGTATAACTAATTAGAACAAATTTAAAAAAGGAAGGGGGAGATAAGGACAACAGAGGGGACAGAAAGGTGAGGTACTGGGGAATGAAAAAAATTTACAAATGGTGTCAATTCACAAAACACTTTAAGTTCTTAAATTTTAGGTAAAATATAAAAAATTATACAAATATATTCCATAAGCAATTTCAACTAAAAGAGCTTCTCATTAATATCTAAACTTTACCCTTTTTAATTTTGCATGAATACAAATAAGGCCAAATTATATACCTGGCGATCAAGGTCAACATAGGCATCATTCCCAGAAGAGACAGGAGACTCTTTACTCATTAGCTGAAATTAAGATTTAAATTATTATAAAAGTGAGGCAAAAAAAAGACAGTCTACATAATATACTTACACAACAAATAAATAAATACCTAGCCACTATTGAGATATAAAAATTAAAATGAAAACACAAAAGTTAATGAAATAATTTCCTGCAAATAATACTTCAGAGTTTGAAATTTTTCTTTACTCCAGAATAATGCCTTCATTCAATATAAGAGGTCTAAATTCAGGTGCTCATTTTCACTATAAGCCCCAGCCAAGAATCAAGTATAACATTTTTTATCACTGAAAAGACAAATAGTAAAGTTTAAAATGTGGCTAGAAATTTAAAAACAGTGACTTTCAGTAAAAAATAGTGGTATTAAGCATCAACTTAATTCTAAAAAATAAATGTGGACAATGTCAATATAGCACTTACATTCACACACAGGTATTCCCCTAAATCTTTGCTTCTCTCAGCCTTGCATTGCAAAGAGAAGATTCAAAGCATGTCTGAAAGGTTGGGATAAAGGGATAAAATTCTGACCATGACAAATAAAAGGGGCAGACTCAAACGGCCCCAGTCTTCTATGATTTCTCATGTTTCGTCTGAGGGACAAAAGGGGGAGGGACAATTAGAAATGTGGGGATTTCATATCAAGAGATCTTGTGATTTCATCCTTCACTCTGCTCTCTAGAGAACTGAAATGTTATGTTCAGTAACATCAGCACTTCTCAACATGAGATCCCCAGACCAACAGTATTAGCACTGCTTGGTCTCGTGTCAGAAATATGAATTCTTGGGCCCCATCCAGGTTTACTGAGTCAGAACATCTAGGGTTAGCCTGAGGACAGTTCAATAAGTACTCCAGGTGATCTGAAGCACATTGGAGCTTGAGAATCACTGCTCCAACTCACTAATGAGAATGAAAGTCCTTTAACACAATAGGGGGGAAAATCTCAAGAAAGTGAAAAATACCAGCTTCAATTTTTATGCTTTAGTTGAATATATTAATAGTAAGATTTTTAAAAAGACTTTTCTTCAAATTGAAAAAAATGGTACTCATTGTAGAGAAGAAAAAATATAATGAAAAAGATATCTACCATCTGGAAAAAAAAGTAACTTTTATAATTTTGACATACTTAAAAATTAGCTGTGTTTGACAACCATGGGTCTAGCAGAATTCAAGAAAGAAACATAAATCAGTAAATACAGTATAGTATGATAAAGGCAGTGGCAAGATATTCAGAGAATTCTGTAATTCAGAGGTGGGTAGGAGCAGGGAGCAGGAAATATTTTTTTTCAGTCTTTTCTCTTTTTTGCCCCTTGTTGTATTTTGGTCCTTATTATAACACCTCTCAATAAAAAGTTAAAAAGTTAAATATCCCACTCTGAACACTGTCCATCTTTCATTCAGTTGTTCCTCAGCTTCACTGAGCTCCTAGGTCCTATCCCTCTTCTCACCTTCTCCGTGTTTCCAGTCTTAGCCCATCATTCTTGTATTCACTTTCTTCCTTACTTTGCTTAGAAACTGCAGTGAACACTATTGGTTTTGCCTGGCTAAAGTTTACTTCTCTTGGGCTGGGGATGTGGCTCAAGCAGTAGCGCGCTCGCCTGGCATGCGTGCGGCCCGGGTTCTATCCTCAGCACCACATACAAACAAAGATGTTGTGTCCGCCAAGAACTAAAAAATAAATATTAAAAAATTCTCTCTCTCTCTCTCTCTCTCTCTCTCTCTCTCTCTCTCTCTCTCTCTCTCTCTCTCTCTCTCTTTTAAAAAAAAAAAAAAGTTTACTTCTCTTTCTTCTACTAACATTGTCATCTTATTTTGGGGATTTTCCTTTTCCACTTTAGAATCCATGTTTGTCATTTGTTTTATCAATTATCTTCTCTAGTTTACCTTCCAGCTAAGAAGCTGGAAGGAATGGAATTGAGAGCACAAGTGACAGGATAAGCCTCTGAGAACAGGTCTTCTTAGAGACCCTATTCCATTTATCAGTCCTCTTTCTTATATCTCAACATCTGTCTTTCTCTTTCTTGGGGCTTATTAGCATTTAAGTAGCTAAAAGATGATCATTTACTTGAACAGATATTTCTTCCAAAAGATACTACAACAAACACATGAAAAACGCTCAATATAATGTCATTATGGAAATCAAAAGCAAAGTAATAAGATACTATTCATGTACGTTTTGAGGCTATTATTACAAAGATGGATGATAACAAAGGTTGACCAAGCTGTAAAGAAATCAGAAGCCTCCTGCATTACTGGTGGAAATGCAAAATGATATAGCTGTAGAAGAAAACACTTTTGAAGTTCCTCATGTAATTAAACATAGAATTACCACATGATCCAGCAATTCCATTTCAGGATACAGATACTCCTCAGCTTACACTACAGTTATGTCCTAATAAGCCACATTTTGTTACATCAAAAATTCATTTAATATTCTTAGCTTACTGAACATCCTAACTTAGCAACAGAGTACTCTACACAATATCCACGGTTTGTTTGCCCTTGTGATCTTGTGGCTGACTGGGAATAGATGACTACTGCTGTCCAGCATCACAAAAGAGGATAATATCGTATCTTTTTTTTTTTTTTTTTTTTTTTTGTTTATTCTTTTTTTTTATTGGTTGTTCAAAACATTATAAAGCTCTTGACATATCATATTTCATACATTAGATTCAAGTTGGTTATGAACTCCCAATTATAATATCGTATCTCTACCCAGGAAAAGATGAAAATTTTCATGAAAAAGATGAAGTACAGTCTCTCTGTGCCATCTTAAAATCAACAAACCCTGATGAACATTTTAAGTCAGGGACCATCATCTGGAAACATCCAAAAGATTTTAAAATGTATTCAAGATAAACTTTTACAATCATGTCCACAGCAGCATTATTCACAACAGCCATTAGAGGGAAATAACTCAAATGTCCATCAACCAATGAACAGATAAACAAAATGTGGTATATCCAAACAGCAGAACAATATTTAGTCATAAAAAGGAAAAGTAAGGATATATACTAGAACAAACCTTGAAAACACGTTAAATAAAAGAAACCAAACACAAATGGCCACAAGTGATATGATTCAATTTATAGAAAATATCCAGAATAGGCATGTTTATAGAGACAAGACAGCAGATAACTGGTTGCCAAGGGCTGGAGGAAGTTTGTGCTTAATGAAGAGACTGCTTCATGGGTACTAGGTTTCCTTTTGAGATGATGAAAAAGTTCTGAACTAAATAATGGTGATATCTGTACAACACTGTTTATATGTTAAATGTTACTAATGGGAAATTATATGTCCTGTGTATTTTACTACAGTTTAAAAAAAAAAAATCAAAGTAGCACCTGATCAGAAACCATAAAAATAGCATGTGCCCAAAGGGAAAAGCCTTCTTCTTAAGTTCCATTGATCAACATGTCTACCAATTTTCAAATCTGTTTATTTCCAACACTGACTGCCATAATTTAGTATAGGCTTTCATCTGTTTTCACTGAGTAAGTATTAAGGTCTTTTAATTGGTCTCCCTTTCTCCACTTTTGTTTTCCCCCAATCCATCCTTATTGCACAGATTTTTTTCAATTACTGGTCTCAATGTATTTTTTCCTTAGAATCTATTCATTCATTTCCAAAATTATAGCTCTTAACAAAACTGCATGGTGTCCTAATAATCTTGTATGTCTTATTTCATTTCTGAGCATTTTCTCTCTCACAATGTTTGCTACAGGCATTGTACTTTCAATGGCTCCAACCCATGTCATTTGGTCTTGGTTTTTCTTGACTTTTGGACTTTAGAAAAAAATTTTGTACCTCCTTATCTCATTCTCATCCTTCAGTGCTCAGCCTCACTTCCTCTCAGAGGCAGCCTTACCTAATGTCCTCAAACTGAGTTAGATACTCTCAACAAGGACTCCTATATTTTTCCCCCATCATGGCACTTTTCTTACTGTATTTGAATTTTTATTTAATTCTTTTCCTTTGACAGGCAAGGGACATCTTCATCTCTTTCAGTTATATTTATAATATCTACTAGAGTGCCTAGTGCATACTGTGTACTCAATAAGTAGTATTTGCTAAATGAATACACATACAATAAATATATAATTTATTTTGAAAATTTAATTATAATCCCATTGTATGTTAATTTTATATGTTCATTCATACTATGTTTTAAATTTTTTCCATTCATAAGATATCCTTTTAAACACACTTTTATTAATTATATAATTTTCCATTGGATGAAGGTAACACAATTTAAATACAAGTGTACCAATGAATATATACTGCTCTCACATTTCTATTAATTTAAAGTAGTTTGAAAAACACTGTATTCAATCTTTGAATTTTAAAATAATTTCTTGGGACAGATTCATAGAATGAAAATCACATCATCACAGATTTTAATTTAGAAAGTATTTCTTGTTATAATATCTGTTATTACAGTAAAATCAGACAAAGAGTAAAGAATATTCAACCTTTAAGAGAGAAGTTAAAATTGAGTATGTTTGTTTTCTCTCATCCTATTTTTTTAATAAATGGAATCACACATTCTTCGTGTGCTTTATATTCTACCTTTTTTTTTTTTAATGGTCCTAGAGACTGCACCTAGGGACACTTTACCACTGAGCTACATCCTCAGCACTTTTAATTTTTTAAACAGGATTTGATTAATTTGCTCAGGCTGGCCTCAAACTTGCAATCCTCCTGCCTCAGGTTCCCAAGTTGCTGGGATTATTGGTGCATCACCACACCTGGTTTATAATCTAACTTTTTTAACCTGAACTATGATAACATTATTCATCTATGTCATTATTTTTAAAAAAATATGCCATAATGCCTACATAATGTGCCAATATACCATAATTTATCAATTACCCTTTTGTTGAGTAGTTAGGTTATTTCTAATGTTTTAGTACTAGGAAATAATACTGAAATAACTATTTTAGGCGATACAGCAAAACTGTTATAAGCATGAGCCTTAGATTCAGACTGTTTAGATCTGAGTTCTAACTCTGTCACTATTTCCTGTGTGAACCTGAGCTAGTTACTCAAACTCTCTATACTTTAGTTTTCTTTTATAAAATGGGGACAAATGACAACATCTCACAAGATTGTAGTAGATTATTTGTCCAATTTTTGTGATAAAATATATGTAACACAAAACTTGCCATCCTACCCACTTTTAAATATAAATTCAATTATAATAAATTTTATTTTCTTATACTTTTTTGTGGGGACAGTACTGGGTGGGGATTGAACCCAAGGCCTCATGCATTCTAGGTAAGTGTTCTACCACTGAGTTATACACAAGCCCAATTGTAGTGAATTTTAAGTGCATTAACAGATGCAAATTTATATAGTAAATACAATACACTATCTATCACATAATAGGTGCTGGAAAGTGCTTATTATTACAATTATTTTTACATGTCTTTACATGTCATATTTTTTGATGAATTCCTAAATATGGAATTACAAGGACAGATTAAAGTAATTGTTTGTGGCCCCTGTTATTTTCCCTACTCTTTCTTAGCAACAGAATTCGCACATGTTGACTTGGGTCTATTAGTACCCAGGGTAAGGGCCAGATCCCCCAGTCTCCCTGCTGTGGCTATGTGAGTGATATCTGGTTACTAAGGGGGGAAATTCCTGCAGGTTTATGTCAAGGAAATACAAAACCCTTCCTTTAATCCTTCATGCTGGCTGGAAATGTGAAAGCTGAAGCTTGAAAAGCCACAGTTGAACCACTAGGTGGGTATCATGTATTATGGATGGCAAAGACCTTATTAAGTCTAATGTACTGGAAGAATGCTGGGTCCCTGATGACTATAGTCTTTATAACAATCCAGGACCATCATCGTTTTGGTGTTTTAACATTTATAATCAAACCTAATCTTACATGACATAAAAGGGTATATAATAGCATTTTCTTTAAAGATTTGCCAGTTTATACTCCTAACATCAGTTCTAAATGCCATACTAATCAACTTTTTATTATTTATCTTTTGAGATGGGGTCTTGTTATGATGCCCAGGCTGGTCTCCAACTCCTGGGCTCAAGTCATCATCCTGCCCCAGATTCCCAAGGAGCTGGAGCTACACCAGCTGCTCACAACATTGCAGCTGGGTTGATCTACTTCTTTGCCATTTTTTTTTTTTTAATATTAGTTGTTGATGGACCTTATTTATTTACATGTGGTTCTGAGAATCAAATACAGTTTTGATAGTGTTGTATTTACTATATAAATTTGCATCTGTTAATGCACTTAAAATTCACTACAATTGGGCTTGTGTGTAACTCAGTGGTAGAACACTTACCTAGAATGCATGAGGCCTTGGGTTCAATCCCCACCCAGTACTGTTCCCCCCCAAAAGTATAAGAGAATAAAATTTATTATAATTGAATTTATATTTAAAAGTGGGTAGGATGGCAAGTTTTGTGTTACATATATTTTATCACAAAAATTGGACAAATAATCTAGTATAATGCTACTACTTCACACATGCTAGGCAAGTGCTCAACCAATGAGCCACAACCCCAGCCCAAGGTTTTGGTTTTTTAAAAGGTCCTAGGTAATAAAGAATTTGGCTAGTCTTTGCTCCTATCCAGGGAGGTGGTATCTAAACTGCTGGGATTTCTTACTGAAAGGAGTCTTTATATTCATGTGATCTAAGAGGATGATTACAGATGGGGGCTGGACATCCAGGAAGATCCACCATGTGATTAGAAGATTGGGATTTTAAGCCACTTGTTATCAGTTTAACCTCTGGAGAGGTAGGGACTGAAAATGGATTTCAGACCTATGGTAAGTTATTCAATCAATAATATTATGTAATGAGATTCCAATGAAGACTGGACACAAAAGCTCAGATAAGCTTCCCTGGGTGACAATAATCTATGTATTGTCACACAGTGATGTGCCATAAGGGTGACATCCTGAATCTTTGGAGAAGGGACAATAGAAACTTTGCATTTTGGATTCTCCCAGACCTTATCCTATATACTTTTTGGCTTAACAGAAACTTAAAAATTCAGAAATTAATTTGGTTTTATTTGTATCCATTTGTCACATATTAACATTTCTGAGTTCTGAGTTATTCCAGTGAATTACAAAATTTAAGGATAGTGGTAACTCCTAAATTTGAACCCAGATGGTCAGATAGGAGAGTAGCCTGGGGATCCCTGAATGTGGGGCTGTTCTCTGAAGTAAGGGCAGTCTTGTGGACAGCTATGTCCTTCCTCTTTGAAGTGGGGCCCAATTCTTAGTTGTTGGTATCAGAAGTTATTGCAAAAAAAACACTATCTAAATTTGCATTTGGCATTTTTCATGTTTGCATTTTGTATTTTTTCTGTTACTTGCATATTCATGTCCTGTATACAGTTTTCTATCTTCTTTCAGGGCTTATTCCATTGCTTCTATGGCTGAAAACATTCTCACATCCTGAGATTAACCAGGTGTTAGTCTGATCAATTTATTTGTACTTTTATGTCTTCCAGTTAAAATAAATATTCAAATAGTAATTGCTTTGAGTATACCTTGAGTTGAGGACCCATTTTTTGCCAAACAGAAAAACCAATAGTTAAGTATGAGGTAGACTGCTGGTTTAACATGGATATGATTTTTTATTACCTTTAGGAATTAGTCTACTATTCCTAGTTCATTAAGGACACTTTTAAAAAATTAGGATTAGCTGCAACTATATTTACAAAATAAATGTTTAAAATCTAAATAGATGTGAGTTTTAAATACATATGATTTTTAAAATAAAAAATGAAACAGGCTTGGCCAGGCATGGTGGTGCACACCTGTAATCCCAGCAGCACAGGAGGCTGAGGCAGGAGGATCACAAGTTCAAAGCAACTTAGGGAGACATTAAGCAACTCAGCAAAAGCCTGCTTCTAAATAAAATATTTTAAAAGGGTTGGGGAGGTAATTCAGTGGTTGTTCAATCCCTGGTACCCCCACCCCCCAAAAAGAAAGAAACAGGCTCTATCATAAATGTAAAGAAGAAAGGTCTTGGCTGGGGGTAAAGCTCTGTGGCAGAATGATGCTCAAGATGTGTAAGATTCTTGAATTCAATCCCCAGCACTGCCAAAAAAAGTGCTCTAAAAATGAGTAGGAGAAATTACTTTGTAAAATCTCTACTTCTTTAACCACAAAGCTCCAACATACCTCTTGAATGGCTGTCATGACAACATGTTGAACAGATTCCTCCATCATCATAATGGCTTGGATGTACTCTGCAAACAAGAACAATCTAGAATGTCACTGTTCAAGGTAAATATAGCCAAGGGGATGAAGGCTAATACTTCATAAATTCTTAGTTTCTTGTTTTGATTCTTCCTATGAGTCCCTCATACATGCTTAATGTATTCACATATGTGCCATAGGTAAAGCAAAGGCTGAAATCGCAGTATTTATCTTTCCTGAAGACATTTTCTCCCCTTACATCATTTCTTATAAAGCTGATTCTACAGCTATAGGTCAGGGGAATGCAGCATCAGCATTACATGTTGTCAATGTAAATAAATGAAATCATATAGTTTAAGGCATTTACTTATTTATTTACTTTTACTAAAATCTAAAAGTTATCTTTCACATTATTCTTTGCTAAATGGTTAAAAAAACTCTGAAGTCTTTTATTCTCATGTAACATTAAAGCACTGAATTATTTTTAATTTCTACACTAGTATTTTCTACTACACAAAAGAAAATACTTAATAAACCCAAGACATGCTTAGCAAAGAATTAAGATGAATTTAAGATAGAATCTAATAGTATAAACAAATATTGTATATAGGGAAGATTAGTGGAGTAGAAGAAGAAGAGCAAAAGAAAGGGAAGAGAGACAGGAAAGGGGAGGAAATGCAGAATTAAATTAACAAAAGCATGTTATGTGCATATATAAATATACCACAGTAAATTCCATCATATATATATATGTATATAAAACATCAATGAAAACAAAATAAATAAATGAGTGAAAGGGGAAAAAAAGAGAAACATATACTGTATAATCCCAGGCTTTAAAATAATGTCTAATATTTCTAATATGCTAAAACAGCAACCTCATCAATCTTATCCTCACCACTGCAGAAAAAGAAAGGTCTCTTTAGCTCTTAGTACAACAATATTGAAACAATAATTTCTTTCCTTCTTAAAAGCCCTGAAAGTGAGCAGGGCTATGGCTCAGTGGTAGAGCACTTGCCTCATAGATGTGTGAGGCACTGGGTTCAATCCTCAACACCACATAAAAATAAATAAATAAATATATTTAAATATATATATATATATTATTTAAAAAGAAACAGTCCGGGAAGTGATTTTTCATTATTTCCAAATATAATAATGGATAAGTGGCATTAAGCATTAAAAAAATAGGTGGATTCCAACAAACATGGTAAATATGTTTTCAAAAAAAATATTTTAAAAGGTAAACTAATAAGGAAATTTTAGTCTTCACTTTTCACTCTAATCCCATATATACAAAAAAAGCAAATATAAAAGAAATCTTCTCACCCCTAGAAGTAGAATATGAAGGAATCTTGTCAAATTGTCAAGGTAATTTTTGGATGAGATTCATTAGTAAGGACTTATGTGTAGTTTATCTCTAATACTTCTCAACAACTCTGCAAAGTATGTTAATACTTTCCTGTTGCAGATGAAAAATTGAAAACTAATAGAAATTATTCAAGGATAAATAAACTTTACCCAAGGTTTAAAAAATGCAGAGGCAGGAAATTTATTTCAGTGGTAGAGTGAGTGCTTAGAATGCATGAGTTCTGGAGCACCCACCTCGAAAAGTGTAGAACCAAGACTTAAATATGAACTTAACTCCTAACCCTGTGAACTTTGCACCACTGTGCTCTCTCAATACTATAAACATTAGGTAGCTATCAACTGGAAATTCGAAGATCCTAGGTTTCATAAATAAAATCCAAAAATCCATTTATAAAAACCCTCATATTTGGAATGCTAAACTGTAATCCTCTTCCTGATAGGCAACTTGTTTTTAAAAAAGTATTTTTAAAACACTATTAAACCATGACATTATGACATTCTGGTGTCAATGCCAAAGCTTTTACTTTATCAAAAATGTGTTTTAGGGGCTGGGGTTGTGGCTCAGAGGTAGAGCGCTCACCTAGCATGCGTGAGGCACCTGGGTTCGATCCTCAGCAGCACATAAAAAAAAAAAAAAGATATTGTGTCAACCTATAACTAAAAATTTTTTAAAAAAAAAGTGTTTTAATGGAAGTATTCTCATAAGGATACTTGAACCCAATCAAATGTTTCATTATACAAACATACACAATCCAAGAGGAGGAATACATCATAATTACTATTTGGCCAGTAAGGAATTCCTTTAGTCTGAGATCAATGTTTTCTTCTGTTTTTCTCAATGACAATCATCCTATGAGTCCTATTAGAGATATAGCAAGGGAGTGCTTTAGATATTCTGTTTGAAGGCATCAAACTACAAAAACTAATGAAACTCAAATGACTGACCCGATCTCAAAATGAAGACTGTGAACATGAAAGAGAAGAAGCCATGGCACTGATAATGGCAAAGGGAAATTCAATGGCAGCCTACTGGAAGTAAAGAAAGTGGGATGGGGGTTAGGAAGTTAGTAGGTGTGAGAGGGGAAGCGTTAGTTAAGAAGCGGTGTTGCCACGTCAAGGCCCTTCCCCGCGAACACCGTAAAATGCTAAATGTTAAAATGATGATGAAAACTACATTAATGTACAATTTTAACCATTTACAAATCTTTAAAGGTCAAAATACAATTACATACAGTTATTAGGTACATATCTATGAGGTAATGCTGGAGAATGAGGTGCAGTATGTAAGGGAATTTACACTAAAATCTAAGCTGTCCAAAATTTACAGCATGATATAGTACAAAGAGTACTAAACTAAGTTTAAATGTGGAAGAAACATGAGTGTTTGTTCTTGACTAGCCCCTCACAAGTAAGAAATCTTGGACAAGTCACTTAATATTTAGGAATCCCAGTTTCCTAATCTATAAAAAGCATATTTTTGTTCTGTTAATGAATAGTAGAATACCAGAGAGAAAGGAGATACTAAGTAAATATTATCAGTGTCTCTACTAATCTTTACTTTTACAAATTCAATTTTATTTGCCCTAATTAAAGAAGTTAGTCAAGATAGCACAAATATTCAAAGTTCTTAGCAGCTGCTTTTCACTTCTTAACTGCAAACTGTGTCTAAGCACAAAGCCCTTATATTTGTATGACTAGGAGATTTTGTATACTCATTTTGCAGACATGGAAGTAGGCTGAGATCTTGTCCAAAGTGAGTCAGGTAGTAAATGATAGAGCCATTTCAATAAACCCTGTGTTGTATATCATACATACAGAGACAGCTAATGCTTAATAATTCTGAAACTCATTTATTTGATTTCTAGTTTTCTACTATGTTCCTGAGAGCAAGGAATACCCTAAATCTGAATCAGTGAGATGTTAAAATCCTGCTCAAAAAAAAATTTTTTTTATTATTTATACAATTTCAGAGGAAAAAATGATTGTAGATTACTCTACAGAATATTTCAGCTAAACTGAATAAGCAACTGAAATTTACTATGAGTATGTCATGATAAAATCTAAAAGGAATGAAGCTAGAGAGAAAGAAATTCATTGTTAAAAAAAACAAAAGTAAACCAGATCAGTAAAAGTAGTCACTGTTTTAAGAAAACAACGTTGACTATTATCAAACTTACTATTAGAACACCCTCCCCCGCAAAAAAACAAAGAACAAGTTAATAAAGATCTTTTTGGCATTACCAAAGGTGAGGGAAGGGGCAAGAAAAATATTGTGATTGTCATCGTTTAGAATAACCCTCATCTACCTATTCCCCTGCTTTGTTTCTCTTTATCTGTTCCTCACTATACTTCATCGTAGTTTTGTGGAGCTTTTAAATCCTTCAAAGGTAACTTTCTTACATTCAGTTTCTACTACTTAGATTATACTTAACCCATTATCCTCCACAGCTTTACTTAAATAGCTTCCTCACCCCATATCCAGGTTGTTCTTGGTCTTCAGAGGAACTCACCAGCATTCTGATGTTATTATTTAATGCCTTTTCCCTCTACTCTCATTCCAATAGGGCAGGTACTGTCTCTGTTTTATCTACCACTGTGTTCCTATTCCCTAATGTATCAGTTCAATAAACATTTGTGACATAAAAATAAACATTTGTGACATAAATCAATTAGAAGAGGGTATTATTTATTCACTTTATTTATGATAAATCTGACAGTATTTCTTAGAAAATAAGTGATCTCCATGCAGATAAGTAGCTCTCAATAGAGGGGACAGAAAAGCTATTTAAGATTAGAAAAGCTATTTAAAAGCTACTTGGAAATTTTTTTTAAAGATATTTATTACATTGTTATCTACATATCAAAGCTGGTCTTCAAGTATCTTCAGCAAAGAACAAATCTGTCATCTTAGATTTGCTATACATATAAAGTACTATATTTTCTAACAAAATTTGTGAACTAAATTTAACTAAAAGTAGTCTTTTTTTTTTTTAATATTTATTTTTTTTTTAGTTTTCAGCAGACACAACATCTTTGTTTGTATGTGGTGCTGAGGATCGAACCCGGGCCACAGGCATGCCAGGCGAGCGCGCTACCGCTTGAGCTACATCCCCAGCCCCTAAAAAGTCTTTAAGTAAGTGGATTTACTAATTTATGTTCCACTATTCAGAAAATGAATATAAATCCCTAAACACCACCTTATGATAACTATCATTGAAAAAATTGTAGTAACCTAAAACTCCACAAAACACACAATGAAAATAGAACCAAAATTAATGTTTTAAAATACTTTATAAAATATTATGTTTCATTGGGCATAGTGGTTGTATGCCTGTAATCTCAGCTACTTGAAATACTAAGGCAGGAGAATACCAAGTTCAAGGACAGCCTGGGCAACTCAGTGATATATTGTCTCAAAAGATAAAATAAAAGAAACAAAAAAGGATGGGGATATAGCTCAATAGCACTTGCCTAGCATGACAAGGTCCTGGCTTCACTCCCTAGTATTGCAAAAGAGAAAAAAGAGTTTCCACATAACTAAGATCATTTGAACCATTTACGTGAAAGAACCTATACTGTTTTACGTACATATCTCACTGAGTCCTCAAAATAACCTTATGAGGTAGGTACTAAATTTTCATTTTATTAAGAAACTAAAATACAGAGATTAAGTGATTTGCTCAATATCCCTCCATAGTTTCTGAAAGTGGAATCAAATTTGAAAACAAGGCATTACAGCCCATTAGGCATACAGCCCATGCTCTTAATCTCAAGTACAGAGTTTTCTAAACTGCCATTTTACAAACTGAATTAGCTAATAAATTGACCAATATTTTGATAAAAATGATAAAATTCAGCTCTGGGAACTTCAAATTCAATAGTTTAGATTGCAATACAAAGGAAACAAAGAAAATAAAAATTCATATTTATATGGTTAGTGAGATGTTTCTAGCACTGATATACAAATCATTAATTTTAAAGTCTTTGTTCATCTTTGTGAAAACAATCCCCCAAAGCCCTTGAATTTCAAGTTTTCTTGCTAGATAGGTTAATAAGAAATATCCCATAATGTTTCTAAAAGTTTTATAATCGCTTATAAGTAAGTAGGATGAAACAATCTGGATAATATGTAATATTCTTTCCTTTAAAAAACCGACTTAAGTGATTTCTTGGGGAAGAATATCTACCTCATTTAGAGGGAACAGAATTTCAAACTATTTTTATCATTTAAAGACAACATATTATGATACTCTTCTCTCCTCTTTTCCCCACAGCAAAGACAAACTTGTAAATATTTCAAACTATAGTATGGGGAAAAGGGCGGGGTGTGGGACAATGTCGACTCTAAGGCATCTATTATAGATTATGTTGGGAAGGTAGACATGGATACCCACTGAACTGCTGCTGGGCATCTGTGTTCACTTTCCAAACTAATAGGTGAACCTTGTCCAATTAACAATAAATTTCATCATATCCAATGCAGTTAAAATACATTAAAAACATTCTACTCAGGATGGGTATGTAGCTCAGTGGTAGACACATACTTGGCATGCACAAGGTAGGGTTTCAGTCCCAGCACCACAAAAATAAAAAATAAACAACAAAACAATCTACTCAAAAAGAATTATGTGGTCTCCCAGAAACAGAAAGAAGAGGACCACAACCAAATTTACTGTAACTTGCAAAACTTGCTTAAACTAAAAATCAAAACAAAACAAAACAAAAATACTAAAACTAGCAAAAAATTGGGGTGAGGTTGTGGCTCAATGGAAGAGAGATCCCCTCGCACGTGTGAGGCACTAAGTTTAATCCTCAGCACCACATAAAAATCAATAAATAAAATAAAGATATCTACAACTAAAAAAAAAAATTGAAAAAAACTAGCAAAAATTTGTAGAAAACAGGTGACCTTTGAGAGATGTTATTGTTTGTACTGTGCTTTATATATAAAATATACAGTATATATTACTTTGCTTCAATATTTTAAATATATACACTAACTAATATATAAATTACCTTGCTTCTGTTCACAGTTCACAGCACAGCCTAAAATGAGTTGGAGCATCCTTCCAAGCTCTGCTGCATCAGAATGCTCTCCAATAAGGTTCACATCAGGAAGGGTAAAGTCATTAATCTGTTGTCCTAAAATCTAAATGGAAACAAAAGATTACAATTACATTCACATTTATATTACCACATGAAATATTTGATAGATTACTTTTTAATCACTAGAAACTGACTGCCAAGGACACAGCTGTTCAATCTCACTCCCAATTTGTTTTTACCTCACATACCTAAGTTATAACAATCCTGATAACTCAAGCAACTTAAGTCACTATTTGGCATGTGATATGCACATTGAGAAAAGAAGCTGTGTACTGATCCTTTTACTATTCCAAGAAGGATGAGATGTTGCTTTTTGTGAACCTTAAACAAAAGGTTCTGAACTAGGGGACACCAAAAAAGCCAAAATTAAATAAAAACTCAGACCCTATAGTCACATTCACTCCATTTGAGTCCTTAAATGCTGGTAGCAAGATTTGTTGACAAGTACCTAGGTTGTTTCCATAGCTTATCTATTATGAACTGTGCTGTGATAAAAGCTGATATGGCTGCATCTCTATAGTATGCAGATTTTAGATCTTTTGGATATATACCAAGGAGTAGGATACCTGGTTTATATGCTGGCTCCATCCCTAGTTTTTTGAGGAATCTCCATTCTGCTTTCCAGAGTGACTATACTAATTTGTGGTCCCATGAACAATGTATGAGTGTACCTTTTCCCCCACATCCTTGCCAACATTTATTATTATTTGTATTCTTGATAATTGCCAAAGAATGGATTTTTAAATTTTATTTTACATACTCTGGATCACTCTATGCTGCAGATAGGAAGTGAAAAGAAGAGGTTGTGAAAGATGAACACAGGGGCTTTCTAAGGTGGTGACAATGTTCCACAGACCTATTATAAGACTGTTCACTTTATAATTAACTGTTAAATTACACATATGTCACATGCTTTTCTGAATATATGTTTATTTTACAATGAAAAACTGATGGGTGTTGTGCAGAAGGGGTGCTGCTATTTCAGATAAGCAGTCAATGAAAGCTTCTAACAAAATCTGCCTCAGACAAAATCTGAACAGAGTAGCTGGGGATACAGCTCAGTGGCAGAGTTGTGCTTAGCCTGCGTGGGACCCTGGATTCCATCCCCAGGCCCAAAACCAAGCAAACAAACAAAAACCAAAATACAGAATCAAACCCCCCCCCCCAAATAAAATAATAACTTTCCAAAACAACAACAACAACAAAATGAATAGAGATCTAGAATAAACGAGTAAATCATATAACAAAATGTGGAGAAACAAGCCACACAAGATTTTAGCCTGGGGCAAAGTACTGAGATAGGAGTGTACTGGAATTCCAACAATATCAAGATCATTATGGCTGGGGAGAAGGAGTGATGGGAGTGGGAGGAAGATCATTTACTTCCTTGGCAGTTGCTAACTGTGATGCCTACTGGGAGGAACCTGGGCAGATGGATTAAGAAATAAATAAAGTAAAAAAAAAATATGGAAGTAAAAATAATCTGTGATTAGTACTCACAGAAAGGTGAGAAAAAGTATTACATTCATAAAGTAAGAACAGGATATAAAAGTTTCACTTAGAAAAGAGCAAAGCTTATGGGAATTAAAAATATGATAGCATAAATGAAAGCTTTGATGCACAAACTGGAAGAAAGGTGTGTGATTATCTCAGAAAGCAGAGCAAAAACACAAGAGAAATGGTTAGCTAATTAATTAAAGGATTAATCCAGGAGGCTCAAAGGCTGGAAAGTGAATAGAGAAAATAAATTGGAAAAATATAAATTAAAAAAAATCAGAAAAATTTCTAAAACTAAAACTAATAGGTGGGTAGTTTGAATACTTGGAAAGTGCCAAAGCATAGTAATAATTTTTTAAATAAAGCTTTTTCCCTGCAAAAAATACACCTCACACCAAAGCACACCATCCTGAAACTTGGGAGATTTAAAAAGATCCTAAAAATTTCCAGAAAATGAAAAAGTTACCAAGAAGGAATGAGAATCCACATGAAATTTCAACATTTCTGCAAATTAGAAGACAATGCAGCAATGCCTTCAAAATACTTACATTATTTCCAACTAAAATTCCATAACCACCTCAACTCTCTAGAAAGAAGATTGTTTTCAAATGTGCATGACCTAAAAAAGTTATCTATCAAGTACTTTTCAGAAGATGTTAATGGAAAATGTGCTTTACAAAAAAAAAAAAAAAAAAAAACAGGAACAAGAAATACATATTATTCAGTCAATGGAATATAAGGTAGGACAGGACAAAGGAATTCTTCCCAGGATAAGGGTGAAAGGTAATAAATGAACAGTTTATTTATTATTCTTATTATTCCATTTAGAGTGAAAAATAGTTTCACTGCAGAAATATCAACATAATAGGATAAGGGAACCCACCTGGGGGTATTCACACAATACATGGTTATACCATGTTACCTTTTTATTTGGGGGTGGGAAGGAGATATTGGGGATTGAACTCAAGGGTGCTTTCTCACTAAGCGAACTTCCCAGTGCTTTTCATTTTGAAACAGGATCTTGCTAAATTGCTAAGGTGGCCTCAAACTTGTGATCCTCCTGCCTCAACCTCCCGAGTTGTACACCACTGCATCAGGCTCATATTACCTTTCTAAAGTCTAAAAAACTCTGGATTTCAAAATGGATCTGGTCTAAAGGATTAGAGACTATGGATCTGCATACATATTTTACAAGTACATTTATGTATATTTTCTATAAAACTGGTATCATATGCCACATACAATCTCATATTTCATATTATTAAATAGTTTTTATTAATATGAAGTTTTATGGTTGCAAGGTATTTACAAAACATTTTCTTACTGTTAGACATTTGGGTTATTTTCAATTTTTACTTACTATGAAATAATGACGAGGTAGACAGCCCTAAGTAGTTTTATTTTATTTTACTGTAATAGGGTCTCACTCACTCTGTTGTCCCAGATGGCCTCCAATTCCTGGGCTCAAGTGATCCTCCTGCCTCAGACTTCTGAGTGGCTGTTATGAAGTTTTAGTAGGTAAATTTCTAAAACTAGAATTATTCTGTTAAAGGCTTTTAAAAACAGAGAAGTATTCTGCCTTCAAGGAGTTTATGTAGGGTGTAGAAGGCATAAAATGAATAAGTAAATGCACAAAGAAATACACAATTACAAATTACAGTAGGTAGTCAGAAGAAAAAAAAAACACTGGGCTATGAGAATAAATGAGGACTGGTAATGAGTCACGTAGTATGCTTACTAAATAGTTGTGCAGGCACAAACTAAGCAAATACCAACTATATATACTGATTTTAGTTTTACTTATTCTCCCATTCTTTGTCATAATCATTTAGTACTGAATAGAATTGGGCTCTTAAAAGGGCATTAGAAAAGTTCCAAAGACATAAAGCCATCTTCAGAGATTGGATTTTTCTACTCTCTGAATACAAGGAGCATGACTGGATGATGCTGACTGAAGCCACAGAGTGACAGTGATAGACTCAAGGACCAAAACATTGCCAAGGAAAATTTTGTGGAGTAGAGGTAGAATAGTTGGAGGAATTGAAAAAAAAAAAAAAAAGATTAACAGAAAGACGTATATATGGTTAGATTACCTGACCTAAGTTTCTCACATGTAAGATGGGGATAACAGGACTTCTAACATCTAGTAAGAGTACAGCATTACAAATAATACCTTCCTCACAATAACACTCAATAAAATGTTCCTGAAACATCATCATGATCTTTGATATAAGTTTTCGTTCTTTTTTACTGTAAAACTTTAGTGAAAATTACCATTTATACTTCACAAAATAGGCACAATGCTCAGAACAAAAACAATTACTTCTTCTAAGCCAAAAGATCTAATAAATATTCCTTCTTAGTACACTTAAGAAGTAACAGTAACAAAATACTCCTTTACACATTTGTCAAGATGTCTAACACAAACCCTACATATACTGTTATATGTCTTAAGTGTCGTATTTTTCTTGGAAATCAGTATTTACTTTATGTAAATAAATACTATTAATTTTAGAGTAGTCATCTATTTCCATATTTCCAAATATATAAACATTTATAGTATCTATTTACTAATATTTATAAATATTTACTTATTTATGGTATTGGGGATTGAACTCAGCAATTCAATCCACTGAGCCACAAGCCCAGACTTTTTTTTTATTTTGAGACAGGATCTAAGTTGCTGAAGTTGGCCTCAAATTTATGATCCTCCCACCTCAGCCTTCCCAGTAGCTGAAATTACAGGAGGGCTTCACCACATACTTGAGATAATTAGAAAATCTAGAGTGCCAAATATGTGGTAATACTATGCAATGGGGCTGGGATGTAACAATGACTACATCAGGTCTGGTCCCAACCTCATTTCATGACTAATATGAGGGTGAGACAACCAAGTAAACAAAACAAAACAAAAAGAGCCCAGATATGGCAAGGATCAAAGGGAATAAACACAGTGCTGTGAATAAATGGGACTGAAGTAACTGCTGTCCCAGCTGAGATAGTGCATACTTGGGGAATGCATCTCTGGGAAATAAGAATAGGTTTAAATAAGTATGTGCTAGCAATGACAAGAGCTGAGGGAAGAACATGACATATATCAAGAGAACCAGGAGTGTAGGCTCTGAGGCACACAGGGGTTTGGCATATCTGAGGAACAGGAGGAAGATGAAGGGGCTATAGTGTTGTTGGTGAGGAGAAAGTAGTGTAAGAAGCGGTTAGAGGATCATGTAGCACCTGGTGGAACATTGTAAGAAATGTAGATTTGATCTTCAAGGCAATACAAAATCACCTAAGACTTAAAGAAGGAAACTGACATATTCTAGTTTATATTTTTAAAAACTATCCTAGCTTGAAAGTGGAGACCCAACTACCAAAGGATAATGGTAAAATCTGTTAGGTTTTTTAGTAATCTAAACACAAGCTAATGATGGTTTGGTGTAGGGTCGTGGTGGGAGAGCTGGAGAAAACTCTATTTTGAAGTTTTAATAGATCTTGCAGATGGTATTAAAAGAAGGAAGGGCTGGGCATAGTGGCATACACCTGCAATCAGGAGGCTGAGGCAGAAGGACTGCTAAGTTTAAGGCCAACCTCAGCAACTTAGCAAGACCCTGAATCAAAAAATAAAAAGAGCTGGGGATATAGCTCAGTGGTAAAGAACTCTTTGTTTATCCTCAGTACCTGGTAGAGATGGAGTGTGAACTGTTAAGATTGTACGGTGTACTAGGGTGGATGGAAGTGTCACACTTACTGAAATGGGAAGATTGGTGTTATGGTCATAAATGTAATCATTAACACACGTAAGCTTGCAGGGGGAAGAAAACAATAGGAAAATAATGCAGATTTCTACATAGTATTGTGTCCATTTGGAATCTATGATCATGAAATTTAAAGTGAAATGATTTAGTCCCACTCTCTGAAAATTTCTCCAGCAATGTGTGATGCAGATTCAGAGGGTAAAGTAAGTTCACCTAGGGCCAGGGTCTTGCCAAATAATAAGACACAAGTAGGCAGTGAAGTTAACCATGATAGTGCACAGGCTTAAACCATTTTCACAAGTTAGGGAAGAAGGGAAAATTAATAGTAGAAAGCAAAATCTAACATAAATTAGTAATCATCCACAAACTACCCATAATGCAATAAAGCTTATTCATCTGTTTGGCATGTAACAGATGGTTATTGGAACCAATATCCTAGAAACTAAATAAGAGAAAATAAGTGCATTATTAAATTTGAAAATGAATTTTCCTTATTTAAAACTATTATAAAATTAAACTATCCTATGGTAATACTTCCAAGTAGAATCAGAAGAGAGTCCTTACCTCATGATTGTAATCCAGGATTCCTTTTAATATTTTCTTTAAATTGCTAATCTGTATAAAGAGAGAAAACAACTGGGTCAAAGACAAGCAAAAATCAAAATATAGTTTAACATAAAAATTTTCTAAGCCAAACATCATTCTAGTTAATCATAAAGCATATACAAGTTAAGCATTCCTAATCCAAAAATCTGAAATTTTAAATTCTCCCAAATCTGAAACTTTTGGAAAGTCACATTAGTACTCAAAAGTTTGGATTTGGAACATTCTGATTTCAGATTAGAGATATTCAACCCACAAAATCTAACGCAAATATTACAAAATCCAAAACACTCTGAAATCTGATGCACTTCTGGTCCCCAAACATTTCAGATAAGGGACACCCAACATGTATAAAAAAAAAAAACCATAAAATTTAAGAGCATATTTGAATTTACCATCATCAAAACAGGTCTAAGAAATTTATAAAAAAAAAAAAATTAAGACTGAGCACTGTGGCTCACACCTGTAATCCCAGATAATCAGACAGCTGAGGCAGGAGGACTCCAAGTTCAAGTTCAGCCTGGGTAATTTAGAGAAACCCTGTCTCAAATTTAAAAATGGGCTGGGGATATAGCTCAGTTGTAGAGTGCTTACGGCTAGCATGTGCAAAGCCCTGAGTTCCATCCCTAGTACAACAAAAAAGCAAAAAATTAAATTTCCAACTAAGTTTAAGTTTCAATGTAATGACCACATTGACAGAAAATGCTCGGTAAGTGAATGAGACTTAACAGTTACATTGAATTATTCAGATTTTCTACAAAGAAAAAATTGCTGTCATTAATGAAGATTCAAGTTTAGTGCTATTTTCCTCAGCAAAGTGGAGCTATCACTTACACACAGATTTAAATTCTAAATTTAGAGCACTAAGCTAAAAACTATAGTAAAAATTACCCTTACAGATCTCTTAACCCACCAAATATAATGTCTCCAAATTCCCTCACTGTTGGAAAAGATTGCTGTTTCTTTAGCTTTTCAAAGTAAATACTTTTAGGACAGGTTGTAAAATTTACTGTCATATCTTGAAACATTAGAATAAATAACACTGAGTACTACAAGACCTTATACTCTACGAAGAACCCTAAAAATGAAATAAAAGGAAACACCACAGATATTGTCCAGTGTTTACTCATCCCAGAGCTTAAGTTCTCTGGCCAATAGGTTATTTGGGAGAAATAACAGAGTATCACTGCCATGTTTACTGCAAATTGTAATTTTTTCCCCCAACTCATACAGTTAAATCTATGTTAAATTAAATGTGTATATGATATGATTCTGTTGATCATCCCAATGATATAGCTGACCTTGGCCTATATTAGTACAGGTTGAGCATCCATTGTCTGAAAGTTTTAGGACCAGAGAGAGTTTCAAATTTTGGATTAAGGACCTGTAATTGAAGATGTTTTAGAACAGGAAATGATAGAACTTGTGGCTATTGAATCAAATAGGCTGAATTAGTCCACATCTACATGGAACAGGTGGTAGGGCAGCACAGAATTCAAGGCTCTTTTATTTGGCTGAGCTGAGGGCTATTGGCAAGGCCTGCAGTATGCTGCAGCTTTCAGGAAGGGGCTTGACTGCAGCCACCCAACTTGTTCCATTCCTGGGCATCACTCCCCCAACTGGCACAAGATATACCTGTAGCTTAGCACTGATTCCTTTCAGACTTTTTTTTTTTTTAAATACTTTTTTTAGTTGGACAGTAGTTGGACACAATGCCTTTATTTTATTTATTTTTATGTGGTGCTGAGGATCAAACCCAGCGCTTCGCACATGCTCTACCGCTGAGCCACAACCCCAGCCCCTCCTTTCAGATTCTTAAGCACTGCTCTGGGCAGCATCCCACTTCATATTAGAAAGCCAACAGGCACTTTGGAGAATAAAACAAAACAAGAAAGTGGAGGAGGTGCTAAAAGAGGAAGAGTAATAAGTGGGGGGAAAAGGTTATCTATGGTCAAGTTGTAAAGGGCAAAGTGAAGTACCTCCTAAAACAAAGTTTTCTCAGATGAGGACAACATACAGAGCCAGAAGAGAACCTGGATTCCCTGGAGCTCATTGCTGAGTTTCTATGGTCACAGAAAACAGCCCAGGACAGATAGATAAATCAGAGGGAAGAAAGTGCAAAGCTGATTCTGACTCTCAAGATAATGAAGAAGAGAGCAAACCAAAGAAGAAGGAAAAAAAGGCATTGCCCAGGTTTTAAAGCTGGAGCTGAATAATGGAGCTACAGACTTTAGCTGAAAAACTCTGACAAGGCTGACTTCATCCCTTCCAAGGAAGCCAATGTGAAGTGCTCACAGGCTGTCATAGCACTCTATGGGTAAAGGCTGACTCAATGGCATTCCCACACCCTGGAGGATGACAACAAAAAAAGATAATAAGAATTAACTCTCCTGAGTCTCAACCCCTGTCACCTCAGACTGGGTTTCAAGTGGGAAGAGGAGGAGTTCTACTTGTCTTGACACTATTAGGTAGCTTGAGAAGATGTCCTTTGAAGAACCAGTCTTAAATCTGTGCCCTGCAGCAGCCCAAGCACTTAAAAGCTGTTCCAAGCTGGACAGTTTGCACACCCATTCCAGGGGAGGAGAGGAGATAAGTATTTCAAGGCAACCCATTCTACACTTTACTGAGAAAAGCAAAGAGCCTTCGATGAAGGTCAAACTCTGGAGAATTGGGTGTGTGGGAAAGCAAAAAGGTACTGTCAATCTTCCAAGAACATCTCCACAACCCATAGCCCTCTTCCCAATAATGCTTTCTTTTCTTTTTTCTTCCGGTACTGGAGATTGAACTCAGGGGTGCTTTACCACTGAGCTACATCCCCAGCCTTTTTAGTTTTCAGATAGGTCTCACTAAATTGCTTAGAGCTGGCCTCAAACTTGCAATCTTCCTGCCTCCACCACCCAAGTTGTTAGGATTACAGGTGTGCACCATCATACCCTGCTTAACTTTGCATTTTTTATAGTGCAGCATGTGTATAGTTTTTGGCTATTAATGGTGTAGTATTTGGGGGTGGGAAGGATAGGGTGGGGTAGAAGAGAAATGAATAGGATCACTGTAGTTAAAATTTGGGGCCTGAGGGGCTGGGGCTGTGACTCAGTGGTAGAGCACTTGCGCAGCACTTGTGAGGCACTGGGTTCGATCCTCAGCACCTCATTAAAATAAATAAAATAAACAATTTTTTAAAAATGGGGGCCTGACTGGGAATATGGCAAAACAATGGAAAGAACAAGTAACTAATGATTGGAATAGGTAAGTATTTTACCATTTCAAAAAATGTCATTGGCACCATAAATGAAGACTTGTGAGAGACTATTTAAAGGCTGTGAATGCCTGAAACTTATGAGCCAAAGAGAGCTTAATGTTGTTCTCCACAAAATTATCACAGCTGCCACTTTGGAGATGGAAACTGAGTTGAGATGGGAAAGTGTTTTATTGGGAGAGTATATTTAGGCAGATCATTCTGTCTTAGAGGTGCTAATTCCTGAAGTTAAACAAAAAGACCCCCTTTTTTTTCCAAATTATGAAGTTATAAATATCAGCTTGTCCATCCAAACCAATGGCTGATATACTGGGGGGCGGGGCATGGGGGGGCGCAGGTGGGAGGGATGTGGGGGGGCACCAAGGGAGGTAAAGAGGAGACTAGAGAAAGAGGACAGCCCATGCTCTTAGGATGGAAACTACTGGAGAAACTACTGGAAACTCATTTTTTAATTCTAAATTCTGAAACCATTAGTGCAAGTTTCATTCACTGACAGCACAAGTTTCATTGAGTCAATTTAAGGGTCAAATGATTTCAAAAGACCTGGTCTTAGAAGATTAACATGTATTAGAGCTACATTATAAAATCTTTTTTAGGCCTGTGTTAGATTTCTATGAAAACTTTGTTTAAATGTAAACTTCCTATACATGGTCAGTTTTTGTCTTAATAAAACTATAGATTTATATTTTTTTAAAAAGAGGCTGAATTAATTAAGGGCAACCCAAGGGTTGAAGACATTTATTTTTAAGAAAAAATAAACTAAAAACTTGCTCATTTATTAAAAACAATAATAAACTTCAAAAATAACATGTTTGTTCTTCTGGAAGAATTTAGAGATATGAAAATTCTTTATTTTCTTTAGTCCTATTCTAAGATGATCCTTTTTCTCATATATTTAAAATTAGAATATCTTAAAAACAAATATGTTCATTTAAAAGAGTAGCTTTTCCTCAATCACAAAGATATATATCATATTTTTTACTCAATGGCATCATAAAATTGAGGAAGTATAACTTAAGGTAAAATATGGAAAACAAATTTCAGTTCTAAACATTAAGAATATAATAAACATTTTTACTGTATAACTGTATTTTTATCTGTCTAAATACCATTGCCACATACTCATGACAACGAATATAGTGCATCTGGGCATGTGTGTGTTTCTGTGCACATGGGGAAGAGAATATGCAACTCCCCTTTTGATCAAGCCAGCAAGCAAACACAAAAGGATTAGTAGCATTATCTTAAACATGCCTAAATTGTTTTGAACACACTATAACATCATATAATGATTACTTTAATTGCCTAATCTTGAAAGGTTGTTCAGAAATTAAAACAGAGCCGTTAAACAGTTTTCATTCCCTTGCTTAGAAAAAAGAAGGAATTAGATTTTGTCAGTCCCAATACTTAAGCAACCAACACTTGTTAATCAAGCAAGTGCTTTCTGGGGGAAATATAAAGACAAACCAGGGCTGGACTTGGTGGGTATGCTTCTGTAGTCTCAGGTAATCAGGAAGCTGAGGTGGGAGGACCACGTGAGTCCAAAAGTTCAAGACCAGCCTGAGCAACAGAGCGAGACCCCATCATTTACTCATTCCTTTGTTCATAAACAAATTTGTGAATGAATATATGAATGAAAAAAGGAAAAAAAAATCCAGACAGATCAGGGGCTTTACATGCTTAATCATTTGCATTTCTGAGTCTCCACTAGTATATACAGGTATATATTAAAAAGAAAAAATCTATCTATCTAGTGTACCAAAATTACAGAAAAGTAGAAGAAATTGGTGGTTGCAAGGACACAAGTGTGTCGGTATTATGAATGTGGCTTTAAAGGCAGCACCAGGAAGCCTCTGTTGATAGCATAGTTCTGTACCCTGTGATTAGTAATGAAATATGCTATGCCATGAGACGGTGACAAAGAATTGAACATACAAACAGAAGTACATGCAACACTGGTAAAATCTAAATGATCTGGACATCATAAAAAGTTTAATTCCCTATTTTGATAATGTATTATAGTTATAGATGATACTACCAATAGAGAAACTGGATGAAAAGTTACACAGGACCAACTTCCTGTGAGCATATAATTATTTAAAAATATAAAGAAAAAAATTTAGTGGATTGCAACCAACATTTGAAAAAATAAAATAAAAACATCAGTACATAAAGTATGAATAAAAAGCTGCTTGCCTATATATGCACACACATTCAGGTGGGCAGCAGGTTACAAAAGTAAACTATATTTCTTATTGTGGGTTTGGTTTAAGACTGAGAAATACTGGAATTTAAGGTTACTAGGAAAGAAATGAAAATGTTTCATTCTTTGAGTGTTTGGACACAGTAAATAATGATCAACATTTTCTCAATACTAACACAACCATCACCATTGGCAACTAACACACATACTATGCGCTATTTTGTTGTTGTTGTTGTTACAGGTGTACATAATACCTTTATTTTATTTATTTATTTTTATGTGGTTCCGAGGATCAAACCCAGTGCCTCACATGTGCCAGGCAAGTGCTCTACCACTGAGCTACAACCCCAGCCTCTGTGTGCTATTCTAAGTACACAATAACTCACTTATTTCTGTGAGGTAGATCCCATTACAATCTGTATTTTACAGTGGGGAAATTGAAACACAGAAAGATGACAACACCTCCCCACAGAAAGTACTGGTAGACCTGTGTGAGAACACAGGCACTCTGGCTCCAAAGCCCATGCCCTCACTAACTATGTCTTACTGACTTCAGGATACCTCCAATCTTTAATTCTAGATTATTTCACTATGGATTACCTAGGTTTCTAAAACTTACTAAATGTATTAGACTAAACAAACAAACAAAAACCACCACCATAACAAATATCAAACACACACAAACATTTAAAGATTCAATAGATGGTACAACAAAAAGAAATACCTTTAGCCTCCAATTATCTCCCACTTCAGTTTTGATTCTGTTTAGCCAATTTTCATCAAAATATGCAGGATCTCTGCAAATAAAGAAATGCTAGTATATTAAAATCATGTAGCTAATCATGCTAAAAAACAGACAATTGAATCCCACCCCATACCATTATTTAAGTGAAGCATAAAAATGTATTTGCCACACATCAGCCACTAAATAACTCAGTATAAAAGGCCATGTGTAATTACAGCAGATTTCTCTAAATTCAACCTGTTTTTAGCTGTCATAAAAATATGTATTTTATTATTAAAAACCCCTAACAGGAAAAAAACGGTGACATAAGTTAGTATATTCTAAAAATTAGTTGAAAGTGCTAGAATTAACTGTAGATGCTATGCAAATATCTAAAAAAACAGTCAAAATCAATGACAATTTTTAAAAGACTAAAAAATTAAAATAAAATTTTTAGTTAATATTTTTAATGATCTCTATCACCTAATACTTCAAAGACCACCCACAATGTAGTTAAATTTTGGTTTCTTTAAATAACTTGAGAACCTATTCTAGGTTTAGACATTACATAGAGTCTAAACATTTGTTTATAAAATGCTTAAAATCTAACATTAATATGAACAAATACATTAAAACATGGCTAGAACCTAATTATACTTGTATTTATTTATTTAAATTTTATTTTTCCTAGGAAAATCTCCCATACTTCTAACAAACAACTAGGAAGAAAAAGAAACTTCAAAATTCTCACACCCAGCAACTCACTTATTTTAAAGTTTTCAAATGGATAGTCTAAGAAATTATATTATTTGTCCAAAACCTGGATGGGCACCTGTATTTGTCCTGACCTAACAAATGCTAAGTCCATGATCTTTCCATGACACACCTGTCTCTATTCAAACTCCCCTACCCCTGAAAAAAAAGGGCAATGAGACAGATACATTAGAATAAATCTATTTAAACTTCTGGTGTAATTCAAGCCAATAAATACAATCAGTACAAAATTTTATTCCAATTAGCTTCAAATGAAGCAACAGCTACTTAGCATTTTTAACTTTCCTTATGAAAAAAAAATATTTAGGTAATAAATACATAACCCCAAACTGTTATTTTTATAGAGATCAGTTAATTATTTTTTAAGCCTTTTTCTTCCCCCCCCCCCCATACCAGGGATTCAACCCAGGGGTGCTAAACCACATCCCCAGCCCTTTTCATATTTTACTTTTGAGACACTAAAGTTGCTTAGGGCAACTCACTAAGTTGCTTAGGGCCTCTCTAAGTTGCTGAGGCTGGCTTTGAACTTATGATTCTTCTGTCTCAGCCTGTGAGTCACTGGGATTATAGGCTTGCACCTCTCGCCCAGCTGAAGCCTGTTTCTTTTTGGGGGGTGGAGGTGGGGTGGGGGAGGTGTACCAGGGATTGAACTCAGGGGCGCTCGACCACTGAGACACATCCACAGCTCTTTTTTGTATTTTATTTTGAGACAGGTTCTCACTGAGTTGCTTAGTGCCTTGCTAAATTGCTGAGGCTGGCTTTGAACTCATGATCCTCTTGCTTCAACTTCCCCAGATGCTGGGGTTACAGGCATCCACCACTCAGAGCTTGTTTCTTTATCACTAGATAACATACTATATTTTCTATCTACTTTAAAAAAAAAACAGTTTTATTGAGATATAAATCAGGTGTCATACAATTTACCCATTTAAAGAATACAAACTAGGTTAGTATACAATGTTCAAAGTTGTACAACCATCACCACAATCTAATCTTAGGGCATTTGTATCCTTTTCCACAAAACCCTGTATCCGTTAGTCGTCACTCTCCATTTCACCATCTTCCCAGTTCCTGGACATCATTAATCTACTTTATATCTCCATGAGTTTGTCTATTCTGAACATTCCATACAAATAAAATCATACATTATGTGTTCTTTTGTCTTCTCTTCACCTTTTCCTGCTTCTTTCACTTAGTGTTTGAAAATGTTTATCAATATTGCAGCATGTATCATTACTTCACTTCTTTTTATGGCTGAATAATTTTCCATTTATGTGTATATAGTCCTGCACCACATATTTTGGTCAATGATGGATGGACTGCATGTATAAGGTGGTTCCATAAGATATATTGCCAAGTAATGCTGTAGCTATCTTTGTGTTTTAAGTACTATGATGTCTGCACAATGACAAAAATTGTCTAATGATGCTTTCTCAGCCAGTATCCCTACTGTTAAGTGACTTATGATTGTAACCACATTTTGTTTATCCATTCATTAGCTTTTTTTTTTTTTGTAGTTGCTCACATCTGCTTAATTTCTTCTTTCCAGATATATATGAGTAGAGTGTATTTTGACATATTATACATATGTAGAATAAGTATAACTTGTTCCAATTAGGATTCCATTATTGTGGTTGTATATGATGTGGAGATACACTGGTCATACATAAGATTAGGAAAGCTATGTCTGGTTCATTCTACTGTCTTTTCTATTTCCATCCCCTCTCCCTTCCCTTTTTTCCCCTTTGTCTAGTCCACCTTCTAATCTTGCCCTCTCATGTTGTGGGTTATCACCCACATTATTAGAGAGAATGTTCTGCCTTTGGTATTCATCAGCTAATTATATTTGTGTTGTTTCACTTTTGGGCTATTATGAATAATGATGCTTTGACACTCAAATACCCATTCTTGTATGGCATATGTTTTGCCTGGCATATGGCTAAGGGTAGAATTGCTGAGTCCCCTGACAATTTTGTTTAACATCTGAACCACGACTGGTTTTCCAAAACAGCTACACTGTTTTGCAAGCCTACCAGCAATGTATGAGGGTTCCAATTTCTGAACAGCCCTGTCAACACTTATTATTTGTCTACTTAGTTATAGTGATACTAGTGGTGAAGTGGTATCTCCTTGTGCTTTTGATTTGTGTTTCTCTGATGACTAATGATGGTAAGCATCTATTCATGGGTTTATTGGCCATTTATACTGTCCTCTTTGAAGAAATGTCTAACCAGATAATTTGTCCCTTGAAAAACTGTGTGTCTTTTATTACAAAATTATAAGTTTCTGTTCTTTTTGTTTTAATATTCAGGATACAAGGACACATGTAAATATTTTTCCCCTTCTGTGAGCTGTCTTTTCACTTTCTTGACGGCATATTGATGAAATTTAATTTCTCTCTAGTAGTTTTGATGTTTTATCTAGGGAGTCTGCCTAGCTCAAGGTCATAAAGATTTATTGCTGTTTTTGTGAAAGAAATTTACACAGGCTTATATTTAGGTTTACAATCCATTTATATATAGAAGGAAGGCATATGGATATTATATCATTGTTAGGCATATGGATATTCATATCCATCTATTTTTGTTTTAAGTTTACTTTAGTGTTTTTATGTGAGGTTTTGCTATTCAGAGAAACCAATCTGAGCAAATTTACCCAAAGAAAGGCAACTTGGGGGAAGATCACTAGAGTATATTATGTTACTAAAAGATAGCCGGGCTTTACAAAGTGCTAGAATAAGAATCTACCCAGTGCTTTCTGACATTCATCTTTGTTCTTTCTTTCCATCTATACCATTTTCTCTCTGTAGATGAACTTTTTTTTCTGTTTCTCCACATACAAGGACACTTGTAAAGGACTACTGTAAACTGTGTGAATAATCCCTAAAAACATTCTTTTTGCTTAAAACCTCTTAGAAAAATAGATAATAAAAGAAAAACAACCAACGTGGATTTTCCTAAAATATTAAAGAATTATTATAAAAGTTAGAAAATAGTCAATGTTATTTTTGATACTAAATCTAAAAAGCACAATCACTGGCAATCAAGTATTAATCTTTCCAATTAAAAAAGACTCATAAGAGGACAATGTGTGAGTCTGGTACTGTGCAGCTGATAATTATCCAAAGCCAAGGACTCTGAACTTACTGGCTAGGTATCGAGTCAGATTCATAGTTAAAAGATAGTTATGCTTTACCCAGGAATTCCTTGTTTTAAAAATGCTTTTAAATGTCTATGAAATTATGTATTTTGAACTCCAAGGTTATAGAATACTTCATACTCCAATTTCGAGTAATAATCCTTATGAAAAATACTCAGAAAAGTCTAAAATGTTTCAAATCCAGCATGATATAGTTTGCTTAATCCTTGAAAGATTACCAATTAAAATCTCAGAATCAGGGCTGGGGATGTGGCTCAAGCAGTGGCGCGCTCGCCTGGCATGCGTGCGGCCCGGATTTGATCCTCAGCACCACATACAAGCAAGGATGTTGTGTCCGCCGATAACTAAAAAAAATAAATATTTAAAAAAAAAATTCTCTCTCTCTCTCTCTTTTAAAAAAAAAATCTCAGAATCATGTTTGCAATAAAAAAGGAAGACAACAAAAACAGCAGCTAGTATCAAATACATCACATATTACACCAGGAATGCATGTATTACAATATGTGATACAGATCAGGCACTAAAACAGGCACTTCACATTCACAAAGGCATTGTAAGGAAGGTACTATTATTTTGTTAAAGTTAAGGAATATTAGACTCAGATTAATTTTCCCAGGTTCAAAAATGGTTAAATGGCAGAGTTGAGAGTACAATCATTTTGTTAAAACAGATCGGTAGAATTCAACAAACATAACTGGTTCTAGCAAAAAACACTAAGGTCTCATGATCAATTATCTCCTTAAGGCTCAGTAAACTAGGTCATAAGTAGAAAAAGACCAATGTTACTCATGACATTCTACATCAATTATGGGCTGGCACTCGTAGTTACTGCTACCTTATCTGGTCTCACGTCTGGTACATAGCTAGCTGCTTCTCAATAAATTTCTGGAAAGTGGTAACACTTATTCAATAAGCTTCCAACCTTTAATTAGGCAGAACATACCAAGAATAGTATGTCTAAAATGTTCTTAAGTTCAATGTAACTTTTCCTAATAATAAGCTTTGACTCCAAATGAAGGCCTCTTGCTACAACTTCTCTTTCTTTCAGTAGTTTACAATTTCAGCAATGTTTTCTAAGTACTCCTTACTTAATGGTCTCAGGCTAGGATCACATAAAAAAGGTAATTTTCTCAAAACTCT